AGTGTACCATCGTTTTATAAAAGGTGGTTGTAAACGGTAACCCCGACACTGTTTTCCTCGCACCTTAGCAAGTTGCTCACTCATATTTTGTGTACACCATTCAAATTCCTACCGGCCTATTATATTTCACGACCATCAAACTAATAGTCATAATGTTACAGCACTTTAAACAAAAAATAGAGTATACAAGCTTGAACTCAGGACAATTGATAACCTCAGAACGGAGATCATATCATCAGGCCACGCGTGCTGATGAATGAAGTCGGGTCGTTGAAAAGGTTGGGCGACATAGTGCTATAATTATGATTATTAGTCTGATGGTCATGAAATACGGTACACTGCTAGACTGGTAACAAATTGAATGGTGTACAAATGTGCAAAATACGAGCAAAAATATGACGAAAATGCAGAAGTGCCGTTTCACCAAACTGTAATGTATTGTGTCATATTGACTAGAGTGTACAATAATATTGATTTTTGTTTTTTAATTTTGCATCGCATTACGTTAAAATACAATTCCCTCTATTAGTTTGGAAGATAATTGTGCATCACTTATTAGAAAAGCACAAAATAAAATCTTTCATCAGTAACGATAACATATAAATCATGCAACGAAAATACATACCAAACCTTTGAGGGCTAGTCATTAGTGATAGGCATTTGTTTGCATTAATTTTAGCGCATATTATCGCAATCATGTAAGGTATGTACCCGGGGGTATGTATCGCAATGTAGTTCTACTGATTGTTCAAGTCAAATGCACAGGATTGCGTTATGTTGTACCATTTTACGATATTGTTTTTTTGCATTATATCGCTTTTTGTATAAGACTGTTTTATCTTAATGTTATTTTGTATTTTAAATACATGTTTCTTTATTTTGCAATAAAACAACGTTCTTTGTTCGTGATTTGCATGTTTAACAAGTATGTCAAATACGTTCTATGTCAAATACGTTCAACAATCATTTAAGTATCTCGCTACTAAGGTAAAGGTAATATATGTTCAAACTGCGAGAGAAAATTACTCACTTTGATTACCGATTGAAATTGTAACTTGACAACGGATTAGGGATTATCATTTGTCATTGTCTTCGTCCTTTTTAAATTAAGGATCCATTGTCTTTGCAATTGGAAGACGGCATATGTGGCCGTATCTGGATTTGCCACTTCAAATCATTCAATAACGTTTTTATCGTGTGATCCTCTGTATTGCTACTGAGATTGTCCCTTCGCACCAATATTTTCTGTATTGCGACGGAGATGATCAACGGGGACAATCTCAGTAACAATACAGATTGGTACAGCACAAGAACTGACCATTACATTTACATTGGGCTGAAATATCCATATTTACCCACCATTTACAAAAATATTATTCGTCTGATCGCCTAATAATCCTATACCGAGTATCGCATTTAGTATCAATGACCAGGGTTGGTCTGACAAATCATTTTATATATTTCCTAACCACAAAATCAACATCTCTAACCTACAATTACGTTTCTCTTATTAATGTCTCCGGGATAGTGATCAAATCGACTTTCCAAAATCGCTTGGCAGCGGCGATTTCTAAAACTTTATACCTTTGCAAAGTAATCTAAAATGACCAATTCATTGACATGCAAAATGTCAGCTACAACCTACCATTTGTTACACACCATGACCGCCGAACGCCGATAAGCACCGACAGCCGAAGGCGAATGCCATCCATAAAAAGTTAGAGATGGTTCACTCGATGGTTTCAAAAGTGTTTTGGTTTTGAAAACTGTCCATTATATCTAGTTATTGATATGAATTATATTTTTCCACAACCATGGGGTATTTATAGGATATCCTATGATTTTGAGGAATATCATTTTTATCTACGAGGTGATATTGGTATCTGCACGAGAGAGCAAAGAGAATGAGTGCATATATCACCGAGTAGATTAAAATGATATTCTGAAAAAATCATAGGATGTTCTTATTATCCTTCACAAGGAGTGTACAAAATGTATAATACCATTGCAAAATGAATTCCATGCCAAATAGAATCAATTTGGCGGGAAATCAACAAGCGGAGTATATCGTCACACTATCCTCCGCATATTGGGTTTCTGGAGTATATCGTGGCAATATCCTCCAGTTCAATATCTCTAACATCATGGAACGATTTCCACAAAAATCTATCCCCCGATCTATCCTAACGTAATGCATTGTTATTATTTCATTATTACCGTCATATTCATAGCGTATCATGTCAAAATAAAACTTAATCACTTATTCAACACATATTGTTTTTGCAACTGGAGTCAAAACGACGCTGGTAGATGTTTGAGACACGTTAGTAAATTACGAATAATTATAGGATATCCTATGATTTTGAGGAATATATCATTTTTATCTACGAGGTGATATTGATATCTGCACGAGAGAGCGAAGCGAACGAGTGCATATATCAATATCACCGAGTAGATTAAAATGATATTCTGAAAAAAATCATAGGATGTTCTTATTATCCTACACTTACAAGGAGTGTACTAAATGTATAATATCATTGCAAAATGAATTCCATGCCAAAATAGAGTCAATTTGGCGGGAAATCAACAAGCGGAGTATATCGTCACAATATCCTCCGCATGTTGGGTTTTCCGGAGTATATCGTCACGATATCCTCCGCCCGGAGTATATCGTTACGATATCCTCCGGATATTCATTTTGCCAATAAATATCAAATTTATTTTTTAATGCTATTATACATTTAGTACACTAAGTGTAGGATAATAAACAATCACATAAAGTTGTAAAATATCCTATGTTAAACCTAAGTCACATTTGTCGTTTGTCATACGACAGGTGACATCGGCAGCAGATCGCAGAAACTGGAACGAACGTTTGCCGCAAGGACACCCTGCATTTGCCTTCGTATCTGGGGAAAATACACACTTCAAGTTGACACAGTACGGTGATCGCGAATCGCGATTGAAAGGTCATCACGGAAACCATGGTTTAATATAAACATGCATTCAAAATGTACAATATGTAAAATATTATATTTTCAAATTGATTAACTCTTCATCCTTGGGTTAACTCAACATTATATAATGGGCATCCAGCTGCCCATGATCATATTCAGTTATCATTATTACATCTCTTTATTTCCCATTTAGCATGGAATAGAAATAGGATAATTGAATACAAATAGAAGTGGAAATAATCCAATTAATTATTTGAATGTGATCTCTCAATTCAAATAAAAACGGAGGAGATTTTTGACTGTATTGGTAAAATTGTTATATCCGACGGGCGTACAGTGGCAGAATGAACTAGCTCAAACTCGTGTTAAATCCATCATTTGCATGACAGGGAACAATATTTCACCGGCTGGACTGTCCAGTGAATTCATTTATAAAGTTCACTATCCACGCAGAGCAAGCAAGCGTTTTAAATTTTACAGTTTTATGGTTTGTCAATCCTTATCCCTATATATTCACATAACAAATGTTTACAAAATGTGTGTTTTCAAACCGACCACTCATCCATAACTCAAGTATTGGCGTCTATATTTGTTTCGATTGTTATAAGCTAACTAGCCGCACAAACTACTCAGCTTGATTACATTTTCTTTCATATAGATTTGTACAAAGGCAAAAAATAATTAGGTGTATTCCCAGGTATACATTCACCAATCAGAAATTATAAATATTCAAAGTAGGACATGCACGATGGGATTGGAAGGTACAAAGCGTATAGTTACATTCCCGGGGAAAATCCTCCCGGGGACAGATTAATGTTCCCTCTATTGACCAAACTAGGTACTATTACTTCACTCCACCTTTTGAAAATAACTAACTCATATCTCTTTATCTCTAAATTCAACAATAACTATGGAAAGAAATCTTTTTTAGTTCAAGGTGGCCTTATATGGAATAAAACACCTCACTGATATTAAAACCTCGAAAACCATCCCGATTCTCAAATCTTGGAGTTGGAGGAGTAGTTCCTTGAACAGCAGACGAATCGTGTCTTACTATTTCGCAATGTAGTCTTGAAAACATTCTGTTTTTATGTTTATGTTTTTATTCTTATGTACCTGTTATAGGAAAGGCCTTAACCGTTTCAATGATTAAAACATTATATTTTCTCCATTATGTAGGATATCATACTTTACACAATTTCATGTACAGTTCTTATAAAATACAAATACAAATCATTTTAAATACCATTATGTGGTACTTAATACTCCCACGTGGGGGTCATGGCCACTATATAACCTGTAAATATATGTAACATTGAATTTAATTTAAAAAAATAATAGCTACTGGCAGGAAGCAGGCGAGGCAATTGCCTCACCAACATATTTCAGAAATAGATTTTGAGAGATGGTTTAAATATCACCCCGGATTAGCCTGACTACGGTAAAGTCAGATACCGTTGTCACAAATGACGGACATAAACGTCGCTTCCATTAGATTTTCATGAACTGTATGTTTAGAAGAGCTTAATGCATGCACAGAATTAACGACGATAAAATCCCATGAAATGAGGACCAAGTGATTGAAGCGACGGCTATGTCCGCCATTTGTAACAACGGTATCTGACTTTACCGTAGTCAGGCTATTCCGGTGTGAATATGTCCAAAGCTTCTGGATATAAATAAAAACGTCTTCTTTCCTCTGTTTATTGTTTTTGTCCATTGCACATCTATGTGTGAGAGATCATTGCCTTCTATTGGAAATGATTCGAAAACAGAAAGATGTGATGGGTATCAAAATGTCACCAAACAAGTGCTTTTGTTTACGGATGGCTTTCCATTCGTCCTATAATGAGTTTATTCAAGGATCTAGAGATAAAAGGTACAGCCGTTTAGACTTAACTCTAAACCTTTAGTATTTATGTAGCGATTCTATCCCCATGAAATAAAAGTACAACGTGTATAACGAACTGATAATCATCGGGAAATTGGAGATGAAATCATGATTGAATGGTTATATGTGACTGTATCTTTCAAAATGCATTAATTGAAATCGAAATATGGATGTGATTTTTATTTGAAGCTATAAATCAAAATGATGGATTCAAAACATAACATTTTAGTGGCAGTATTTATGGTAGTTGTTCTCTGTAAAATTGGTAAGTAAAATTATTCTCTAGAATACCATTTTAGCTATAAGCGCATGAATTGAACCAAATATTCTAAAGAAAACTTGACATTCTAGGTTTCATTGTTATTGTGTTTTCACGTCGACAGAATGCTGTCCCAAGGGTTGGGTGGAGAGAGGCAGCTCTTGTATCGTATTAGAACTTGACTCAAAGGCGCAGCCCAAGGCCCATGTGGCCTGCACCGGACTTAAGGCCCACGTAGCCACAATAGATAGCGCTGAGAAACAGACATTCCTCTCAGAGCTGATGAAGGAGAGGCGGGTGTCCACAATCTGGCTGGATATTAGGGATGTATTGGAAGAAGGGACATTTATTGATAGATATAACAAGCCGATAACTTACTCAGGTATATGACAATGTATGAAGATCATATTAGTTCAAACATGGTCTTGCATTAAATCTCTGGCTCTCGTATTTCACGGCCCATGAATCGAAGGGATACACGTATGTGTGCAGTCGGCACGGAATAGGGTACATAAGGGCTTGATGCAACAATACATTGTCCCTATGGTAATCTAGTCCCTACCCCTGGGTCCCTATTGGTCACATTTACTTCGGGTCACACACACCCATGCTTAAGTTCAGTAAGCTAGTGTATATTATAATGTTTCGTCCAGTACTAATCCATGACCATATCATCCTTCGATAAACCTTGGGCTCAGAGCAGCATTTGAAAAACTATATGGTCACAGTATTTGATTGTTGTAGACTGGTTGCCTGGTGCGCCCTCAACCGGGCCAGAAGGAGAACTAACGGATTGTGTCTACTATTCTATAGAGGGAGTTGGCGGTTGGAATGACTTTAACTGTGCTGCAACATTTCCATATTTTTGTGAAAGAGGTACCATTTACTAGATATAGTACATTACCTAGAACTGAAATATATATTCAGAAAACTTTCAGACTGAGTATATCCAGGTTTATACCAGGTTATTCTTTCAAAACTTTTATAGATTGTTTTAACTTTTTATCAATGATCAAAGATCCGATTAATGATCATGATGTCCTTTTATAGAAACCCTGTGTGCGAACGATACTTGCAAGAATGATGGCCGATGCAATGAATTCGACAGCAGCTTTAACTGTACGTGTAAACAAGGCTACTTCGGAGAGACGTGCGATACCTTTGATCCATGTAGAATCAAACCCTGCGATAATGGCGCAACGTGTTCAGATTCTAACTCTGATGCTGGATTCAAGTGCTCCTGCGCCGAAGGCTACATCGGGCCAACATGTTCAGTGTTCGCTACATGTGCCGACTCTCCTTGTCTCAACAATGGGACGTGCTCAGATTCTGAAAAAGGGTTTAGCTGCGCGTGCCAGTTTGGTTTTATTGGAGCCCAATGTGAAACTTACCAACCATGTGATGACCAGCACAATCCCTGCCAACATGGATCTACATGTCGAAAGGGCCTTGATACAAGTTACACGTGTGAGTGTCAACCACATTATTTCGGCAAAAACTGCCAGGAATTTGATCCTTGTAGACTGGACCCATGTTTGAACAGAGGTCGCTGTGCAATTGATGACAACGGGTTTACTTGCACATGCGCTTTAGGGTTTTTCGGTGAAACGTGCGAAATATTTGACCCGTGTTCTGGGAGGCCATGTAAGAATGAAGGGACCTGTTCAGAGATAGGACCTGGGATGATACCGAACTTTTCATGTATATGTAAACCAGGTTATGTTGGCGATTATTGTGAAACCTTTGACCCTTGTGGTAGCGAGCCGTGCCAGAATCAAGGTGTTTGCAAGGAGAACCGTACTGCTGATGGATACACTTGTGATTGCAAAGGGTTTTACGTTGGATTGCAATGCGAAGAGTTTCGTCCCTGTGCAGAAGATTTGTGTGGTGATAATGGTATCTGCGAAACAACAGATACTGGTTACAAGTATGCTTTTTTACCTGTGTAGACCTACATGTATATATAGTCAAATTCATCTCTTTTAGGTGAACACCTTATTGGGGAATATTCTTGTTCGGCTAAAACAGTTTCTTTCATTGACGCTCATGTTTATTACATTAAACATTAATATTGCAATCGCCTATCTAATTATGGACTTCTATTCATTAGCAAGAAGTCCATGATTTAATCGTTTAATGTTGTATAAAGACCTAACTGTAAGTATGCTCTTTAAGAATATATTTTACAGCGCATGATACCAAGATGATTCTTACAATAGTATAGTTTCCATATAGCTTTTGAAATCTCGCTAAATCTCGTTTTTCGTGAGATTTTAAGAGACTTGCATATTAGACCTCTAATGACTTACATTACCTTCTTTTAAATGGTATATTTGAATTCAGTGGAATGTTTTCTCCTAAAATAGCTTTGATTTACACAGTTATGTAATTTGAATAATTTTCTATGACAATTTAAAAAAAGTTGGGCCAAATGTCCATAGATGCAATGCTAAAATTCTTTAAAAACGTGGATTATTTGTATGGCAATCAACATTAGCATGTTTAATCACAACATGTTCATAAACAGGGTCATCATGTGGTATATCATTCAAGTTTTATACAGATTCAACAAACACACTTTGATAAATCATGAAATTAAGCCACTTTTCCAAGATTTTAGCATGTAAGTGAATGGAGCTCTAGCCAGAGTTAAAAGCTGAATAAAAGATGGCAGCACGAGATTTCATTGATTTTTCTGCTATTTAGAAACTATCCTATTACATACCGACAATGGACACTCAAAGGGTATTTCAAACCTGACTCGGCATCCGTCGCTTTCTTTGAGTAAACTGTTATCTTCCCATTGCCTCACTTCTGTTTTCTTGTTTCAAATAGTTATGGAAATAATGCCTCCAAATTATAATTATTCAATTAAGCTTTGTGTTATTAAACGTTATCTCAGAGTGGTTTGCTATCACCACTGTGGTGGAACGATCTTCGAACTGTTTTATGTTTTATCTCCGTGGGGGGGAGTGGGGAGTACATTTAGAAGTCAAAATGTATACCATTTATTTCTATAATCAAAAAATGGTCCGATGCCATACCAAAAATTCCAAGGAAAAGCACATATTCAAAAGATGAAAAACGCAGATCCAAGGCAGAAACGATCCAAAAAAAGATTTTCGGTCAAATTTTTCCTGACTCAAAATTTGGGCCCCCTCCCCTTGTTAATTCCTGGATTCGCCACTGCGACTGAGGTCCCTACATGAACTAATTTATAAACTTTTAAGAGAATAATTAATCTAATCTCCCAGAATGAGAAATGTGAAAATATATACAAAATGTCACTTTTTCTCTCGCCAGGAAGAAAAAAATGTTGGGCCCATAACCAAAAATTGGGGCCAAATTTTGAAATAGTAAGGCCTATTTTTGATAAATTGGCCGAAAAGGCCCATTTTTGAGGCCCTATTTCCCTGAAATCTGGGCGCGCTAAAGGGGGGGGGCGAATCCGCCAACGAGTCGGTTATCTCAGGTTCACCTGGTTGACACTGGCTCTGATCAACTTTGTATGCAATAGTAATTAGTCTGCCTTTTAAATAGTGTCAAGACCGACTCGGCGACGGCATTATTTCATTGGCAAATTATTGGCTTTTTTCAATTTATAGATGGCAATGTTGTTTATAATAGAGATGTAAACAAACCAGTTAGCACGTATAAGGTTGTTCACAGGGTGTGTACCAAATTAAACGTGGCAGTTAAACGCGCAGGTTCAGGTATAACACGATGAAGGTGATGAAATTTGACTAAACTGATGTTTGTAGCCTAAATGTCTATTATACTAGTATAACATACTAGACAGTGAACTTGACAGAGAATTTCATAGTTAAAGCTACAAAAGCTCAGAATTATACGCAATATAACATGGGATAACGGTAGGCTATAAGCATGGACCTATATCTTGAAGAGGAGGATTGGGGTCCATGCGGTAAGGTACAACAGGAATTTGAATTTTCGTTACACTGTATCCCCGGGACTGTATCTCAGGTTAATTGACCTGCGCCGGCGGCCGTATACTATATTCGCAGCTTGTGTAGCGGGCTAGTTTAGCCTAACTATGAAATTCACTGTAGGCCGAAAGTTCTAGGATATTATTGCAGACATTTACGTATAAAAATATCTAGAAACTAGACCAGAACTTTCTGAAACAATGAAAACATGTTTGCCGAATTTTCAATACCCTCTACCGCTTAATTTGGTACAGCCCCTGTTTTATTATGGTTATCATGTTTATGTACACTTGTACATTTTCTGGTAATAGCTAACTCCCATATGGTCTAGTGGTTAGGATCCGGCGCTCTCACCGCCGTGGCCCGGGTTCGATTCCCGGTGTGGGAACTGCCAATTTTTTAAGTCAATTTTTGTTTTTGATAATATTCTTTTCAGAAGAACATTTTCATTGATTTCTTTATTTCGGAAAAATCCAGATGTTTATTTATCTTTATTATTTTTTCATTTTTCATCGCAAACATGTAACTTACACAAATGACCAATATTATCGGAAAGTTCTAAATTCTTGAATTCGAACGGATTAACTTTTCTTCAAACGTCTTATGTATATTGTACTTGTTTTCAATCAAACCCCTAGATACCAAACTTCAATAAAGCCCTTTTAACTAATCATCCATGAACACTCAATATGGCTTGTCAAAAGAGATTTTAGCATTTCTCCAAATAAAAAAAAACATTGTTCCATCTTTATACATCCATGATATCACTAAATCATTCCGACTATTTTGAAATATTACTCGATAATATATGTAAATCTGGTAATCTATTTCACAGGTGTAAATGTAGTGATGGATACTATGGAAAACATTGCGATTTCTTTATTCCATGCAAATCAAATCCTTGCTTTGCTGGAACCTGCGTATCTAAAAACTATGGTTACCTATGCAGCTGCCCTCCAGAACGTACAGGCAAACAGTGTGAAACAGGTACATGTAGCTACGAAGAACAAGTTTAACTTGGTTTAGCCCTATATCTGAACAATTTGACATCTTTAAACGTTTTCTCTTATTTTTAGGGAATGGGTCAATTTCAAGTTTGATTAGTTTCGACTCCTGGAAATAAAGTTATCGAAACTGAGGGGGCACATTTGAAAGACCAAAATTCCTCGTCCTGATTTCAAAATATACACATTGTTGCTTTTATTTTGGTTCCATTCTAAGGAGTTCAGTGACTTCGACCAAACGTTCTAATAAACATAATTTGAGGTGGCTTTATTCTGTTATTATGGCATCCAACCAATCATAATAAAATTACAGAATCTTGTCACTAAAGTACCGGTTTAATTATTGCAGAACTTTGTCCTGTTGGATGGTCACAACAGGATGGTATATGTCAACAACAAACGGGAAGAATGGCTAGTATTGCAGCCTCTACAGCTTACTGTAAAGCACAAGCAGCCACATATTCTGAGCTGTTGGAAATGTGTATCAAAGGTACAATAACCCAGATGCGAGTAGAAATAATCTTGATTTACGTCATTAAAAATTCAAAATTCAGTCAAAGTAATATCATATTTGAAATCTACATGTAAAATTACATCCAGAAATGTTGTTTTAAAAAGTGTTTATCAACTTTGAAAAATTAATTTTCTTTGAGAATGTGACTTCTAGCTCGGGGAGATTCCCCATAGACCCCATGCTATAAAATCACAAAAAATGAAATATCTTTTCTTTTAGTGGACAGATAATATTTTGCTTTACTGGACATATTTTCATTAGTATAAGTATCAGGCACATAAGGGTTATATGAAAATTGAGCCACTTAAATTGATAATATTCAAGCTTAAGGGAACTTTCTTATATACCTGCAATGTTAATTGACCCGAATCAGCCACCTGGTGGTGAAACTGGTAACTACCTACTCGCATTTGGGTAATTGAAATTAGTGTAAATAAACGCAGATTGATTGGCCTGTCCTCTTTTATTAAAAAGTATTTCTATTGCCCATAAGCATATGAAAAAACTACAGTATGTACATGTGTATATACGAAGAAATTGAGCTAATTTTGCTTCAAGCTATGGTAGTGGCAGTACAATCTTGCCTCGAGGAAACCGTAAGCACCCATGGGAGCAAACATGACTCAAGTGACGATTTTGTTTACAGATTTGACACCAGACAATGATGACTGCAGGAGTGCCCCTTGTTTGAATTCAGCTACGTGCGTCGATGCTATTGATGGGTTTAAGTGCGTCTGTCCATCAAGTCATACAGGCTCTTTCTGCGAAACAGGTTTTCAAACTGGTTTTATTATGTATCTCACAAAAGTATTAACATACGATTGAAACAATAAAACTCGGTGATAAAACATATAGGAAATACAATGCATAGCCAGACAAGAGCCAGACGAGACAACTGCTCGATCAAGGGAACTGCCTCGCCTAAATTTTATAGAAACGATGATTCAGATGTTCTTTTCAATTGAAATTGTGAGAATGATATCTATGGTACAGTGATGTTTTATTGCTTTTGTCTCAAATTTCCCTCTCGAAAACAAAATGTGCATCGGCAAATTGTAGATCGTGTTTAAGCCATAGCGTTATGTTTATTTAATTTGTGTTCTCCAATCTCACGCTTTCTCTCTGTTCCAGAAGTTTGCCCCGAGGTTGATATCGTCCCTCTTCTACCAGCAAAAAGGATAACAATGTCATCATCGTTGCTAGGTAATAGCCATGACGCAACCATGGATATAAGGCTTGGGGATTGTGGAGGATGGGTCCCTACTGACAACAACAAGGAACAGTTTGTCCAGGTAGGTTGAAGCTTACTCGTTTACCAGTTTGATTTTCAATTTATGAAACAGATTGCAAATAGAGACAATAAGGCATTTGCTGGTGTTTTTGCATCCGTTCGAATGAGTGTAGTGTTAGTGTGAAACAAAGCCTATGCACTAACCAACTGTAAGATCAGACTTAATTCAGCAAAAAGAGGTAATTGAACAATGAATTAGATCAGAGGAGCGAAAATCAGATTGGATCAGTTTAATATGTGAATAGACCAAGTTCATTGTCCTCTCACTTTCTTAAAGTTACATTGTTTTAAATTACTTTAACCTACTTAGATTTGATAACAGTAGGTATAGCGTTTGGAAATAACAAACGGCGTCGCATGACCATGTAGAACTAAACCTAGATACGATAAGAGATGTAAGAAAAAATGTTTCAGAAGTTCAATACATGTGAATGATACGCCAAGTGGTTATACATCATTTTTGTCATACCTTCTTGAGTTAAATTTTCAAAAAGCATATTCACTATCAGTTCTGCGATAGCTCGCTAGCAATGACGCCAATTCCGACGAAAATCGCATTTGTGGGTCTGCTATTGGGAATTACTACACTGACGTCCGGACAAAGATGCCCGAGACCATGCTTTTGCCTGTCAAGAGATTCCTCGGTCAGGTGTGTGAACAAACGCCTTACTGATATTCCGTTAGGTTTCCCCAATGACACCAAAAAGATGTTCTTCAGAGGAAACTCCATAACAACGCTCAGGGCGAACAGATTCGACTATTTGACCGAATTGGAGGAATTGGATTTGGACAGTTGTAAAATCGTAAATATCGAAGTTGGGGCGTTTGATGGATTAAAATCTTTAAAGACCCTTAAGTTGGACAAGAACTTGATGGCATCTCTCCCACCGAGTGTGTTCCGAAACTTAAATCTTACAAAATTGTCGCTGCGTCTTAATGATGAACTTATCGAGCTCAGTTCGAATGCATTCAACATTCTCACTTCCGAATTACTCGACCTTTCATATTCGGATAAACTCGCGAACATAAAGTCTGATTCGTTCACTGGGGCGAATATCAAAAGTATGACAATCATAGATTCAGACATAACTGCAGTTGGCTCTAAAGCGTTCAGTCCCCTTGGTTCCTCGTTGAAGAGTTTAGGCATTTCCCGGAACAAACGTCCTCTAGTTTTACCGGACGACCCTTTCGATGGATTAAACTTGGACTCACTCCGATTGTGGCAAGATGGGTTGACAAGGTTGAACTTCCTTAAGGGCCTGAGAACAAAAACTTTGTATTTGGCTTCGAATAATTTCGACACCATTGACTTTAGCCCATACGTTCTGTTGAAAGATACTCTGACACGCATTAATCTCGATGGTTGTGGAATTGACTACCTTACAAAGAGATCATTCGATAACCTTGAGCGTGTGACTTATCTTGAACTATCGAGCAATAACCTAACGATCCTCGATGGCGCTGTTTTTGAGGATCTCAAGAACCTCAGTCAAATATTCTTATGGTATAATCAAATCCACACTATCACGGATGACTTTGGTGACTATCTTCCTAATCTAGGTTCTTTGAGAATGCGATACAATTCCGTTTCACGAGTCAATGGGGCCATGTTTGCTAAGATGCGACGTCTGATACAATTAAACTTGTCTTTTAACAAGATACAATACATGCCCAAAGATATGAAACCCATCCTAGATAGACTTGTGAGAAACAACGATTTCGAGGGCAATCCTTTCCATTGCAATTGTGAGATGCTGTGGTTCTGGGAGTGGGCCATGGTGAACAGCAGCAGGTTTAGAACCATGCGCTGTGCAACGCCTTTACACCCTCCTAAGAGATTTGACCAGATGCGAGAAGAAGACTTTATTTGCATCCCCGCTACCTTATGTGGTTCGCCTAATATAACGTTATCACGAGGAAGCTCTGGAAATGTAAGTTGTACGAGTAGCGGGGATCCTGCCCCTAAACTAACCATATCTAACAACGAAGGAAGAATTGTTGCCGAGAGTGACTTCCCAGTCAACAAGACAACATTGGAGAATGAAGTTGTCTTCAAAATCGAAACAGTCAATCCAGGTTTCGTTGGTTCATACACATGCAATGCTACGCATCCTTTGGGAGACCTTACTATGGATACTTGCTTACGAGTCATGACACCAGACGGGACGCCAGAACCTCCTTTTCGTTCTGATGATGTTTGTGTTGGATTCTGGGTAACATCTACAACTAGTTCCACAACAACTACAACAACTATCGCACCGACAACTGAGGAAGAAACAACACGTTCTGGGGAGACAACTGAAACAATAACCATGGTACAAACAACGGGTAGAGAAGAGTTAACTACAGAGGCTGATGATACGACTATAACAACACAGCGACCTTCAACCGCACCAACCACATCAGAATGTCCAGCGAGCAATTGGACTGAACAAACCACGATGTCAAACACACCAGGAAACAACCTCCCGTTACAAGATGGCGTCCCAATGGGCCGATTCACAACATCTATAATTGCGGGTGTACTCTCTACATTTGTGGGGACGTTGTTTTTAGTTGGAGTGTTATTTTATCTCTATAGACGGAAGGCATCCAAGAGGCAACGCAGTGACGTCAGTGAGATGGTTGTGACGGGTACAGGGGACGCTAACGATGGTTACTATGAAAGCAAAAGTTTGTAAAACAAAACAGAAGGTGGCCCCACATTAAGAACATAATTGCAAAGCTTATACAAACCCTGATTACAAGGGTACTAGTACATTGGTAACACGAAAGGGGCATTTATCAAGTGACTAGGAAATATGGAAAAGGCAAACGAACTGTAAACACATAGTAATATGAAGTATAGCTTATAAATAATGAATAAATAAACATATGAAACGATTATAATTATGCGTCTTATGCGTATGATATTTCACCTTATAAATAGTGAACTATGAATGCATAGTCGCGTGTATATGATATATATGTAGCTTATAATTCACCTTATTTTTTAACTTCAGTTGAGTCTCAATACTCTAAACATTATTTTGATACATAAAACATGGTCAGAATCGCTTGCAAATTGCAGATATTATAAGCTTGAAGCACTTTCTTACTTTTTTTTGGGCAAAAACTCCGCTCATGGACATGTCCTCATATCTATTTATAGATCGCCAAGAAATTAAAAAAAATTTTGGAAAGCAACACCTTCAAGGAATGGTCATTCCACATTGCACTGAGTCCAGGGATTGAATCCTCAATCCACACATAGCTAGGCAAGGTGTTTCCATTCCAGCCAATCAGAACACACTATTTAACGTAACTGCAATCCATCAAACAAGCGTTCGGGCTTGTTTTTTAAAATTAACACTCGATCGATAATCCGCATCTCGTGCAAATTCATTGGAAAGTAACACCTTCAATGGATAGTCATTCCACATTGCACCGAGCCAAGTGCTTAAATCCTTTAATTGGAGAAATTTTATAGCGAGGAATTATATTTTAAGATCTGCACTTTTAAACATAATTATGATGCTTAAATGTGTCAAAAAATCGTGAAATCATGAAAATATCGTACTTTCGAGGCTGCGACATTTCATTACGAAAACTGATCCGTTTCCGTAATTAGTTTGAAGAGTTATTCAAAAGTGAGCTCTTAAAAGATAAGTTCCACAATGATAAAAATACGTATAGTATTGATAAGGTACACATTATCAAATTATTCTGTCTTTGTACCAATCAAGATGTAGAGAATTGGCGATGTTTATGACGATCAAATGAAAGCAAAAGTCTCAAATCAAATCGAACTGCAATGGTGGTTGAATTTCGTCGTGTTTATCAAAGTAAACAGTCGAAATGTTGACACATGCGCAGACCTCTATTTAGTGATATTTTCATTTCAAATATGGCGGCCAATCCGATGTCTGACGACCCTTACAAAGAATCTAGGCAGTGTGCAATTTTACCTCCTGTGAAATAACAAGTGGAATTTAGTAGTTGTTTTGTGTTTTATTGTCATTCTGCATCGTAATTCTATGTGATGTGGTGTTGAAATGTCAGCAGAAATACATATCCATACGATAATCGAGTGAATCAGATAACAGATTTTTCGAAAACACGTCTCGTGCTAAGCGTGTAAAAACTTGTATTAACATGCTCAAATGTGCCAATGTGCACATCAATGTCAAGCTAAATCAATGTTGTGTCTAAAACAGGTACCTGATCTACTCAAAACAGCTTGTCATTCACGTATACACGCTTAGCAAACACGGCGAAATGATCTGAATCTTGGAATTTCGTTTGAGAGCTAGTAATGTTTGCTCCGGTCTTCGTCATAAGTGTTCATCAGACTTCACGCATGCTCAGGAGAAAAACCATCAACCAATCACGTTTATAAATCAATTTTGCGCATGCGCCTTACAACGGTAAAGAAATTTGTATTTATAAACGAACCAATTTGAGATAACCCGATATCAGTCGGAGAAATCTGACGATCTACGAAACTCACTTCAAAAAATCAAATGCGGACTGACGGCGTATTCTACTATGTTTGGATCTAAGATTTTCAGATAAAGTCTTTTATGATCTTTCGAATGAGGTAAGTCTCTAGTTCGAAAGACAATCGTATCAACTTGAACAAAAGTTGAGTTTTGACGAAAAATTTTAACATGCGCAGAAGTCCCATTTTCGTTGTACCATATTGACTGTAAACATAGATTATTTGATGTTTATACTGTTTTAAATTGCTTGTTAAGATAACAATATCGTTCTATCATTGCAAATGTTGTATGATCTTGTAGAACTCAACCTAGAAATAATAAGACATGTAAGAAACAATGTTTCAGAAGTTCAATACACGTGAATGATACACTTAGTGGTTATACATCATTTTTGCCATGCCTTATTGAGTGACATTTTCAACAAAGCATATTGAGTTCTGTAATTGCTCGATTATAATGAAACAGATTCCGATGAAAGTGCAGACCATTGCATTTGTGGGTCTGCTATTGGGAATTATCACACTGACGTCTGCACAGAGATGTCCGAGACCGTGCTTTTGCATGTCAACGAGTTCCACCGTCAGGTGTGAGTATAAACGCCTTACTGATATTCCGTTAGGTTTCCCTAATGACACCAAAAGAATGTTCTTCAGAGGGAACTCCATAACAACGCTGAGGGCAAACAGATTCGATTATTTGACCGAATTAGAGTATCTGGATTTGGACGATTGTAAAATCATAGTTATCGAGGTAGGAGCGTTTGATGGACTTACTTCTTTAAAGACCCTTAAGTTGGACAATAACTTGATGGTATCTCTCCCACCTAGTGTGTTCCGAAACTTGAATCTTAAAAGATTGTCGCTACGTGTTAATGATGAACTTATCGAGCTCAGTTCGAATGCATTCAACATTTTCACTTCCGAATTACTCGACCTTTCATATTCGGATAAACTCGCGAACATAAAGTCTGACTCGTTCACTGGAGCGAATATCAAAAGTATAATAATCATAGATTCAGACATAACTGCAGTTGGCTCCAAAGCGTTCAGTCCACTTGGGTCCTCATTAGCGAGTTTGAGCATTTCCCGGAACAGACGTCCTCTAGTCTTACCGGACGATCCTTTCGATGGATTAAACTTGCACTCACTCGCATTGTGGCAAGATGGATTGACAAGGTTGAACTTCCTTTGGGGCCTGCGGACAAAAACCTTGGCATTGAATTCGAACAATTTCGACAGCGTCGACTTAAGCCCATACGTTCTGCTGAAAGAGACCCTAACACGCATCAGTCTCAATGATTGTGGAATTGACTACCTCACAAGGAGATCCTTCGATAATCTTGAGCGTGTTACGAATCTAGAACTGTCGAGAAACAACCTAACGATCCTCGATGGCGCCTTTTTTGAAGATCTCAAGAACCTCAGTCAAATATTCTTATCGTATAATCAAATCCACACCATCACGGATGACTTTGGTGACTATCTTCCAAATCTAGCTTATTTGGGATTGCGATACAATTCCATTTCACGAGTCAATGGAGCCATGTTTGCAAAGATGCGACGTCTGATACAATTAAACTTGTCTTTTAACAAGATACAATTCATTCCCAAAGATATGAAACCTATCCTAGATAAGCTTGTGAGAAACAAAGATTTCGAGGGCAATCCCTTCCATTGCAATTGTGAGATGCTTTGGTTCTGGGAGTGGGCCAAGGTGAACAGCAGCAAGTTTAGAACCATGCGTTGTGCAACGCCTTTACACCCTCCTAAGAGCTTCTACCTGATGCGAGAAGAAGACTTTATTTGCATACCTGCTACCTTATGTGGTTCGCCTAATATAACGTTATCACTAGGAGGTTCTGGAAATGTAAGTTGCTCGACCAGTGGAGATCCTGCCCCTAAACTAACCATATCTAACAACGAAGGAAGAATTGTTGGCCAGAGTGACTTCCCAGCCAACAAAACAACATTGGAGAATGAAGTTATCTTCGAAATCGATACAGTTACTCCAGGGTTCGTTGGTTCATACATATGCAATGCTACCCATCCTTTAGGAGACCTTACTATGGATACTTGCTTACGAGTCATGACACCAGTCGGGACGCCAGAACCTCCTTTCCGTTCAAATGATATTTGTATATCATCTACAACTAATTCAACGACAACTACAACAACTATCGCTCCGACAATTGAAGCAAAAACAACACGTTCCGAAGAGTTACCTACAGAGGCTGATTCGACTTATTCGACCGGACTGACCACATCAGAATGTCCAGAGAGCAACTGGACTGAAAATGAAAAAACCACGACGTCAAGCACACCGGGAAACAACCTCCCATTACAAGATGGCATCACAATGACCCGGTTCACAACATCTATGATTGCAGGTATACTCTGCACATTTGTGGGGACATTGTTGTTAGTTGCAGTGTTGTTATATCTCTATAGACGGAAAGGATCCAAGAGACAACACAAAGACATTACAGCAAGTGATGTGACCGGTGCAGGGTATGCCAACGATGGTTATTACGAGAGTAAAAATTTGTAAAGCGGAAGGTAGCCATCCATTAAGATGTTAAAGGTGACAGTCAAAACAACTGACATATTACACTTACACCACAGAATAAGATTGAAGTCATTCTAACTGCAAGCCTTGTGACATCACCCCACAAAACACTATTAAACAAGATGAAACTGTCAACCTCTGAAACGTTGTCATTTCCCCTACATTTCGCGAAATACGATTTTGTCAATGAAGATAAAACCACGGTCTGTACAGTACTGTAAGGTGAAAGGTAACAAAAGGCAAACTAAGGTTTGATCAGAGACATAAATATGCATCAATATTTGCATGCATTTTTAATGTTTACATGTACTATTATATCGGTATATTGTTTATCGATGGTAGCGCTATGACCTGGGTGAAGACTTTAAAATAGATACATTTAGTCGTGAATCAAAACAACAATAACTCGGACATTGCCCAGAGCCTATAAGCTAATGTTTAGAACTAATGTATCAACCATGTAGTATGGTAGAAACAAATAAAATAAAATAACAGCTTCTTAATTGCCATTCAAGTCGCAACTTGTTGTGTGGATAAAAATGCATTTTAAAGAAATGTATGTAGTTGTTGGTTTGGCGTGGTTGGGTTTTATTCTAGAAATTGTAAGTGTGAAAGGACAAACTAACGATTGTCCAAAAGGATGCTATTGTCGAAAGCGAGATCTCGCCATCTATTGCAGACAAAGAAAATTCAAAACAATTCCAATGGACCTTCCATTTAACATAACTGCTCTTTATTTCGGAAGTAATATGATATCTGAAATACACAGGGGATATTTTGAACCGTATCCTATGCTAAAAGTCATCGAGCTGTCTAACAACGAAATCGAACTCGCAGACCAAAATGCTTTTCATGGACTTACAGAACTCGAGGAAATCAATTTGAAAGGAAACAAAATTGAAGATTTAGATCCATATATGTTTAATGGGCTTGTCCTAGATTCTCTGGATGTATCCGATAATATGCTAAGATCTTTAGATGAAAATACATTTTCAAATGCAACGATAAAGAAGCTTTCGATTGAGGAGAATAAGAAATTGAAAACCATTAGTGATGATGCATTTGAAAATTCAACTATAAGGGAGATCGTCATCAAGAACTGCAATCTTGACGGCGTTTCCGTGTCCTGTCTGAAAAGTATAAATGGCCTGACTCGGCTGGAAATATCGAATAATCGCAAGCAGTTGAATCTCCCCAGTGGTTTGTTCAGCAATATGAGTCTCCAGGTTCTAAAACTGGACAATAATAAGCTCCAAACACTTAATTTTCTTGGGAGTGTTGACGTAACTGATCTTTCACTCAACGAAAACAAGGGATTGGTCGTTGATTTCTCTCCATTTCCTAGCATGAGCAATACCGCTTATCTCAGTATGGAAAATATAGGAATTTCATTGATCGGCGACAATGCTTTTAAAAATCTGGAGAACCTTGTATCGTTAAAGATGATGCATAACAACATAAAGAATCTCAACAGCAGCGCCTTCAAACATTTCAAGAAAATCTCCGAACTCCACTTTTGGTACAACAAGATCAACTACATATCAAATGATTTCGGGAGGACACTTCCCACTCTTGAGTATTTTGAACTAAAGAACAACAGCCTGAAAAGTATCAATGGTGGTATGTTCCGAGGTATGAACAAACTAATCATTCTCAACCTACAAAGCAACAAACTACAGACGATGCCCCTTGATATGGAAAAGATCCTGCAGAATATATCCAAACTATCGGACTTCTCTGGAAACCCATTTCACTGTAACTGCGATCTTATATGGTTTTGGAAATGGGCAAAAGAAAACACAATGACTGGAAACCAAGCATTCTGTGCGAGTCCCTTTCAGAAAACTTTCATTTGGGCGCAAAGGCGAGATTTCACTTGCACTAAACCCAATCTCTGTGTCCCAAAGAATAACACCCTTTTAGAAGGCTCCAGTTTCGTCATCATGTGTACGTCACGTGGTGACCCGGCCCCTTTTGTGTCCATTAACACACCCTCTGGCCAACTGTATACCATGAGTCCATCTGAAAGGATTAGTAATACTGTGACTGCAGTTGAGATCACGATACCTCGAGTCAACAGTACTCACGCCGGCTCTTACACCTGTATCGCGACAAGTATCAAAGGTAGCATTAGTAATGTATTTACTCTTAAAGTTGATAACCAAAGAAGCCCGATCATACATTCTTCTGCACCAGATAAGTTGGTTTGCACTAATCTTGGATATGACATACCAACGACCACCAAAAAAACGAACGTAATTACACCTCGTCCAAGACGCCCTCCCAACCGCCTCAAAGTATCTACACCTAGGAATCCACCAAAAGTGAAATGGATTACAACTTCTACAACTACCACCACCACCCCTACCCAAATCAGTACCACTACCCCACCAGCACCAACTGTTCGTGGTGAAGAAACAAACTACGTCGAGTCTGCCGAAGTTGTTACGTCAATCCCGAACGTAGAAAATGCCATCACGGCCACTAACAGTACTACAAGGAAAGTTGAGTTTACAGAATATGTTGTCGGCATGGTGGTTGCTGTGGTTGTAACCTTAGTGATAACATCTATAATATTCTCCGTGGTTATTTTGGTGTTATGTAGGAACAGAATTGTTAAAGTACAAAAAGAACAAATAGAAATGACCTCAAACATTATACCAGAAAGAGAGTCAAGTATTGATTTTTATGAGCCGCAGCAAGCGTACAACGGTGTGTCTCATGTGACACATTACCATCAGTAACAAATGAATATTATGTGTTAAAAACACGGGATGTATGTTATGTACTTCTTCACATCACATAGATGCAACGAAATGAAATGCTGTGTGTGAACTTACTACAACAAAATATAAATCTAGTAATATTGAGAAAGATTTGAAAAACTTTACATGTTGCTTAATTTTGCAGCTATGTGATTGTTAAATCTTTGTAATTACTTACAGGAAGCATTCATGATGTGCAGACTACACTGTGGAATAGCAATATATTGATTGATGTACATTATATTTTATTGCAATTCGTATTCACTGGATTACTACTTGGCTCAAAATTAACGTAGGTCACTCGAGGCATTAAAATAATCATAACTCATAGCCATTTCAGATTTGAACGTCAAGTTAAGGACAGAACCATTTAAAAACAATTTATAGTTTTTGAGACAAGTTTAATTAGTCCCTTAGTCACACGTTCTTATTTTTATAAACCTATCGCATAACGCCGAACTTTGTAATCCTACAATGAAGCAAGAGTATTGTTTCAAAATGTTTTGAAATGTTGAATTCACCGTGATTGAAGGGATGCACATATCGGATGAAATTAATCTCTAAAAAGCAAGGTTCAAGATTAGAGCCGTGGACACACCAGCGATGACGATGTGCTTGTAAAATTAGTGGTATAAATTGATACCATCAAATGATCGGTGATACGATTTTAAGAGTTATAATGTGTTCAGGAAAATACAGAATGATATAAAACATACGTCTTATTGCGTACTCTGAGAAATCATGATATGAAAATAAAGACCTGGTTAGATTATGAGTATAATAGGCAAATCATAAGGCAGTCATTTTAGCAAACCATTATAAAATCGTGTCACAAACAATAACGCTTCAAGATCTTTATTTTACAAGGATGCATACTGGTATACAAACTGTTTATGGTTTCTGAATGTGTTTTGGCATGCTGCATGTTTTCCTCTGTTCTCCACGTGCACGTCTTCTATAATGTAATAAATAATTTTATCTAACACTAATATGTTGTTATGACACCACCAAAAAGTGGTGACATATTGTTATGGTCTCCGTTTTTTTGACGCCGGATGGTGGTTGGCGATCGGCGTATGTAACAAATTCTTACAACTTCCAATAACTTAACAAATACTGTTTAGACTGACTTCAATTTTTTTCAAAATCATCTACATGTTTTCAGAAGTTCAGATCTGACTTCATATATAAGATTTGACCTTCAATGACCTTTTGAAGGTCAAAAAAGGTAAAAAGGTATTTTTTCAACTTGCTTCAAATTGACCATTTCTTTTTTCAAAATCATCTACAAGTTATCACAAGTTCAAATCTGACTTTAGATTTGACCTTCAATGACCTTCTCAAGGTCAAAAAAGGTCAAAAAGATATTTTTCAACTTGCTTCAAATTGACCATTTTTTCAAAATCATCTACAAGTTCTCAACAGTCCAAATCTGACTATAGAATTGACCTTCAATGACATTTTCAAGGTCAAAAAATATTTAACCTTCAATGACATTCTCAAGGTCAAAATGTATTTTTTCATCTTGCTTCAAATCTTTCAAATTGACCAATTCTTTTCAAAATCATCTACAAGTTCTCAACAGTTCAAATCTGACTATAGATTTGTCCTTTCAATGACATTCTCAAGAGTAGTTACAGAAACGAGAGTTCTGACGCACCTTTAACATTGAGTCCTATGGGGAGGGACACGATTTTTCATAGTACCCTCCCTAACATGGGCTCCAATGGGGAGGGACATCTGTGAGCCTCCCTGAGCTCGGGAGGCACATACGGGGACCCCACCCCTCCCCCCTCGGCGTGGTGGCGTGTACATATTTCGGGAATCTCGGGCCCTAAGAGTAACGGACGCCCTACCCCACGACTATACGTTCCGGAAGTTAGCCATTTTGACAGGAAGTCAGCCATTTTGACCGGAAGTCAGCCCGGAAGTCAGCCATTTAACCGGAAGTCGGCCATTTTGAAGCTTTCTAGCAGGAAGTCAGCCATTTTGCATCTGTCTGGGCAAGAGGGTGACATCATAGCGGAAGTGAGGCATCTTTTAGTCGGCCTGGGTAGGTTTTAAAACGGAAGTTAGCCATCTTTTCCCTACCTCCTCCCACTTCCTCCTTACCTCCTCCTTACCTCCCCCCGCCTCCTCCCTACCTCATCATTACCTCCTCCCTATATCCTCCTTACCTCTTCCCACCTCTTCCTTACCTTCTCCCACCTCCTCTCTACCTCCTCCCGCTTCCTCCTTACCTCCTCCCACCTCCTCCCTACCTCATCATTACCTCCTCCTTACCTCCTCAAACCTCTTCCTTACCTCCTCCCACCTCCTCCCTACCTCCTCCTTACCTCATACCTCCTCCTACTTCCACCCAACCTCCTCCTGTCTCTTCTCCATCTTCCAAACCTCCTCCCCTCCCTTTACTTTAATATTCAATAGTTTATAATGTCATAAATGCCTGTTTATGTTTACAATTGATCTTAATTGACACATTTTGAACCAATCACAATACTGCACATTAGAATATTCTTATATATTTTAAGTTGTCCATGTTTTGAGTCATTTTACTGATAGATCTTGAACAGACAACATGTCTTTCAATTGTTCTGAGTGTAGTGTGAATTTTACGAGAGGTGATAACCTATCAAGGCATATGAATAAGTTTCATGGAGAAAAAATGCATCAGTCTGATGTTATGCTGAAACATCCGTTTACTATGATAGCAGGTATAGGCATGGACATGTTGAAATTAAAAGTCTGATAGGTTTCTAAATATAGAAAGAGAGCATGTCAATTTATTAAAAAAAAATTTTTTTGTTGTATTTTCAGCCGGACCAACATCGTCGGGGAAGACCTGGCTTATGAAGCACTTGATCAAAAATGTTGAACGGTATATATCCCCAATTCCTAGAAGAATCATCTGGTGTTATGGTCAATGGCAGCCTGCCTACGAAGAGCTAAGAAAATACCCACATTTGGAATTTGTGAAGGGAATACCAGAGGATATTGATGATTCAAGATACCTTGACACTTCAGTTCCTACTTTGATACTTCTCGATGATCTTATGAATGAGGCAACAAATGATCAACGGATATGTGATCTCTATAGCAAAGGCAGTCACCATCGAAATCTGTCTGTGATATGCCTACTCCAGAATATGTATCATCAAGGAAAAATGAATAGATCGATGAGCTTAAACTCTCACTATATGATACTGTTTAATAACCCGAGAGATCGCCAACAGGTGGCATTCTTATCGAGGCAGATGTACCCCGGAAATGGAAACAAGTTGGTCAGAGCATATACCAACGCAACTAGTCGACCCTATGGTTACCTGCTTCTTGATCTGAAGCAAGAAACTTCGGAGCACAGCAGATTGAAACCAAATGCCTTTACTAAAAGTGAAGTTGAATTTGAAAGTCATCACGATTCCCGCAACTTCAAGGAACCAATGAATGATTCAAAACACTTACTTGAAAGACAGGGTATTTCAGAAGTTGACTATCCGACGACAACATTTATAAATAGTAGTGATGTTAAGAACTACCCTTACATGGAACGTGAATTTCGAGAAGACAGCATGGTATCCTGTGATGACTGTGGTTTAGTATTTGATAGCATTCACGACTTACAGAGGCATATAAAAAAGTGGTGTCAAGATCAGGGACCACTACCCAAGAGGATGAGGACCCAATCTACCCAAAATATTGAGGAGAAGATTCCTCAAGACAAAGACAATGACGTTGATGACGATGATGGTGATTTGAAAGCAAATGAAACATTTGCATTCTTAAAGAAGTGGTCTATAAGACAGAATGAGGAAGACCACCGACGTAAAGTGGATGAGTATATGGATAGAGGGATGGATAAGACAGAGGCTGTAGAAAAGGCAGATAATAAACTATTGTCAAAGAATAAGGAAGAATTTATAAAAGGATATAAACAATTCGTCAAGCTAACGGTTGATGTAAAAGACAATGCGTTACACAGAAATATAATTGATTCAATAAATAATATGATGAGGAGGGGTGTCTCTGTGAACTTAGCCATTAGGAAGACACTTTTAAAAAACAAACACAAGTTTGATGAGGTCTTTATAGAGGATACAGACCAGGAAAGTAGCTCCGAGGAAGAACAGAGTGAATCCGAAAACGAGGCTGTTGAATCAAGCACTGAGTGATAAATATTAGCAATTTAAAGAGAGATCGTCATTAAGGAGTCAGATTCCGACAGTGTAAGATGGCATATCAAGACTATTTAAAGAAATTATACTTTGACAGTCGAAATTCTGGAGCCTTTGCTGGACCAGACAAACTCTATAGAGCTGTACTAAATGATGGGAAATACCAGCTGTCCCGTTATCAGATAAAGAAATGGCTGGACAATCAAGAAGCTTATGGCCTACAGAGACCTTATAAGAAACGATTCGCTCGTAACAAAGTATATGTCTCGCATATTGACGAACAATGGGATGCAGATCTTATGGATGTCTCTAATATATCATCGCAGAATGACGGGATAAAGTATATCCTGGTTGCGATTGACATTATGTCTCGCTTTGCCTGGGTTAGACCGCTACACTCCAAAACTGGAAAGGCAGTGGCGGAGGCTTTCGATGATATATTGAAAGAAGGTCGACAACCAGATGTCACTAGGACGGACAAAGGTCAAGAATTCCGCGCTAAGCACAGCGAAAAATGATAAAGTATCCTGCCTGGATACTTTCGGGATATTATATGAATATGGAACACATCCTTAAGAATCCGTGATAAATACTCTAAGTATCACGATTTCGGAGATGCATGGATATTATTGAGAGACGGAACACTAATATCCAGAAATATCCGTAGTTCTGGAAACTACTGATATATGTCTCGTTTATTCACGGATACTTCAGGATTCAACTGTTATATCATTCGGATACTCAGAAATACGGTTGAATATTCAATTATATTTTCGGGATATTTAGGGATACTTTTGGAATATTAATAAATACGGTCGGGATTCTTTACATACAGCAAGGATATTTTCGTTCACATTGACTCTAAAACTCGGAGAGCTATTTGCATACATAACATGTCCAAATACCTATGTAATTTCAAGCTGAGAATACATTGATATATATCGAGCATTAATATGTGAAAAGCTCTTAATAGAGCCCGACAAACTAAACACAAAGAGATTTAATAACTTTGTACAGTATTGACGACCTTTTGCGCTTTAAGCGGTCATTGCATACTAATACTAAATATTTCAACTTTGAAAATGCTTCGAAGTTTATCCTAGGAGTCCAAAATAACGTTCTGAGCTGTGTCGATATTTCTTCTCAATTTATTGATATCGCGCCGACGTCAGAGAACAAGCTTCCGGTTTAATCGGCTCAGCCAGGAAGTATGCAATGGCGACTAATATTTGTGTTTGTTTCCTTAATTCGAAGCCATTTTTCAGTGTCTTCGAATATCAAAATGTAGTCAACAAAAGCTTGTTAGTAAAGTGCATAACATCCCCTACAAGATGAATTCACGTTTATATCTTGAAAGTTCGACTGAAGCCAGATAAAATGAGAAAACTACGAAATGCACACACTAAAATTCGACGGTTTCACAGTATTATTCAAATAAATCAGTCGACATGAAGGAAATGGTATTTCTACTCGAGTCGTTTTTAACTTTAATACATCTTCCGTGCTTAGAAGCAAATTTTTCATCATAGAGCGGCTTATTGTTGATGTAATCGTCGATTGGATTTCCCAAACTAACACAAGTTTTTCGATGGCAGCCATCGTTTTGAGTGGTTCAGATATCACGAAGAGAATGTTGTTTCAGCAGAAGATACAATATATTTCACATTCTATATTTGGTGAAACGCCAAACAAACGTTTTAAATACGTAAATTGAATGTTAACTATATTAATTATTCCGGATACTCAAAAATATTTCTGAATACTATGGAAGTCAAGTATCCTGGAATATCCTTAATTCGGATATGTTGAAATTTGGAAACCAGAAATATCCTTTTAAATATATTTCTGGATATTTGAAGTATCGGTATATTTTAGGATATTCCAGAATACGACAAATATCCGGGATTTGGGATATCTATAAAAACTATTGGATACTATGCCATTTTTCGCTGTGAAGGTTGTACAAACATTGTTGAATAGATGGGGAGTCCGCCATTTTGTTACGGGTAATACCCCCAAGGCCAACTATGCAGAAAGATTGATAAAGACGTTAAAGACTAAAATAATGAGGTATATCACGTACAAACAGAACCATAGATTTATAGACAATTTACAAAACTTTGTGAAGAGTTATAACGCCACTTGGCATAGGGGTATAAAAATGGCTCCTAAAAATGTATCTAAAGACGATGAATTGGTTATTTGGTGGCGGATGTATTATCCTAAATCAACTATCGTTAAAACCAAATCTAATCACATCTTTAAATTCCCCATTGGAGCTCTGGTAAGAATTACCCAGTCGAGACATGTTTTTAGTAGAGAATACGACCAACATTGGACAGGGGAAATTTTTAAAGTAACGAAACGTTTTATTAGGCAGGGCCTCCCATTATATCGTTTAAATGATTTTCAAAATGAAGACATTAAGGGTACTTTTTACCAATCGGAGCTTCAAAGAGTACAAGCGAATGAAGATGATATTTGGAAAGTAGAAAAAATCTTGAAAACACGAACTAGACGAGGGCAACGGGAACATTTAGTGCGTTGGCAATATTGGCCAAAAAAGTTTGATTCGTGGGTTAAAGATTCCGATTTAATACCTTTGTAATTTGTGTATGATTCAATGAAGAATTTTGAATGTTATAATGTAAATATGTATTATAGTTGATGTATTTTGAAAAGAAGTGTGTTGACGAATTAGCAAATAAATATTTATCCCAACCAAATGTAACATCCATTAAACGGTATGATCTTAAATCGATGAAGGACGTTACACTAATTAAAGTTGATGGATGGTTGATTGATAATCGATAATCGAGCTAGGTCCGCACTTTAAAGTACAGTCCAGAGTAATTTGTTTTGTAAACTGACAGCTGGATGACCTTAAAACGATAAGACCTCGCGAGTACGAAACGCCTGGTTGATAGGTAATCGATAATCCGCCTGGACCGCACTTTATAAATAAGGCAGTGACATTTACGACGCGTACTGGTTTATCGATTTATTGTTTTTGGCGGGAATTCGAATAGTATCCTTACAGTAAACGTACAAACGTGGGGTAGGGCGTCCGTTACCTTAGGGCCCGAGATTCCCGAAATATGTACACGCCACCACGCCGAGGGGGGAGGGGTGGGGTCCCCGTATGTGCCTCCCGAGCTCAGGGAGGCTCACAGATGTCCCTCCCCATTGGAGCCCATGTTAGGGAGGGTACTATGAAAAATCGTGTCCCTCCCCATAGGACTCCATGTTAAAGGTGCGTCAGAACTCTCGTTTCTGTAACTACTCTCAAGGTCCAAAAAGATTTGACCTTCAATGGCAGTCTCAAGGTCCAAAAGGATTTGACCTTCAATGACAGTCTCAAGGTCAAAAAGGTCTTTTTTCTTCTTGCTTCAAATTGACCAATTCTTTTTCAAAATCATCAACAAGTTCTCAGAAGTTCAAATCTGATTTGAGATTTGAGATTTCACCTTTAATGACCTTCTCAGGGTAAAAACGGGTTTTTTCAACTTGCTTCATATTGACCAATTTATTTTTTCAAAATCATCTACAAGTTCTCAGAAATTCAAATCTGACTTAGATTGAACTCATAATAATGTGAATGCCTTGTTTATTTTTTATTTTTTTGGGGGGGGGGTAATTGTTCCACTTTATATCAACATTTTAGTGAACTTTTCGACCCCATAGAATACAAATAAGCCTCAGTGGTGGTAGGTCTGAATGATTAAAAGATTCAAAGTGCCAGGAAAACTATTTACATTTTTGAGTATTGAATTAGTTAGTGGTTTGCAGGTTACTAGCTGCCATCTGAAGTATTTGGATTGTTCTGTTATAGTTAGATATAGGAAAACGTGTAACCATCAATACAATACTGACCCAAGGTAGTACACGCTGGAATAGTTGGGTGCGATCATACACCGTATCATATCAGGACGACAATGGTTTTTTCCAGAAGGTCAAAGACACGACAGTGAAAACAAAGGTGAGAAATCATGGAAATTGTTAGTAGTCTGTATGGCTTATGCTGAAGGTCGGAATGGGATACTCTTCCAATTAAAACCACGATATGTGTTATATTACACAGTGTTTTAAGAATGAATTTATTTTAGATGTTTAATGGAAACATTGATACAACCAGTGTCGTAAGAAATCAGCTTTCATTAGAGATGCAAGTTCTGAGACTTTATCCTGAGACCTGGTCTGGTGGTATTGCTTTAAAGATTGGTCTTGCCAGCTGCCAAGAAATGATCTCGGGTAGGTAATTCGAGACAAATATGATTGATTATGTTGTAGACTTTAGCCCCTGTGACCTTAAGATCCTGCATTCTCAATGGAGTTATGATCTTAGACCCTGCACGCTCCATTGGACTCTGACCTTTTTAAGACTGACCAGAACAACATACCAAGGGATGAAACAACAATTTGAAACCTCGATGGACATGATGGAGGATGGTACCAAACCTGTAATTATAAATCTTAGGAAATTAAATGTCGATAATTTGTAATCCAGGCACATGTGACGAGGGTTGGCACACCCATGGTTCAGACTGTAACAAAGTCCTGGAGGAGGAGGCTCAGTTGGAAGAACAGCACCTTGCATGCGCATCCTTGGATGCAGCTGTAGTATCACCAACACCTGCAGATACAGCATACCTTCTACAGCTGCTAAGTTGGAACAAGTTGAAGACAATTTATATTGATGAAGTAAATGCTACATTCACTCCTGTACATAAAGCTCTGTTGGAAAGTGTGTGGAAAAATGATGAAACTGGTATGTCTGTATAGTTGTGTTCATCCTAATTATACGTTGAGAAATCGAAGGTGGAGAGTGCGCTCTTTAATTTATCATATTGAATATCCATCCACTGTTTCAAAATTCAGCCTATTTTGAAGACTCCTTTTCGCAATGTGGCTCCAATTCCCTAGATGGGGTTTATTTTCTATGATAATGGAAATGGATTAGAATGATTCAAGTTAGAATTTTAAGTTGATTGGACAGAACTTGAATTTCACGGGGCAGCTTAATCGTGTGTTGTTTATAATGTTTTACAATTAATATTCGGAATTTCTAATTACATTAGGTATATTCTATACTTTTGTTTTAACACCTGTTATTGCATAATTCAGACTGTCCAAGCGATGCTACAGAAGCTGGTACCTTGAAAAGAGTATATTCTGTCCTCCACGTCGACTACGCACAAAACGGCAGTATCGTGCCTGCTTACTTTAATGTCTCACAAAATGTAGTTTTCCCTACTATTTGTCAAAAATGTGAGTAGAAGATTTTTGCCTAGTATTATTATGTCACCAACAAGAAGTGGAGACATATTGTTATGGTCTCCGTTTTTTTGTGGCGGCGGTTGGTGGTTGGTGATCAGCGATAACTATCTTTTGTCAAAATCTTCTATAATGTTAATCATCAGCACATGTTTTGGACTAGTAACTTGATACAAGTGTTATCCCTTTGTCAAAACCATATTCTATAGCCTTGTTACATAATACCTGCGCTTTGTTCATTTTTGTTTTGTTTTTGTTTTTTAATTTTTTTAGATGTAACATATATTAACCAGATTATAAGTGGTGGTCCCTAGGAGGTACTGTCATCCAATATTTCTAAACTACCTATTTTTCTCCAAATAACAAAGGTAACTTACCAAAACATAGTGTCTTCTTATTATTACGCGTTAAATCCATGTACAACAAATTATTTGTAAAGAATACTCCCTGAATAAACATAATAGTCTAGTGTTGATTTCAATTTTCTCGTTCTATTCTTGCAAGGGTATGAACTCCACATGTCAAGTTATGTGGGTGCACAGTGCACTGCATTTAGGATAACTGAGGATCAGTGGTTTAGTGCTATGGTTATATATGGGAACAGATCAGTGAATAGCGGGCGGCGTCTGTAACAAATTCTTAAAACTTCCAATAACTTCTAACAACTGTTTAGACTGACTTCAATATTTTCCAAATCATCTGCAAGTTTTCAAAAGTTCAAATCTGACTTTAATTTTAAGATTTGACCTTAAATGACCTTTTCAAGGTCAAAAAAGTTCAAAGAGGTCTTTTTGCTTCTAAGTAACCAAATTTTTTAAAAATCATCTACAAGTCATCAGAAGTTCAAATCTTACATTAAATTTAAGATTTGACCTTCAATGACCTTCTCAAGGTCAAAATGGTATTTTTCAACTTGCTTCAAATTGACCAATTTTTTCAAAATCATGTATAAGTTCTCAAAAGTTCAAATCTGTCTATAGATATGACCTTCAACGAAATTCTCAAGGTCAAAAAAGATTTGACCTTCAATGACCTTCTCAAGGTCAAACAGGTCTTTTTTCAACTTGCTTCAATTTTTTTTTCAAAATCATCTACAAGTTCTCAGAAGTTAAAATCTGACTTAAGATGATTTGAGATTTCATGTTCTTCTCAGGGTCAAAAAAGGTATTTTTTCAACTTGCTTCAAATTGACCATTTTTTCAAAATCATCTACAGAGTTCTCAGATTCAAATCTGACTTAAGATTGAACTGATAATATTGTGAGCAACTAGGTGTCATGTCAATGCCCTGTAATAACTTGCCAATAACTGACAGATTAACGAACGACGATAGCCTTTTTGTATTATCCATATTTTTGTATTTGTTTCAGCTGTAACTAAATGTGATGCAAATAACTGCCTTAACGGAGGCACGTGTGTGCAAAACCTTGGGGAGACGACATGTGAGTGTCCCAAGGGATTTACTGGAAACATATGTGGAAGAGGTGACTTGATTTTCCGAACCAACAAAAGAAGCACTATATTGAACTTCTTCAGAAATGCAAAAAAAGATATTTACTCGCATATCCAGAGTGATATTAGTTCCTAATTATGTCTCATAAACTATTACATATTCAAGTGCATGTATACCTTATAAAACAAAATATATTTATCAAAAATATTGACAAGCAGTCCATTATTGTAACCAATAGAGCAAGTCAAAAAGGTCCAAGCGAATTCTTCATTTTTTAGCGCTGAGAGATGATTCGGGTCTCTACCCATATGGTGACGTCACCATTGGTGACAGCGAGGTCTTTGATGAGGCACAGGTCATAGATGCTGAAGTTGGATTTCCTTGTGGAGATTCAATTAAAAACATGATATATGTAAGAATGCTATTGATTGTTTGCCGAATTTATAACGTGTATATAGGTCCTGTTGCTTGATTTAGCTCCCGGATTTAGCTCATCGTAGTTACGAATAAGTTCTCTACCGACCACCTTTTTATGCAAGATACGTTATATAACTTTTATCCTTAGATAAACAAAAATGGAGTGATCAGTTTTGATAGACCATTGGAGATGAACGTTCCACAAAGTTTACCTTTTGATAGGCATGATATCATCGCCCCCTTCTGGGCACAGTTCAAGCTATTTGAAAAAAGCCATGTGTATCACCATGAATATACAGCTGAACTGAACAACCGGGATACAGGACATATATTTACAATGGTAGAAGAAGACATAAACACATACAATGAAGTCAATGTTGGGTCTAGCCTCCCCGTAACACCAAGCTTTAAGGCATTATGGGTGCTCATCGTGACATGGCAGGACATGGCTCCTGATGATGGCCATCAACAGACAACAGAGGTGAGAACCTGTATGAGTGGATAACATATAGAATTGATGGATGAATGAATAATGAAACACTGGGAAAAAGGAAAGATGGAAATGAATATAAATATTACTACAAATTCCACGACACCAAATTTTTCTCCTTTTGAAATGATACCGAGCGTTGAATTGTCGACAACTAAGAACCCTATCTACTGATTATTTCATTATTTCCTTCTCTTTCAATTCTAATAGTTTTGAATTTTGTCCATCTCAAAAAAGGAAAGATGGAAATGAATATAAATATTACTACTAATTCCACGACACCAAATTTTCCTCCTTTTTAAATGATACTGAGGGTTTAATTGTCGATAACTAAGAACCATATCAACTGATAATTATTTCATTATTTCCTTCTATTTCAATTCTAATTAGTTTAGTTTTGAATTCTGTCCATCTCATCTGTATTTCAATCATTATTTGTAATTCATACACCTTTGTATATCCATGTAATTTTACCGCTCTTTAGTCCAAACTTATATTTCCAGTTGAACACATTCCAAGCGATATTGACAACAAACGGCCTTCAATCATATGCAATCATCAAGGATAAGCCCGATGGGATGAACTGGGATCGTGAACAGACAGGGAGAAAGATAACAAGAGGAATCTCCGTGTGTGGTCAAACTCAACAAATTTCTTTGGAACAGCCAGTTGGAGAACCACTGATTTTCAAAATTGGATCCGTAAACGAGAATCCCGCTACTCAATGTTTCACTTGGGCATTGCAGCAAGATTTGAATGTACTTGAAAGGATCATTGAAGAATTGCCATCTTGCCCATGTACAGCAGGGCAGTTGGAAAGTGAAGGTGTGCGGTGGATACCGTATGGGGAGTCTGAAGATGGAAAACAATGTTTCACATCAAGACTACCTTCTATGATGTACAAGGCAGGACAGGTGAGCCATTTGCAATACGTCCTTAGCAGTAATATCAACAACAATTTCTCATGTCACAACTTTTTCGTATTTTTACATAGTTTTAACTAAAGCTAATCCATTTAATACTTTGACTATCGTGCTTCGTATGTCACATGACGTGTAAGCACAAGTCCTAAAAGGGGAAAAGACCAATTTTTAATCCATAAAATGCAATTTGTAAAACACATGCATTATTAACAAAAGTCACCATGATGAAATTGTGGCAGAATTTAATGGTTAGAGTTATCCCAAAAACCTTTGGATAATTTAATGACCCGGTAACTAATACTTTAAAATTACATTTTATGCTTTTTCAGTCTTGTTGCTACGTAAAGCAAAGTGGTAGTTTGATAACCTCCGGGGCACAAAGTGGCAACGTACATCGTTTCCATGAGAGTCAGGAGCTTCATCGTGAAGCAGATGTAGAAACATATCAGGCATGTTGTGTCGACACCAAATGGTGCCATATATTCTATATGTTCAGACCAAGGAATAACTGTACAACGTATGTGGAACCCTTCAATCGAATATCACAAGGTAATGCACAGTAGTTCATAGCGAGGGATTGCTCATTTGAAAACGTTTGTGCCCTTAGTATTCGCAGCAAAACTAATGGCCAGTCGAGTAATGTGCACATTGTAATCAAAACATGATCATATAAACCCTTGGTATACGCAGCTAACGAAAATTGACCGGTACGGGTCAAAAGCTGGACCGGTACGGGTTAACGGTTTTATTTGAATTTAAAATAGCCATAACTTGCTCAATATTGACTTCCTCGTGTCTAATTTGAAATATATGATGCCTCCCGATGCTTTTAAGTACCCCAATTTTTTACCGATTTTTAAACGGACCAAAGCTCTCTAAATGCGCATTTATGCTCTTTTCTCTCGAGAACGACTGTGTCATTTTCACGATAACTTTTATTTAGTACTTCTAACATATAAGGTATATTTTCCCCATCAAGGTATGATGTAAATGACATGCTATTTACATCTTGTGAGTTTCAATGACGCGCGTTTGATTTTATAAAAACTTTGTGACAAAGAATTTCATCCTGCTTGCAGCGAGAAGACGGACCGGTTCGGGGCAATCTGCTTGCAGCGAGAAGACGGACCGGTTCGGGGCAATAGCTGATGAAATTCTGTTAAAACGATTTGATTTTTAAATATTGTCAAAACTATTGTGATTTCTAGACCTTCAGGATGGCAACGATCTTTGGTTGTCAGTGCTAGGTTTGAGTGGTAACGACGCCTTGACTGCAAGCGATGCTTCACAAAGGGCGAGCATATTTGGGGCCATGCATTTTCACACATTTGACGGATTTCGGTATACATTTAATGGTAGGTGCTGATCTTACATGTATTATATGAATTTTTGAAGACTGAAATACAACGCAGATTTCTAGTATTCAGATTAAACGTTTTGGAATTGTATTTGAGTAAGAAAGGCTCTCTTTTCAGGTATCGGAGAGTATACTCTGTTTCGAGACTTTGATCGGTCAAGTCTTGTCCAAGGACGTAGCGTTCGAGCCACAGACAAAGATGGCTTAAAGATACAGACCAGCGTTCTGAAAGCTATTGCTGTGGCCACAGTAAATTCTGATACATGCTTCCTAGAAGTTTCCTCAGGTGGACCAACCTCTCAAAAAGGTATCACTATTGAACTAAGAAATTATTTATCTATTTGTCGTTTGTTATTCTCATTGTTTGCGAAATCATTTTTAGACCAAGTGAAAAACAACAATCATGACAATATCAAAAATATTACCCCACATTAATCGTATATATCATGGTAGTAATTCCCATTTCTGCAAGATTGATATACATTTATTTTTGCGTATGTAGTGTTTGTGAACAAGAAACCGGTCCAAGAAGAATTCTATACGGAGGAAAGTTTTACCATACACGCCGAGAACGTCGATATTGTGAAAAATGGAGAAAATACTACATTTGTATTTTCTAATGGTAAGTACAATGTGAGCCAATATACTCGTGTAACAGCCGTATTAAAAAATTAATTAATTTATCACTTATATTTTGGATTGCATGCCAATATATATTTATGTAATCATTCATTCAAAATCTCATTCCTAAATCCAAATATCAATTTTTCCCAGGGCTTACTCTATACATTTATGCCAGAGAGGATAGTTTGGACCTGGCCATTTCCATTCCTCCAAATTGGAGCAATACATCAGGCTTGCTAGGAGTCGCCAATAAGAATGCAAGCGATGACTTAACTTCAACTGAATATGATGTGCTACCAACAGATTCCACACCACAAGAGATATTTGCATTTGGACAAACATGTATGTCTGACGTTTCACAATTAACAGCCGTTCTAAATTATTGAGACTCCATTATAAAGCTCCATTGTTTTTACAATCCAGCGAACAAAGATTTCGCTGTTCTTGCCTATCGTATATTCCAATAGACAGTCATAAATAAAAACGATTCTACATTTGGCTCGAACCTAGTGTTAGTTACTATTTATTACCTAGACACGTATCATTGATGGCTTTCAAACTCTGTTTATTTTAGGGAGAGTATTATTTGACGAATCGATTCTCAAATATGATAGTGCTGAAACAACAGCAAATTACACAGATGTATCGTTTCGACCAGTGTTTGATATCCCTGAAGATTCTGAGATAGACAATCTCTGTGGTGACAACTTGGCTTGTGCATATGACTATGGTTTGACTGGAGATTCAAGTTTTTCACTCCAGAGTGCAGCTTTTGACACCGACCAAAGAATAATAGAAAATGAACTACGTGAGTTAATTTTTTTTCCTTGAATGAGAAAATAACCCAATTCTGTATGGAACAGTTGTAATATGTCATTGGTTAATTAGGCTACCATCAATTGCTTTATCTTTTTCAGAAAATCTCCCTCCAACCATGACAGTTCCACTAGTCTTGTTGGCTACTGTCGGTAAGACGGCTTTGGTAAATGTTGCCGCCGTAGATAGCACGGGCGGGGAGTCACGTATTCTTCCAACAGGGGAATTTTCACAAGGAACATTTACAACTTTCAACTCGGCTACTGGTCAGTTCAGATGGACACCCAAGGACACGTCGCCTGTAAAATTGAGGTAAGTCATCATATCCCGTTTTATCATTACAGTTGCATGAGCTTTCGTGACGAAGTTTTCGAACAAAGATTAATCATTTATTAGTCATTTATATGTTCCTTTGTATTATTTGCAGCTTTACTGCAGAAGATGCAAATGGTACTCTTGCTCCCGAAGCAGTTGTCAAGGTGAAATTGTGTTCCGGATGTGGTGAAAATGGGCTATGTGATTTTGGTGCGGTTACAATAGCAGACTCCAGTGAAACATTTACAGTAGTACCATGTAAATGTAGAGTTGGCTGGACAGGTTCGTAACCAAACCCATAATGACCTCTATCGACGTCTCTATTATTAATGACCCTTATCGACCTACAACTGCCATCAGGCATGTCAGGGGTATATCTAGATATTTAAAGAAGATTGTAATATGAATTTTAGAGGCCAAGATTATGTCCCAATATATATACAGCAAACGTGACATGCTATGTTTTTTTGTAAAAACTGTTGGAATGTAGATATTCTATACATTTTTCAGGAACTAGATGCCTCGACAATGCAGACGGTTGTAAAGATCTGCCGTGTGGCGATGGTGCGAAATGCACAGACGAAGACCCAGAGGAGCACGAGTCTTCTGGTCTTGGGTACACATGTGCTACTTTCTGTAATACTGGATATGAGAAACGCAATGGAAGATGCTATGGTATGTGATTTATTGCTGATGCCACTAAAGTACTAGTATTATCTATTTTAAAGGTAATCGCAAAAAGCATGATTGTGCCCGAGGTAAGGTAGATTAAAGGTAAAGCTAGAAACTCTTGCGAACTTAAAGCAATGTGGTAACTCCGAATTCTTATTTTGCTCAGATATCAACGAATGCACATCCCCTGTGAGCCCATGTGAGCAGGAGTGTGTTGATACACCAGGAAGCTTTTTATGCCGCTGTTTCAGAGGTTTCTCCTTGGATAGCAGCAATAAATGTGCAGGTTCGTGCTGAATGTATGTTTGAATGTCTCAGTCGAAATACATGTAAGTGATATGATAACACTTCCTCCCTAAGTTTGGGAATCGGAAGTTTATTTGAACTTAATGGCATCCATCCCGACAACATTGCATTGAAACTGGAATTGCCTCGGTTAGTTCTCCCATATGAATTGCTGTTTCATATACTGTAGATTGGGTTAATTTGGCGCTACTTAATTTGGCGATTTTGCCATTTTTGGCATATTGGCGGCTATTTAATTTGGCGGATATGCAAAAAAAAATTGTTAAACTTACCCGCTGTTTGCGAATTATCATGTAAATGGGCATGTTTGGCTATGTTCATTTTATCTTTTGAGGACCAATGGCGATATTCACCACAATTATACATATTTGTGAGATCATCCTTTACATTTTGCCCCTTGATCGATGCTGCTCCTATACCGCGCTTTTCCTTTCTAGTTTTCCCTGAGTATTAATGAGTGACTGACCAGTTCTGAGCCAATTTATGAGAGACATTTTTTCATATTTTTGGAAAAAACTAAACCGGAAGTGACCTAGATACACTGGACGAAATACCCTAGATAATTCCCGGGGATTCATTCTAAATTTTGGCGAAGATTTATATTGGCGAATTTTTCAATTTCGCCAAATTCGCCAAATTAAAGCGGGCGCCAAATTAACCCAATCTACAGTACTATGTCTTACATATGGGGGATCACGCTCAGGATATCTTTCGACAATTCCGAATACATATACGTCAGGCCACTGTTGAAGTGTGGGAAAATTTGTTCATTATGAACACTTCTATTGTAGCGAATGCTTCATCGCAGTTAAATACAGGAGGTGTAAGTACGGAGAATCCATTCTATTCACCAAGTATTCTCCTATGGATTGTTTGTGGAATTGCTGCTGTATTGGCCATATTCCTCGTGGTCATGTGCTGTTGCATGTTCCTCTGTAGAGGAAAGAAGGGACCCGATAGGTTCACATCATATAACAACGTGGACGCACCAATGGAAATAGGTATTTATCATTTTGGATATTTTTTTACAACTGAACAGTTTTTTACATATTTTTTATTTAAAAATTGTGTCAGTCCTATGTCTACTTTCTTAAAATCTTGCCCCTTGAAAATGCACGCGGTCCAGAAATGATATTTTTCAATACAGAGTCGAAAGATCCGACGTTTTCTACGGTTCAAATAGCAGAGAGGAAACGAGGACCACCAGTCTTCAAACGTCCAGCTCTCCAAGGATACAAATGGTTCTTCGGTTTTTCGCCAGGGGAACTTGGCGGTTCTTCACAACCGACAGATGGCGCTGTAAGTACATGTAAGTTTGTCTTATTGTAGGTTCAACCATGCTCCATTTGCAAGTGCTTTCAATTTGGATGATTCCATTTAAACCAAACAAAATATAAAACTAAGTTATGTAAAATGACTGATGTATCTGTCGGGGTAACGAAGATTCGTGTATTTCTCAGATCTGCATTCACCTAGTACGAGACTTCTTTATCTCATGACTCTGTGCATGACTACAATGTTATATTTTTGTAGACGACGGAAACGATTATTACGAGGAGCCAATCAGATCTCCTCGAACTCCCGTTATTCACACCGAAAACAACAACGACATGAACGACGTGATGTGGAGATGGAGTAGAAAAGATATGGAAGGACATGTGGGAGACCATCACTCAAATATGAACATGTTCAAATATGATCCTAATATAAGAGATCCATTTGAAGTACTTTATTAACATGCAGCAATATACGTTTTGCATATAATTTGTGATTTTGTAGCCGAAAGCACTTATAAAATGAGCTTCATCACATTTACTGGACGGCTACTGGTTACATAAATATGACATAGTGTACGTGTACATATGAAAATAGTTTTTATATACTCCATCTAAATATAGTATATTTCATTGTGAGCTGATAAAACAAATGTCCAACTTTTCAATCTCCTTATTGTTAAACTGGGGCAAAGTAAGCCCGGTCTTGCATTGATTACTTATTATTTCTTTACACATTGTATTTGTATTTGCTTTATGTTGTCAGATACTAGTCAACCATTTTCCATATGTTCTGTGAATCGTTGTGTCAGGTGTTCAACTGTAAGTCCATCTGCTTTAATACTGAGTATTTTATTCCTCGATTTAGATCCCTGAAAAGGTGAAAGAATGGTGACTAGATTTTTTAACTCAGTGGTATCCATGTGGAGGAACAATTCAAACAGTAATCATCAATAAGCTATTTTGTTGCTGTATTGGTCTGATGTCATCATTAATGATTGTTTAATCCTACTAAATAATTGTTGTACATTGTGGGATCCACAGCCTTAACTATCCTTTTCTCTCAAAAGCGTTAGGTAAAGAGGGACTCTGATAAATCAGAATGATTGTTGTATATATTTTGAATAAGCCCACAATTGTATGAACAATTAAACAAGAAATATTTAGCTTTTACTTATACAGTTATATCCAATGTTCAATCAATCAACACTATGATAGCTTTACAATAATGTAAAACTGGTCAATTAGCCTATCATCGACAAGCCAATACGTTGGACGAACATGTACTGTCATCCAAAAATGATAAAATGGCTGGATAAATCCAACATACTGTACCCTGTCTAAAGACACATCAGATTTTCTCACGTCCAACAATTTGGCAACATATTTCACTAGTTCTTTATTCGCTTCTCCGTCAACAGGTGGCGCTGCTATTTGAATAGCAAGTTGATCTGGCAGGATGTCTGAAATAAGTTCATTATAAGTCATATTATAAATAAATGGCTAAAAATCATATTTGTTTAAAACGTGGCTTTCAATTTGTTTCATTTCTTCTTTTCACTTTACTGTACATGTAAGGTGGTCTTCCTCATGGGTTTTCCTTGTTGGACGACGAAATGTAGAGAAATGTCAAGATAGGAAAGCAATTATTAAGTTGAGAAATGCATGTGTAATAGAAATAAAAAGGCATCCATGTGCAACCACCAGCCATTTGTTACAGACTACCACCACACTCCGATCGCCGAACACAGTCCACAAAAAGTTGGAGACTAGGCCTATGACAATGTCTTCTGGTGATGGTGATAATAACACTTCTTAATGTTTACCTGTTATCATATTTTGTTTTGCACCTGGTTTGGCCAATACATTAATTGCAAATGACCCATCTTTCTTCATCGTCACGATAGAAGAGCTTTCAATTTTCAAATCCTTTTCACCACAAAGGTTACCTTTTGTTTTCTGAAATTACATAGTAATTGGTGTTCAACCACAAACTTCAAAGGGTCAGTGGAATTCTATTCGGGCCCTTCCGAGATTATGTAAAAAACACTTGGTAACTTACCCGGCACTTAGCTGTTACACTCACCCAAATTTTAAATTATCATTTGTACGGACTCGGAGTCACATCTTTCAGTCTTTACCATTATACTACACTTTGGGCCAAAAAACGTCCATATATTTGTTTTTGCTACAACGTTTTTGATTTGCGGACAAATATTTAAATCATATATCATTGCATTGCTGAATGAACTGACCAGATGAATATAACCCCTAAGTCAGCTTTGGGGTTCAAATCAATACAAGGTCAATATTGTTGATTTATGTATCAAATGAAAGCAAAGGATTTACAAATAGGCCTACTGATTATTGAGTTATTTTACCATTTTGATGAGCCTTGCCCAAGTCGGTATTTTTTGCTCATCTGAATGATTCTTTTGTTTTCGACAAGCCTCCGATTTCAGCTAAACTAAGTTGAATGCTCTTGATTCCAAAATTTCAAATAAATAAATGCCCAATACCGGCCGCAATATTAGAGAATTTTAAAGAAAACGGCTTCACTTAGAATGACTCTTAACTCGAAAGATCTACATACGTCATCATCAACTTCAGGGAGTTCTTTAAAATTCTCCAATATCGCGGTTGCTTGAGCATTTATTTGTGGTTATTTACCATCGTAGCTTTATTAATTTGCATGGTGAGACATTTGGAATCCATATTCAACTTAATTTAGCTGAAATAAGAGGTTTATCGAAAACGAAAGAATTTCGGCAACCATCTTGAATGGAGCTAACTGCAGTTAGAGTCACTCTAGCTGTGGAACAGTGACATACCAGTAAAAGCAAAGCACCGACAGTAACGCAATTCTGTTTTGCTAATGGAACAAGTTTAAGGAAAAATGGTGCAGTACGATACTCGCAATCCTTGATTTAGAAACATCTACTGGGTCAAAAATTCAAATTAACGTTTGTAACGCGTGAGAGGGCTGAAAAATTATTTTAAGGTGAATGTGATCCTGGTCATAAATGGTTTGTGGAATTAGTTAAACTGGCTGGGAACAGAACTCTGTTATCTTGGTCAAAATCCAGCATGATTTTGTCACTTAGCTGTTAGTACCATGAGACCTTAGGTGCCGTACTTATTAGGCCAAAGACAAAACAGGGAGTGATAAAACATGTGGCCTTTTAGACATTCTTGATAACAGAGTTCCGTTTTGACCTCCAGTCAATTCAAATAGTTCCACAGGACCAGGATCACAATGTAAACGGTCAGAATGACCCTAAACATGATGAAATAACTTTTTTAGCCCTCTGAAAATGTGACTGGAAAATTAAACTAATGCGACCGTATTGTGAACCCGGCTACCTGGTTTTTACACAGGCCCGAATTCAACATACCATTCCACATACTGTATTTTGCTTCTTGGGCATCTTGGACATACATCTTAATGCATTATTGAGTTGTAATACTCCCAGTGGGTGTCTACATGACATAAAGTGACTGCGATTCGTCCAAATCGTAAAATGATTTGACAAATTTCATGACAAAAATTGTTACGCTATATCGCATTATTTTTTCTCTTCTTTTGAGCGTTTAAAACTCTGTTATACAACTTTGAAAAATAAATTGAGCATCATTTAAGTAATCATACGCCAAGTTCATGTCATTTATCAATTCACTACAGTATTCAAATATTTTAAGAATCGATAATAAAATTTCGTCACGAAAATAAACAAAATGTCAGCCACGCTGGTAAACCCGGAAGTAAAGATAAGGCAAGTATTTTACAATTCCTTTACATGCTGCTCATTTTAAAAGAACGAGCAAATGTTTACAAATACTTTTTATCGCAAAGAGCATTTTAGTTTGATTAGTTATCACAGTAACAGTTTTATATGTAAACGCCCGGTTAAATAAGACATCAAGATATGAACTGGCAGGCTAATGGTATAACGCCACTAAATTTAACATTCGAAATTCCTGTAAAATTTGCTTGCACTAATAGCCTCTTGCGAGTTGACTAACAGTAGCGCTATATAGCGTATAGACCAACCTTAATTTTAAAACGTAAAAACTGCTTGCTGTTTGTAAAGTCTATTATATTGCTTCAAGGCAACCAGTTGAACCTAAAAATAAGAAATCTAAAGACTATTGTGCAATAATTTATAGAAAAATATATTCATACTATTCGAATTGCACACAAATGACATTTGTGTATCTTGGATTAATCGGGAATTGGCTTATAAAGTCTGTAATATCATTTATTTTGCTTCTCTGCCATGTTAATTCTGAAAAAATAACATGGCAGATCGACCTCAAATTATTAGAGCCTGCACAGGCAACATAGAGGGTAATTGCACTAAACACTAAATAATCTGATATATACAAATGTCATTCCGATGATTCGTGTGCAGTATGGATATATTTTCCATATATTTTTGCACAATAATTTTTAGATTTCTTATTTTAAGGTTCAAGTGGTTGCTTTGAAGCAGTGTAACAGACTATAAGTTCTTAAGAAATCACAAATCATAGGTTTGGATTGATAGTTGATTAGAAATATATAATTTACAGAGTAAGTTCAGTCCTGAACAAAGATGTAAAGCAGTTTGGCAAACAACATATGTTTGATCTGGAAGACGAGACATGCTGGAACTCCGATGCAGATCAGTCAGTATGTTAACCTAAACCTGTAGCAAATACTAGAGAGTAATTACCTATACCTGTTGGAATCAGTCCTTTAAAGCTTCATCTTCTTAAAATTTGGTATGATATACATGTAGGTGATCGAATACATAATATTTGCAAACTTTTGACATTTTTCGAAACTTAATTGCAACTTAATTAATTTTTGGATGAGCATTTGTAATAGGCTCTTTTATTTATACATGTCTTTTGGGTACTACATTACAAATATCTATACATGTTAAACCATGTGTTAATAAATACATGTATGAGTAGATGAAGTTTTCAATAATGATTTCTTTTCAAACAGTTTTTAACATTTTTTACCAAATTTAACTTCAAGCATGGAATGCTATTATTTAGTAATTGTTCATTGATTGCGTCAGAATCTCATCATGATAGCAGCCCCTCCTGGCCAAAAATTCTTTCAAAAATTAAGTGATTTTGGGCCATTTTTGGACCAAAATTATCAGAAGTGAACCCCTGGAATTTTACAAAAAGTGAACCCCCTTGGCTAAATCCTGGCTACGGGCCTGCCATGGCATCTCATTTCTTCTCAGCTTTGAGATGCCATATTAACATGGGGTTGGATTTGATGATCCAAGACACATCTCAGCTTACCAGGGTCATACAACTTGTAGATATTATATCGTCTGTGACTGTTTTAATATCTGATGACAATGCCTTTAGAATACAATGCCTATTATGTAATGTATTTACAATAAAGAGTAAATGATTACATGATAACCATCAGATTTATAACAGTTGTTACCCTTCCAATCAGATGAGCTCAGATCACAGAATATATCTTATCACAGAATATTACTGATATTATATAAATACTAGAGACTTTAATATTGAAATTCTTAAATAATTTCAGGGGAAACCACAATGGGTCATGCTAGAATTTCCAAAGCCTGTTCAGATTCAAGAAATCAAAATACGATTCCAGGTAAGATTAATTGACTCAAACATTTGAAATAAGGACTTCGACCTCCAAAGGATTTTAAAACGTGATTGTGATACAAGTTGTAAAACAAATAAAAAGGATATCAATCATCGTATATAAAATATAGTTATGGATACTGCTACTCACTCAGATATGTAAGCATTTGAGAGTACAAGTGCAAGTAGTAGCTACATGTAGGAAACAAGCCTTACATGATTTCCTGATTGGAAATCATCTACATGTAATATTAAGAAAAACAGCTAACATCACTCCCTCACATACATTAGGAATCATTACTTATTCAAATCAAAAACCACAAGGACACTTCATTTGTACTGATGTACTTTTACTAATATGTTGAAGAACATGAAATAAAACAATCAACATAGTTGTGGATACCCAAATCCTTCAGAATCTCAAAGTGTTAACCTACGTTCACAAAGTCACTGTCTTGGTTTGTATTGCACAACCATTCCAACAGCAAAACATACTGTTTAACCAGTATACTAGTACTTCCCCAGTCACAATGTGATATAATTCTTTTTCAGTATTCCAGCATTCAGTAGTGTTTATTTCTCATAAAGTGTATCAAACTTCTTTTCTCAGAAGCTTTTCCATTATGGAATATATTTTATCTTATAATTGACATTTTGACAGTATTGTTTTCCAGGGAGGATTCGTTAGTCAGAACTGCTGTCTATTAGGTAATATTGCTGAGAAAAAGATGGAAAAAATCTTTGAGTTCTCGCCAGAAGACAATAGCTTATTACAAGTATCCTTTATGTAACACTCAATACATGTATTTTATTTCCATAAACATTAATTATTCACAGCAGGTTGAAATTTAAAATACATGCTCTTTATTTTTGCTCAGCCAACAATAAATGTCATGTCAACTAAGCATTTTTAAAAATGTTTCCTTCCATTGTGGTTTGATACATACATGTAGTGAAAGCAGACACATAACTGTTTTTTAAAATTTGCTGGAAGTATTCATAAGTCTTGTAAGTTTTAGTGACTTTTAACCCTTTAAATTTATTTATAAGTGAAAAATGTACAACAATAGTGGCCTAGAAAATATTAATATATTTCAATATTCACCTGGGTTTTACTTTTAAATTCTGTCTGTACTTCTTGATAATAACAAATAAGCGAACTTTTACAACCACACATGAAAATCATACTTTTCGTTCAGTGTATGATAGACATCCAGAAAACATCAAACCTAGGACATTGACAAAGATACTGATGTATTATGACCACGACAGTGATAGTATACATTCAGATATTATATATAGGCCCATTCAATCCCTGTAAATGTAAACTCAGTGAACTTGAACCACAGGCAATGGAACATAGAAATAATCCCCCCCACTCTCTGTACATAAGTAAATAAAACAGGAACTTATCGTAGAAACTTGACCCAGTTTTTTGCCAGTCATATTACTGCTACTGAGGGTTGTCATTCCGTATTTTTTATACCTATGCAAAGATTATACATTGAATACTAGTTATACCTAGTTATACTGGAAAATTGTGACGAAAAAATTGACCGTTTTGGATTCACCACATTTCGGCGGCCACCAACAGCGACATCTATCATATCCACGACAAGTGTCACACTATTTCATTATTTTATTTTATTTGAAAATAACTACAAGTGAGACTTGAACAATGGATTTGTGGCTTGAAATAGATCGGGTGTTCTAAAGTGATTATGAATTATAAGTCATGTCTGTTTTTGTTACGTCTTCCATCTAATATTTGTTATTTTTGACATTGTAGAAATTTGAGATGCAAAATATCGTCGTGACATCTGGACTTAAAATTATTGGTGATTTGATTGGTCAATCGTCAGACCTTTAAATGAGTGACCGTTCGAATATTTAGGCCCTTAAAAATTTGATTGGCTGACTGCGAGGTAGACAAGATGGCAGTTGGACGTTGATTTGTCGTGACCGCAGGTAGGTCACAAAAAGGCCGGCTGTACTTCCACTCTCAGAATTAACATTTATCTACGAGTGGACTCATTCGTACATAAGGTATTTATTTATATTATCTGAAAATTTTAGAGACTTCCATGCAATAGGAGGTGAGATGCAACGAGGATACAGTGCGGGGTCAGGTTTCTACGATAAGTTCCTGTTGTATTTACTTATGTACAGAAAGTGGGGGGGGGGTTATTTCTATGTTCCATTGCCTGTGACTTGAACTGTATTTCAAAACGCATATTTCAAATTCCAGCCTGCTGTAGCCTGTGATTGTTTTATTTTTAAAATATGTTATGTTTAGTATACCAATCACAATTGCTGGTGTCATAAAATCCTTGACATGCATTCCAGACATTTCCATTGTCTCACCATGTTCCAGTTACAATAATAAGACTTCTATTTTCACATAGTACAGACTTTTATGGCAGATTTACAGTTTACTTACTGGACTTTATAGGGGACGTGTGTAGCTGAACTACCATTTGAATTAATGTATGTTACAAGAATATATATACATGTATTAAATATAGAAGTCCAATATTATATCATTATGTAATGTAAATGTTCAAATCTAGGAACCTCGAAAACAAAACACATTAGAAATAAGATTACCAATTAATATAGTTGATCTTATATATACAGGGTGGTCCAAAAAATTGGAACATTTGATAATTGATCTCAAAATCGTTATTTTTTCTCTAAAATGCACCAAAATTTTACTGAGTATTGTTCAATCACTTATTCATCTGATGTAAAGTTTATAGGTGCAAACAAAAAAGTTTATGCATTAAACTAGAGAATGTTTGATATGACCCCTCTTCTCCTGAATTACAAGTTGAAGCCCGGGACTCAGTTTTGAAATGATTCATTCATTTTGCTGTTCTTTTTATTTTGTCCAAGCCATCTTGATTAAAAAATTTAGCTTGAACAAACTGCTTATATGTTTGCCTTGGAAGATCAAATATATGAACATATTCAACATTTTTTAACCAAATTGATGGGTATCAAGCATATTTTGATGGCTATTGTTGGATATATTACTGATTGAATATTCTCCACAAAGAGGCCAGAGCAGTCTGTTTTGACTGGTTAATGACCCCCCCTTTCTTGTTCTAATATAACTAATATTCATTGAATATATATATATATGTATATCACTACCATCAAGGAGTTTCCCAGAACACAAATGATATATTATATTATATGTGCTTAGAGGTGGTCTTTAATAAAGCCTTGTAAATAACTGGTCAGTTTCCCCTTTACTGGAAAGTGGAAACAATGATTTTGTCAGTTTAGCAGCTGTATGGGTTCTGCAATCACTCACCTTTGACATGTTCTTTCTTTCCTACTCTTAAATAAAAATAATGAATATGGGTATTCTTAAGTTGACAATAATAAATAATAGTTTTCCAGTAATTAAAAGATGTTAATGGAGAGGTTAAGCTTTGCATATATAATCGAAACTGAACCTGTACGTATCACTCGACCATATACAAATTCATGTAGCCTTCTCATATAAATAGCCGTTCAAATCCAGTGTTTGTTTAGACTACACCATAGCGTGTAATGATTCTATAGTATGTCATTGATGCGGTTTTATAGCTGGTTTTCTAATACATATTTTAAACGAGCTCGTTTCGTAAGATTTTTGGCGCTAAATCATGCATGACATACATCATCGTGTTCAGCAAGAATTCAACTGTGCATCGAAATCAAAATTGACAGCATAGTGTTCAATAGACACGAGTAAAATGGTTCCCGTTGACCCAACGTCAAATATTCAAATCTCCCGTTCTAAACCCGAAACAATGAAGCTGAAAGAGTATCTGAAGTAGACTAAGCGCGCATAAAACTATGAGCGCTCGATACATTCCTTTGTTAATTTTTGTACTTTGCGTTCACGGTTACGTTGTGAAAAACATCGTTAGCTTAACCTCTCCAGTACCTCATGTCAACTAAAAATGATTTTATAAAATGTGTATATCAATCAACATGTTCATGAAAGCTTTGAAATAAAGAATACTTGAAAAAGTAGCTGCTAAATTGATAAGTGTATATTTAAGAAAAGGGGGTCATATCAAACATTGACTAGTTTAATGCATTAACTTTGTGGTTTGCACCTATAAACTTTACATCAAAGAGATAAGTGACTGGACTGTGCTCAGTAAAATTTTGGTGCATTTTAGAGAAAAAATAAAGGTTTTGTGTTCAATTAACAAATGTTCCAATTTTTTTTGGACCACCCAGTATGTATATATATTTTTATTAATTTGAAATATGTGCTATTTGTTCAACCAACGTTTTGTGTTCTTGGGTCATTAGAAATCATTCTGGATGTCAGTATGTCAGTAATCGAATTACTGTAACTATTCATAAATAAGCATCAACTTAGCAACCAATGATTTCATGCACAAATAGTATACAAAGAAGCAAGTGTCAGATAAGGAATGTAAGGTGTCAAGCTATTCATTCCATCCTTCTTCGAAGGACTTCATTTATACTTAAATTCAGAATATAGAAAAAATTGAAATACCCTAGGACCAAGGATGACCCATCCACATGGATACCCAGTCACCCATATGTGCACCCTTTCAGTGTAATTCTGGAAATAAATGGAAAAGAAGATGGTACAATAAATACTAATAAATAATGCTGGTAAGATGTAACTTTAGATTCATGTTGATTTTGTTGATTCATTGTTAGATTCTGCATTGGTAATTCGGATTTGAATTGTTTGATAACATTATTGGGTTTTCCTCACGATCTCTGCTTAAACTACAGATTGTTTCAACTTGTTTATAGGACTATGCTGAGATATTCACAATTAAATGATGGGATGGATTTTCAATAACAGAGTTTGAGGTCTAGTATAGGGTTCTAAATATGAAGTAATAAGCAAAAGTAAAGACATAGATTTGATGTTTTAAGACGTATTTGACCATTTGATGTTTTTAGGTTCTGATTCTGAACTTTTTAAACGTTGTTCAATTTTGAGTTTGGTAAAATTATTAGAAAATTAGTGCTACAAGTACTGATAAAAAACTGTAACTTTTTTTAAATCTGGAAAATAGCTGCATGATGATCTTACTAATTCATAAGGGTGTTATGTACCAACGTAGAATTGAATTAATTCTAGTCTATTTATAAATAGCATGGAAGTTAAACCTAATCAGGCCCCAAGAAAATTCAGATTAATAAATTAAGCTGGTGTAAAAGGGTAGGTGGTCCTATCAAAATTTGGTTCTACTCTCTTTTGATTTATATGGTAACCTAATAACAATTGTTTTCCTTATTATTTATACACAGTCAGGGCCAGTAAGGGCGGAAAGGAATGGAGACCATAATCCCCAGGGTAGTATGTATCCAACAGACTGACTAGAAGTCAGTCTGCTATGATGTACTACTTTCCTGTGGATATTGCAGTGAATTTTTTTGCACAAAATTATCAATTAACCATTTCCTGTGGAAATTGCAGTGAATTTATTTGCACAAAATTATCAAGAAACCATTTGTTCAATAAAATAAGAATTACAAAATTTCAATTAAATAGTAAGGTACAGTTAAATGCAATAAAAAGTAACACAGCATATTGTCAAGTGGAAATAAAGCTAGTTTAGTAACAAATGTGCAAATTAGTTTTATCCAATCGGCCATTTTGAATAGCACTTCCTATGTAAACAAATATTTAGGATTACCATACTTTAACATAGGTGCCTTATAGTCTGAATATAAGTCAGACTAAATAGGATATAGTCTAATCCCCAGGGGGACCATAATTTCTTATACACCGGGCCTGATGTAACTTATTGATCGACATTTAGCGGTGTTATACCAGTATGAGTCTACCGGAAATAGAAAAATGTCAGAATCCGAAAGTAAAAAGAAGGCTAAGGCTTTGATGGCCAACAAGGATAAACTCGAGGAGGAAATAAAGGCATTGACGGATCTTCTAGAATCTGTAAGTATTTAGACCTAGTATAACCCAAAAGGAAATTATAAAAAGTTTCTACAAGTGCTAAACATATAAAAGAAAAAACAACTTTGTCATTTTCACATATTATCGCCCATGTGCAGATGTGCATGCACACCGCAATTTTTTGCCATAGTCCATGATGTCAACTTGCAATGTTCTCAAGAAAAAAAACAGATCGAATTTATGCTAAATCGCCACCCTTACAATGTACATCAAAGTACCATGTCTCGTGTCCCACCAGAGTTCACGGATAATTGATAAGTGTGGAGAATGGCAAAAAGCTCCGTTAAGGTCAGGGTGCATGATGGGAAATTTTTTGCATTCCTCATTTTCTCGTTTTTCATAAATTTTACAAAACAAATCTTCTCACAAGTCTTTTCTAGGCACATAAAGTTCACTCTTCGTGCAAACCTGGAAGATGTAGACTGTGGGGTAGGAGTAATTCTTGTTTGAAAAATAACATGTGACTCAATTGAGGAATGCAGAAAATTTCCCAACATGCACCCTGGCCTTAAGACCCAAAAAGGAGTTGATACAGGTTCCTGTGATATTTGACGCTATTATATTTCGATTTTTTGCTATTTTTTGAAATTTCGCACTTATTATATTTCGTTAATCTTTATGAAAAATATAGAAATATCACCCAAATTAAATTATGAATATTCAAAAGAGGACATTAAATCAGCAAGATGTAAAAATATTAAAATTATCCGAAACAGGCATTGCAGTAGACAGATTCAATAAAAGACAAATCTCTATTTGGAGAAAGAAGTTCATATGTACTGCGCTAATAATCTTTTCATGAAAAATACAGAAATATTACCCAAATAAAATTATGATTATTCATAAGAGGACATTTAAATCAACAAGATGTAAAAATATCAAAATTATCCGAAACAGGCGTAACATGCAGTAGACTGATTCAATAAAAGACAAGTCTCTATTTGGAGAAAGAAGTTCATGTGTACTGTGCTAATGATTTCTTATGAAAAATATAGAAATATCACCCAAATTAAATTATGGATATTCAAAAGAGGACATTTAAATCTACAATATGTAAAAAATATCAAAATTGTCCCAAGCAGGTGTAACGTGCAGTAGACAGGTAAACTCATTTCTCCAAACTGAGACTAGTCATGTGTACAGTATATTTTACATTTTGTAGATTTCACTGCAATAAGACATCTCTCAAATTCATACTTTTTCACTGTTAATATAAGTGTCCTATGAATTGATTGTTCCACTTTGTATTGGTTTAAGGAATAGGCAAATGATAAATAAAACCACTTCGTCTACATTTTCTATCTACTCCCATGTTTGTATATGAATAAAGGAAGAGATTGCCTTTTCAGCAAAAGGAAGTTGGCATGACAGAATCTTTGGTAGATGAAGAGCAGTTCCCTAGGGCAGATATAGATGTCTATAGCGTGCGCTATGCAAGAAATAGGATAATTTGTGAGTAACAAAACCATTCCTTCCTTCTATGGTTAAAACCATAGATACGTTAAAACATGGTTGTTAATTATTCATCAAAACTTTTATTAAGTGTGTTTCTCCTTAGTTTTTATAATGTTTTGAATAGTTTTGGATATTTGGGATTTGTTTTCACTATTTCTACTTGTTCTGTTAGATGTTTCAATTCTTTGTACTGTTTTGTAACACTTTGACACTTGTGCATACATCCACTGTACATTGTGTTTATGTTCAGTCACATGTACAGTGAACATGATTTGCTAATATTATGCTGATTCTATAATTTTACATCATATTTACTGTACATGCTCATTTATATATTTGTATATCTACAACAACATGTATGTTGGTAGAAAATCTCTGAAAATTGAACAAATGGAAAAACTGTGCAAACCAAATTTGTCTTGATAGAAAATTACACATAGAATTCAAATATATCATCAAATAGAAGAAAACGTTGGTCTGTAATGGAAAAAATGTAGATTTCCTTATTAAAATCTAGACTTCAACAAGATTTCAAAGCTAGCAACGTTTCTATTGTACTTGTACACTATTCATGCCTCTAGTGTGGTTCCAGGCTTGCAGAATGATCACAAAGCCTTAATGAAAGACATAGAAGAGGTGTTGTACCAGGTACATGCTGAGGCAAGACTCCAAGATGTTACACATATGGACACTGGTGCTGACCAGAGTGTACCAGATGCTGCATCACAACAGACACCATTTGCTAAGGTTGATAGGGTTGATGATGGATCGCCATCCTCAAAGTCAGTAAGTAATTGAAAGGAAGATGTCTCTTTTGTTCACAATCATTGGTTGTCTGAATCAGGGTGGAAGTTTAGTTCTCTCTGAAGAGCCAGTCCATTGTTATCCTTTACTACTGAAGACATTTTATGAAGATATTCTTGAGGAGAGAAAATTAACAATGTCATCATTGGTTTTGTATCAGTATTAAGCCTAGGAAGTAACATCAAATGACAATAATTGTTGTCCACAGCACTGAGAACAGTGTCTGGTAATAACTCAGATTCGAGTAGGTAGTTACCAGTTTCAGCACCAGGTGGCTCATTCAGGGGCGCATGGCGGTCACAGTAGAAAGTTCCCTTTCACTTAAATCTGTTTTAGTAGTTCGATTTTCTAATAGTTAATCAAGATTATTTCTACTCGCATCTAGTCTATTGTAGAAGTAAATAAATATTTTTCATCTCTTGTGTCAGAGACTCTACATGGATATTTTTGTGAATTTAGGGTCTATTAGTTGGTGATGAACTGTTACAGTTTGGGTCCATATCAAAAGAAAATTTTACATCTTTACAAAGTATTGGAGCAGTTGTACAACACAGTATTGGGGTGAGTACACCATGAGTATTTTATTGCTACTATAAAGTTCTTAAGACTATTCAAGTGTAGAATATTTTGATTGTTAATTTTGATGTTCTCTTATAAGATTGGGGTTCATCTATGCACGTGTGCTAAATCAAAACGACAATGGAGACTTAAAAATTGTGATCATATAGGATTTAATGCAATTTTGAGAAATTAGATTTTCGCACTTTCATTCTCATTCATCCCATTTCTCTCTTTGATATTTCCTTACCTTTATCTCCTACCTCTCAAATTGCCTGCTTTTCGTTGTCAAATTCTCCATTAAACTTATTTGTCCTGATGTACCATCTTAAAGAGAATGATGCTAAAATAAATTCCCGATGGTTCTTTGCTTTGCTCGATGCAACAGAACAACGAATTTAAATTATAAGGAAGTGAGCTTGCCACTTTCGTTTATTGCAAAAAAGTACAACATGGTATTATGAACATGGAAAATACAAGTCACATTAAGTAAAAAATGAAGGTAACGATACGGAAGATCTAAACGTAGACATACTACATTATTATATCACTATCTAGCTAGCGACAGTATGATTGGTGAAAACCGGGTCACATGTCGTGGGATATCTGGCGATATTCAATGGCAATGCTAATCAGATAAGACAACCGTGAGATATCTACATGTAGCGATATCCCACGCTCCCAGGAATTTTCAAAGAATTTGTTTTCGTTCCATGTAAATAATTTAGTTCAGTGTAAGTCAAAATGGCAGACGAACCGAGTAGATTTAATGTATTTCAATGGTAACCTATGACTTAATATTAGCTAGACAGTGATATAATAAAACAAATATTTCACTCTATTTTCGGTGAATACCTGTAGCACTTTCACAAGGTGATATTCCACTTGCCCTTCGGGCTTCGTGGAATATCACTTGTGAAAGATGTACAGGTATTCACCTCAATAGAGTGAAATATTTGTTCATTATTCGCTTAATAGTATAAAAGATCGCTGAATGAAATCGTTAAGGCTTAACAAATAAATATAAATTAACATTTATCAAAATTGATTGATCCCGGCCATTAAAAACCTCAAATTAATGCGGAAAAAGGTATACGATCAATCAAAGACATGTAAATGTTCCAAATCTTGATTTATTTGATAAAAATGTACTGTCTCGTGTGTGGCAAAGCTCAGAATGAAGTTACACTCCGTTCCAACATACACTCATGCAAAACAACTCAACATCAACTTGAACGCCTGTTTCATTAACACTGTGCCTAAAGAAATCATTTATGAGCTTATGTCGCTGCGCTCAAACGCACATAAATGTCAATTATTTTTCTTCCTTTCTATTTTTAACACATAACATTAACAAACTACCCAATACTGCACTTTTCAAAAGGGTTGAAGCTTCAAATATTGAGTTACAAATTCCATATCTATAATGTGAAAAAAATGGGAAAAATGATTGTGACTAAATTATTATTAAATGTTGCTCAGGTAGCTCCACAATGTTCTGCCTATTAGTAGAAATAATGAGTGAATGTGGTATTATGTAAAATATAGAAAAACATAAATATTCCAGAAAGCATTATCATTACAAGTTCTACGGAGTGGCAACGTTGTTCACCTCTCTCTGACCCCACAAACCTGGAGTGGTAGAGGATTACTGGGGTAAGCAACCGGAATATTGTAGAATAGCCATTTAGCATCAGGGTCAGTCTGGGAAATTGAATCAGTTTGAGTTCTGTGCTACTTCCAGCAAAGTTTGGTAAAGAAAGATAGATATAACAATGTCTTGGAAACTTCATCTGGAACTATTGGTGTCAATTTATACTTGATCACACTTAGTTAAGAAGTTAACATTATCAGTATTCACATATGATAGAAGTACAGTACTGTTTTAGTTTTGAAATGTTAAACATACACATATACACACGTGATAAACTATTTTTTCCAGGTGTAATATTGTTCCATTAAAGTCCTAGCTGCAGTGTAAAGTGTGTGGCCAAGGCCATGTTGAACGCGATGTACAATTTGTTAATATACATGTATAATACCAAAATGAAGGCTTTCTAATGAAGGCTAGAATGTCATGAGAACTATGGCATAAGCAGGGGACGGGGATGGTGTCATGAGGACTATGTCAGGAGGACTAAGTCATGAGGACTTTGTAGCAGGGATTTTGTAGCAGGGACTTTGTCATGCTTGACCCCCAAAGGACTTTATAACAGGGTCTGTATCATGAGCACTATGATGTAATGAGAATGAATTAAATAAAAAATTGATTGATGTATCAAGAGCAAAAGCCTTTTCTGGGTAATGTTGAATGCCATGTTTTCCTAGTATCTCCTGGGCTATGATCAAAAATGCTGCACGGCGGCTCGAGCGCGGGACATCTGTATCCATGTAATACGCTCTACAACAAAGCGGTTTCTACAACACGAGACTACAGTATTTTGTTTTAAAAGTGTCTAAACTGCTAAAATGTTTTAGTTGTAAAAATATTTTGCTTTGCTCTAGATGATTGTAATGACTCGTTATAAACAACGACAATCACCACGGGCTTATAAACGTGTTGTTGGCTATAGAACGCGGAAAGATTCATTAGGTACTGTAAAAAGTCTCTGATTAAAATTATGAAACAGATTATATTGACATGTAAAAAGTAAAAGGTTCGATTTTTGTTTTCATTTTGGTCTTGTGTTAGTTATGTTAGTAACTAAAAATTGAAGATTTTTTCTCGGTACCTTGACCTTCGAATTATGTTAGTCTCATAGGTTTAATAAATGAAATAATTTGAATAATTTCACCATTATATTGTGGAAAGATGGCATCAATCACGTAATTCTCAGTCTCTGATGACATCTATCAAAGAAGATGAACGTTCATATCATTTCCAACTCTAATTAATGAATATCGATGACATACATGGAAAATATAATCATGATAATCAATACATGCTAGATCCATGTTCCAGAAGCGGTACTGCTTACTCGGAGAACATGGTGCGACCCTCCCGTACGTCATTATCGATTGCCATAGCGAATGTTAATCAGTAGAATTGCGAATAGACCGCGCAACTTCCCTAGAATCATAATAACAGAAACACGACAGTTGACAAGAATTTTATACGTTAAGCAGCTGTGTACATGACATAGTACATAATAAGGACATATCGGAGTACGACTGGGCCGAAAGTAGGGCACATAGCCCCGGTTTAAATAAAATATGGAGTGATATACTAATAGGAAAGGGAATTATTCGCTACAATATTGGAGCCATGAAACCAGACAACGAATTTCTTGAATTGAAAAACAAAGCAGGTGAGATACCTTGAACCAATATGCTGCTCCTATTGTCTTTATCACATTTCCTAATTATCAACAAAAATGTGAATGCATTTTCAACTAATTTGTAAAGATTTTATATCAAAGAAATCTTATCGATGACTTGAGATGTCAAATCGAGATAGGCAAACGGTGTGAATCGTATAAGAAGATTAGATTTGCCTGTAATCATCGGATTAATTAACATAACAATGACATCAAAACCAGAATATTGATCTGATTTGATTGTCTTTGACAACGTCAATCTGTTAGTTTTGACTTCTTACGCCAAGTTATTGTAATGTATACAGTTAACAATTTAGTTTATTTTCTTATTCATTTTCATATTTTTATGAATAGTCCATAGGAATGTTGAAATTACAAAACATCAACATGCCCAATGTTTGAGGAGAAACAGTAATCAATTTGTGTTCAGTGAGCTGTCAAGTTAGTTTGTTGACAAAGGGATGATGGAAAACAAAACAAAAATGATTTTAAGTGAATATGTTAGAATCTCATTCAGACTATTTTATTATCATAAACATCTGCAAGTTTCATCTGACAGTTTCATTTGCTTCAACTCATTTTAAGTATGTGGTTTCAATTCTAGTTGAAAGCCCATGATCTTAGTGAAAAGCTTGTTTAAGTACCACCACAATTGTTTCAATGTCATTAGGTAATTCTATTTAGTTTTAGGGAAAAGCTTATTTTATAGCCACCACCCATTTTCCTGCATCCATCATGATGGTAACATTTTAGAGAGCGCCATTAAAATGTCAAAGTTCTCAGGAAGTAATTAACAAAATGAATTTTCTTTAGCATGAGAAAAAACAACTTTTTCGATGAAAGAACAAATAATTATTTTTGTCTCATTTAGGCACATTTGGGAGGGGGTGCTCCCGGCATAGTAGTACCTCCGAGACTTAAAACTCACAATTCACGGTGATCATGTTTCTACGATGTCGTTTCATAGTTTGCTTACGCAATTATTCAACATTGACAGGTCACTGAAGTTGGACACGATTCTTAATTAAATAGCATGTTAGTTCTAAAATAAGACAAACTTTCCCGGTCTCCATTTCTCAATGGCTGAGATTTACCAGTCTTTACTAATTGAGTTTGTCCTTATCGACGAAATAAATCACCCCATGGGATAATTATTTTATTAATATTCTAGCCGGCTTTGTCAAGATGCAGTACTCATAAAGTCAGAATAAGGTAAGGGTAATTGTAATTGGTGGCGGTTATATCCTTTAGTCTCTATCCTCAATCTCCGAAACGCAGAATAAAGATACAGTACTAATCTAAGGTTGTGTTCTGTAAAAGGGTTCCGTCTCCCAATGGTAGATGGGTATTTTTAGTTCAGTTGTAAAATCATATTTATTCCTGGCCAATAATGTTCCCCCTTTTCTGAGTTAGTTTTATTGAAGTATAATTGTATAGAAGCAAGGGGACCACAATTCCATTGGAACCATTATTTTTATTACCCCTTGGAAAACAGGTGGGCGTACTGTTTGGTGAAGGTTGCTGTGGTGATTGGGGATCCTCAGTGTAATGGTGCATTTGCACTCATTTTGGTGGTGGTTAATGTGCTTATGTACTCACTCAGCGTTGGCAATATGGCACCATAGAGAGCCATGGTGTCGTCCCCTTGGTGTCGTCAATTTGTACAAGCCAGAATGCGGGTAGTGAAGGAAATAGACGAGCTTAGTCGTGGCTTCGTACAGTTATATTACTGAGGTAATAGTTCTGAAAAAGGTGACGTACCCCTTTTCAATTCTAATGAATATTTAAACTCCAAGACGTCTATAATGCTTCTATATTGGAACTAAAGGGACATATTGACAATACCTTATGAACATTTTGCCAACTTCGTCGTCCTTTATTTCTATTTGAGCGACAATACGACATTTAAAAAGAGCATCAACGGTTGTTATGATATGTCTGTGGGTTGTCGCAACCTCAAGAACATAACTGATGATGCACATAAAGCACAGAGGGTAATATAAACTCTAAAGTTAATTCAAGTATTTTAATTTGTGTCCCTTGCTATTTTGCTCATTGTTAAAAGTACATAACAATTTGAATACGATTGTTTCTTTTAACTGTTTACGTAGGTGGGTCGCATTAGGAAATCGCGGCTACATAATACATCAAACACATCGCCGTTCCTGTGGATTAGTTTGTTGCTAATGCCGGACTTAATGAATGAATGAAATGAAATGACATATTCGTTTGTTAAAGTCCGAATGTAGTTACTGCTGGGGTCATTTAAGACACATACATATATATATAAAATACGTAAGACACATTATGAAATTATTATGAATTATGAAAGTGCATTTTTAGGAATAGAAGATTTTTCATAATTATCTACTTTGTGATTTTTTGTCTAGACATTTTCGATATATTTGGTTTTGATTTTATGGCATTGTTCACACGAAACAACTTCCTTTATTCTAGCGCTTAAGATTGCGTGTTACCTTACATTGTTCGGCATTATTTTGCGTCGCTATTCGATGTATTGAATTGCGAGCCTTTTCTGAAACTATATTATAGTGCCCTAGCCCGCCTAGCCAAACATTGTTCATTGTTCCTCATCACGATATATTCTGTCATTTACATCTTTATATCGCCTCAATTCCTGATTTAGCACATATCAATCAGGGTATGGAAATTTCATTCACATTGAGTCCCAGATGGCTCATTACGTCAACCAGAAAATACACGAACAAAGGTTAATTAAAGAAAACGTATTTCTCAATCCATCAAAATAAGTGACGCTTGACTACTAAGCCCGATACAGGTTATGGGATCAACTGACCCCAATAACCAATTCAACGTGGTTTTACAAGAACAAGAGAATGCCAAAAATGATTTTACACCTTATTTGACATAATTTCTTAAAAAAGTTCATACACCCGTAACCCCTTTGCAATCTTCAATGGTTTTATTGATTCTAATATTTCATCAAGGATTTGTTTTTTTTGTTGGTTTTTCTCGGGAACGGGGGTCATCTAACCCCATTCCTTGCCCGTTTAAAGTTACAACTACCATAACTTGCGAAGTGGGCGATATTTCGATTCAATTAATTTTAATACGACTGAGATGGATCGGACCTCCTCAAATATACCACTTTTAAATGAAATAGCTACCTTTACTGACGAAGATGTCTTCAAAACATGGGATGCTGCACGGGGGTAAAGCAGACCCGATGATACAAGGAGCTTGCTCGGCGGTAACATGACTGTGTAACGGGTCTTAATGTATAAGTGTGCTCGGCGGTAGGTTCAAACAACGCGGATCCTCAAAGCATGTGCTCATGGTATATTCGTGTTTTAACACCCGTGTGCTGCGTAAAGGGACGTACGTGTATAGCATGTTTAATATACAGCGGATTCTATAGAAAATACTTTTACTGGTTCAATATCCCAGATGCGAGTAGAAATAATCTTGATTTACGTCATTAAAAATCCACAAACTGATGTCATATTTGGAATCTACATGTACAATTACACTCAGAAATGTGATTTTGAAAAGAGTTTATCAACTTTGAAAATTTAATTTTCTTTGAAAATGTGACTTCTAGGTCGGGGAGATTCCCCATAGACCCCATGTTGTAAAACCACAAAAAGTGAAATATCTTTTCTTGTGTTGGGCAGATGGTATTTTCTTTTACTGGACATATTTTAATTTGTATAACTATCAGATACATAAGGGTAATATGAAAAGTGAACCATTAAAACTGATGCATATTCAAGTTTAAGGGAATTTTGTAATACCCTGCCATGTTAATTCCCCCGAATCAGCCACCTGGTGGCAAAACTTGTAACTACCTACTCGCATCTGAGTAATTAATCACGTACAACCTAATAAACCTAATAAAGGATTAAGAACAGAACAAATAACACAAATTGACTTTGACCTTGGCCAACAATTTTAAGGAATGCTTTTTAAAATATTGACTTATTTATGTTTCCCTTGTCACTAAGTGTTATTTAGGACGTCAACTATCTATATTCGGCATCTATATCTATATTCTCCAAACTCTTCAAGATTGTGACAACGCATACACTTACAATCGTTAGTCACTGTTTTAATCAGATGTGCTTTACAGGGAGACCTGAATACAGATCAGCTTGTAACTGACTAAACACGAAAAGTGACTAGATACGATAAAAGGCAACAAATATCATTCGTGATTATCTACATACACATTATAGCATCTAACGATTGCTCTTTAGCATCCATACAATGATCTACCTTATATATAAAACATGTAGTTCAAGGAGGAATAACGATTTCCAAACTTTTGAAATGAGTGTAACCCAAATAAATGCAATAGTGCATTGTGCTTTTTGGTGAATAAAACATTTTATTCTGTTATTGATAAACTATGAGTACTGGTTTTAGGAGAAAATAGCCGAGGGCCTTGGCCCGAGGCTATTAGTTATCCTAAGACCCAGTATGATTGGTTTATCGAACTTACATACCACACTGACTTTTACGAAAGGTAAATGGCCCATGATCAAATTTTAGGAAATTTCACTTCCATTGTATTGACTATGAGTGCAATACATGTGACAGTTATTTTGCCACACTGGTCTTGGATAGGTTGCCAAGTGTCAATTCTTCAAAAACAATAGAAAACGAATGTACTCTTCTTTGTTAAAACTGTTTTTTCTTTAAAATAAACTCCAGTTCATTCTATTGTATTGCTACCTTAGTGTGGTTTATGATATGATAAAGAAAAATTAGGCCTACCACAGTCAAAAAGTGAACAACTTTCAAAGCACTTTCACCGACTAAGTTGGCGACGAAATGGTTCGAACCATGAAACGAATCCAGCGATCAATTCTACTTATTAACCTGTGTTTTCATCCACTTTTATCGCAACTTTGTAATCTCGATGAAATTAATGGCAAATATCAGTTTATAAATAGCCAAGGATAGCTATTCCGTGTTATCGGAAATTGAATATGAATTCATTCTTCAGTATCAACAGAGTGGACTAATCTTTGAGAGAACTACGTCGATTTCTGTTGTATTCTGTCTTGTCTCCGAGTATGTTATGAAAACAATCGTTGTCATAGATCGATAGAAGACCAGTCTTCTGGGACCATGCAGATCCCGGCCGAGTGATGTATTAGATGAACACCCAGCGGGAAATTCTATTGAATTTAAGCGTATCTGACGTATTGATTATATCCAGAGATCCTATAACGAGAATTTGCTTTCCCAAATCGTCTGGTAATGATATCAAAATGTGCAGAAGCAAATATTCAGCGTTGTTTGTTTTTGTCATTCTGGTTTCATCAGTGTGTTCAGTCTGGACAGAGCCAAAAATGAAGGGCGGCTGAGATACCGAGCGTCATTGGGCCCATGGATAGTGCACCTGATGGACCTCCTAACAAGGTTGACATGAACGTCCATTTGACCAAGATTGGGAGTATACCGATCACAATTAAACCAAGGCGGATTTTTTTGACATAGTGTGCAGCGTCCAGTTTCTGCCTATAACCAAAAATAAAAAAAAGTTTATATTGCGTTATTTACAATTATAGAATTTCCATTAGAAATTCGGAGGCAGCACGTTTTTGTCAATGTTTCTATCAACATAATATAACGATACTTTATAACATTGACATGCTTATAGAATATGTAGGAAATGATATGCGGCCGCAAATTACAACACAACCACACACATAAACAATAAGTTAAAACTATAAACCCCGGCTTGGGTGAAGGAAAGAACGGGAAGAATACATATATGGCAAACATGACAATCATATTCCTATTTCCATAGTGACACCATGAAAACTGAAAATGAAGATAATAACAGGATTTCAAGCGGGTCTTCTAAATGGATTTTACCCGAGGACCAATCATCCTGATGTGTCATTGATAAATTAAGCTAAGGCTCTGATAGCAGCCGGTTAAAATGACATGGACCAATTGCCATGCTATTTTCCTATAACTACTGAAAAGATCAACTGGTCCGTATCAAAAGTGACCTGGCAAATGACCAGCAGACCGGGCCTTTGCTAAAGCCCTGTCCCTTTGGCTCCCAATCTGGATCTAGATCATTCAGCCATAGCAACGCGATTCCTCTAGATATGTTATGGAAAACAACGTCGGATACCATTACATTAAAACAGGAAAACTAATATATAAACACAGAGGAAGGAAAATGATAATTTATATCAACTTTCTTTCTTAAGGTATATGATCTCAGGCAAGAATACCTCTCCATTGTGCGTCATCATATTGCCCGCGTTGGTGCTCATTTGGATCTTAAGACTGTGATTAGCAGGAAAACAATCTAAACAGTGTAGGTTTATACCTGTATATTATGTCTTCCGTTCTACGTTCAAAAATGATTAGTCGTTTTCAATTATCTCACTTTCTGTTGAGTGATTTCGGGCAAAATTGCCTCACAGAAAGAATAGTTTTCAATGATCGTTTGAAGAAAAGGAAATGATTTTTCCGCAAAACGCTGCGATTGCTTTCTACTGTGTTTACTTCGCTATTAAAAACACTTTGTTCCTGATTACATAAGAAGTTACAAAAATGATTTGTCGTTTTCAATTATCCGATTTTATCCTCAAATCATATTTTTCGAGACTACTCGACTGTTCATCTATTTTGAGCACAACACACTGCTAACAACTAATGGCGACCTTTGAAATAGTTCGGGTAATAAACAATATTTTACGAAATTCACAAAATCAATTTCAATTTGCTGAAAACAGCGTTAATACAGATCCTAGTAATATCAAATGTGCTTGGTTTGGTAATTTGTTGGGTGTAAAACGCAATTTTACGAAAAATGCAATTATACTTATTCGTAGTTCAAGATGTTCAACTATTTCTGGTAATATTCAGTTTTATCAAAATTAGTCATCAAATGCACTAACGACGTATTTATCTCATGTTTTAGTGACAACACCAGCTATAATAGGAATATGTGTCGGTGCCCTCGTAGTCCTGGTCTCTGTCACCATCTGCGCCATAAAATGTAGACGTAGGGCCGCCGCAAGGAATGTCAACAATAGGCTCTCGGAGGCCATTAAGAAGGGCCTCAAAGAAGGAGGTAGTCTTAAGAAAAGCCCGACGTTAGTGCCGTCTGAGTCGTTTCCCCAAACCAGCGCTAGTACACCAACCAAGACAACTCACCTGCCGAGACAGGGTGGTCCCAACTCTCGTCGAGCGAGTCCAGCTACATCACCTTCAGATCCACCAGGTAAACATCCAGGTGTTCAGTCCTGTCATTTAGAGAATGAGCAGCACCAAACGACAAAGAAAGTTCAGTTAACGTCCCCGCAGGAGGAGGGCCCTCCAAAGGTCGATGCCCCAACACCTGAAAAGGATTTGAACATTCGAGAAAAATCTATTGACGATTTGAAATTACCTCAGCTTGGGACCTTGCAGTTTAATGTCGGGTATAACAAGGAAAAGGGGGCGCTGCTGGTCACCATCCACCGGGCTGAGGATTTACCGGCGAAAGATCCAAACACGGAGAGTTCAGATCCTTACGTCAAGCTACAGCTACTACCGGACAAGAAACACAAAGTGAAAACCAGAGTATTGAGAAAGACTTTGAACCCAGTGTATGATGAGATCTTCACATTTTACGGGATTACTTATGCCCAAATGTCGACAATCACTCTTCACTTTGTCGTCCTAAGTTCAGACCGGTACTCCAGGGATGACATTATTGGCGAGGTTCTTTACCCTCTGGATGGCGTCGATCTCTCGGAGGATGATATTTCGCTCTGCAAGGAGATTTCCCCAAGGACCAGTCAGGTTAGTCCATTAGGAAGCCATAATAGCATTAGTATAACACCAAGCATATATCATCTATAAAAGAGTGCATTGTATATTATGATAAATAGTACTATATTTCGAAACAATTATCTTCAAATAGAAAAAAGATAAATCTATAACACTTATTTTTACCCCTTTTAGACTAGCTAGAATCTATAAATATATAATTTTTAGATACAACAACAATTGATTCGAAATTACTGCGATGTTACCAATTGGAAATAATAATACAAGAATTCTCTATGATTACAAATTGTATTCGGTTTCATACAAATTACCAATTTTACATTGATCAAATTTATTTCTTTGTGATAGGGAATCATTATGCGAACTGGTTATGTACATCCATTCACCAATTTACTTGTTTCCCCATTCCCTAGTGCTCATTACGTAGCTACGACTGGCTCTCTTAACAAAGCACCCTAAGGACCCACACTTGGCTAATACAAGACATTCTCAAGACATGTTCTCAAGTTAGAATTGCGATTAAGTGCGTATGATAAGAGGGCAGTGGGTAATTACAATATCCATGGTTGTCATTTACATATAAGAAAGAGTTCCTTAGCTCATTGATTTTTTGATCGATGGAATAAACATTCAATTCTCCTACTACTAGAATTTCACTAACACTTAAGTGTATTGCGTGTTTAAGCCCATTTCTTGAATCTTGTATATCTCTAACGAATATCCGGTTCACTTGACCTTCGCACTTTACTCCATCCAAGTGTGTCTGTGATGAGCAGAGGGGACTACTAAAATAGTACACAGGCCATTTTTCATCCGTTTTCCCTGCTTCTAAATAAATCCCCGCTAGTCTTGCTTCAAGAGTACATGTTGTCATTCCCCGGGTTGTCAACCCGGTGTGAAAGAAATGATGGTCCCCCAGGGATTATGGTCCCCTTTCTTAACGGCCCTTACTGGCCCTGATTGTGTATAAGATAATAAGGGAAAGAGTTGTATTTAGGTCACCATATAAATCGATGTAGAGTAGGACCATAATTTGATAGGACCTCCTACCCTTTTACACCGGCCTTTTCTATTCCACGAGCTACGTACAAGAGGAAATATGAACAGGATACTAATTGGTTTAATTGTTGTCAAATTTTTACATTGAAGTTTCAAACGCATACACATACGAAGACTATACTGGAAGTTAAAGTTGAAGGTACATTTGAAACTGGTCGAAAAACGGGGTTGGGGGAATAGGGTTCAGTATAATTTGACCAATTTTAATAATTATTTTTTAAATTACTCCTGCTGCTGATTTCTTTTGACAATGAAAAGCAATTTATCGCATCGCAACTGTGTGAACCACGTCGTTCTTCTGACATTTGTATGTGATCATAAAGCAGAAAGTCCGTCTGTTTTAGCGCTTCTTTATGTATCCAAACTGTCAGTATTCTTGTCGTGTGGCTCTTAGAATCTCCGTCATAAAAGGTGAAATAAATTATGCATTCTGGCTAATGTGATTTACAATACTTTGGAATGAATGCCATGATTCCGATAATATAAATGAGTATCCTTAAGTGTTTAGTCAACATTGAAGATGAATGCAGTAATTATTACCAATTTATAGGAATCAATTAAGTAACGGAGTTAAGTTTCATTAATTATGTAAGGATGTGGGGTCAATTAAATTGATGTAACACAATAATAGAAGAGTGATATTATTACGTTTGATACTTAAGTGTTCTCGAATAGAATTGTTTCGTTCGCACCTTTATATTGGTGTACTTGTTGACGTGTGTTTAGATTGTTTTGTTTCAAAGACACTCATAGTATGATTATAAGTGTCTTGTTGAGCAGGGTTTAATGAGATATTTGTTTGGTTTCCCTTACTTATGAATGACACATTGCCATGGGAGTTCAAGTGCAAGTTCAAATTCCAGCGACTTCGAAGATGTAATATTGCATTAGATGCGACTCTTTTGTTTCCCTTGATGGCGTGCCGATGGCGTGTCTTCTTCAGAAAGCTCGTAGACGTCTTTTTGAATGATCGCTCAGTTATGCCATCACACCGGGGATGGTAGGATTACACCCTGCTAATAACAATTGTGCGCATTGGTTTGAATTAAAGAATCGTTAAGCAAAATATAAATTCATCAATTGGTTTTTCAGAGAATCAATTATAATTGCAAAATTATATCAAAACAAAAATGACATTGCATTCTTTATTCAGGACTAATTTACAATGACAGGAAACAGATTAGGTCAGCATAACATCGGCATTTATACTTCATCTCATTGTTCAATGGGGATCTTGGCTTACCATCGAATATAGTATTACCAATGAAGAGACAGCCTGATAATAAGAGAGCTACGTTCTCTGATGAACTTTTACATTATGTACACCATCATCATTCGTTTCATGTTGCCATTTGATCTTCTCTTACGCTTCGCGATCGATTTCATTAAGAGTGATTGGGTTCAATATTGTTTTGGACAATTAATTGACCAATTCCATTTTCTCATAAACCTGATCAACTCCCAGTGGATCGATATGATTGATAAGTTTTTTAAGTCGACACATAAATCACCCTCAAGTTCTTGCTTGTCTCTTTTCTTCGATTCAGTAAGCATTCTTCCCTAAATGTTCGATTAGTGTCGTTCTACGTGGTAAGAAACACGATATTGCTTAACACAAATCGAGGCTTTGGTAAATTTCGAATTTTTACGCCCTATTGATCTAAATGATGATTCGAACAAACTTGGACAGTGTTCTTATCGATTGGATGACGTCGGCCATTCAGTAATCTAATTAGAGCTTGTCTTCTGACAAATAGAAAAGAAAACTGTATCTCCTAGATTATCCTTGATTTTTAAATAGAATAATACTGACTGATTTTAGATTAGAAAACACCCCAAGGACGACAAGTTAGTTGGTTTTTATAGATCACTTTAAATCAGTTAAAAAGAAGCACGCTTAGCTTCGAAAGGATCGAAAACCGATCGAGACAGAAAGAGGAAACATGAAAAGGCATTTGATATTACACATCTAATAAATGTCCCGTCCCGATCAGTTCATATACATCTTCCAGAATTATTTTTCAAAATACGTTTTAGAATAGTTTCTATTAAGCTGAACATGATATCAACATCATGTTATTTTTGCTCATTTAGCTTGTAGAAAAATAACATTTTTGTTTACAGAATCTGTGAAATAAAATGATATGAAAATGGGTTGAGTGTTGCTCAGATAATAAGGACAATTAGGTTTACCCACGTCATTATAGCTGTGTAAGTAAATATATTGAACTTAACCTTATCTTAATTGAAATATTAGATGTATAAATGGTAGTTATTGGGCCCTTCAATACTATTACCAGTTCAGTCAAGTCATGATAACTGAATCACAGACTCAGAATTGCGGCAGAATTACTGCAATAAGTTGTATTAGAGTAGCCATTGTCTTGATGAAATTACTGTTTCTGGTTACTAATTAAGGCTGCTATTTAGCCCACGCTAATCACACGATGGTCCATTCAAACCACGTACACGTTATTCCCCGTCCCGGCATCTCATCGTATTATTCCTCTTTGCTGGGTATAGTCGTACAAACGGAGAAAAACGCAACACCGTATTTTTTATTGAAACCCTAGGTGAAAAAAAACAACTCAAATGTTGTGGTCGCTATAGGTTACAGGATATTCTTTAAATATGTCTGCTTTTTTATACAGTGCATGCAATGTGTAATTTGTGTATGTAATGTTCAGATGTAATGGTTGTAGAACATTCTCCTCAATCACTGACACCGGATGTTAGCATTCCTTAAATTAATTAAAAACAGGAAATCAAATGAGGATATGGAAAATTCCTGAAATCAGACGCCATGACCTGCGAAGATGGTCAGGAATACAACCGATTGTTGGACGTCAGATGGAACCTATTATTAATATTGATTGGACGAAATGTCTTTAAAGAACCATTTCGATAGGCTCCAAGAATAATTTTCTTCAACTTGCTATCGATCTTATTGGAATGCTCATGAAATTAAAACCATCTTTTTGTCTGTGTCATTCTATCTACCGTCTTTTCCGTGACTGGAATATGACATTGCCTATTTTTATCCTGATCACGCCCCAAACATAAGCTTACTTATGTTTGGCATATAAAGCATTGGTAAATGAACTAAGCATTATATTGCTGATGAAAAAGGTACGACTCCTCGAATCACGTGTATAAGTCTACACCATACCACGGGGTGTGTACCAAAATCACCCCGGAATAGCTGACAACGGTAAAGTCAGATACCGTTGTCACAAATGGCGGACATAACCGTCGCTTCAATTAGATTTTCATGAACTGTATGTTCAATAGGGCACCTAGACTAAATTCCTTTGGAACAACAATCAATCAAAGTGTCTCGATACTCATTGTACAGTTAATAATGTTCTACCATCGAAATAAAGTCTTTAATTTAACCGATCGAAATGAAATAAGGGACAACGGGCACTGTAATTACCATATGCCGTTGTCTTTCTAAATTACTCAAATTCAGATTCCGTTGTCATTGACGACATCGAATACGCTATATTGTGGCGATTCACGACCCAATTTGATCGAAAATGGGATTTCATATGATACATTATCACAAGAGCTTAATGCACGCACAGAATTAGCGACGATAAAATCCCATGAAATGAGGACCAAGTGATTAAAGGTTGAAGCGACGGTTATGTCCGCCATTTGTGACGACGGTATCTGACTTTACCGTAGTCAGGCTATTCCGGTGTGAAATTAAGCGTGACAGTTGAACGCGCAGGGTAAGGTACATCACAAGGGTGATGAAAGAGCAAACTGATATTTTCATCGTTTCAGAAAGATCTGGTCTAGTTTCTAGATATATTTTTATGTAAATGTCTATAATAATATCCTATATGCACTATGCAGTGAACTTAACAGAGAATTTCATAGTTAAAACTACAAAAACTCAGAATGAAGTACTATGCTGTATAAAGCAGGGTAACGGTAAGGTAAAACACAAGGAATTTGAATTTGCGTTAAACCGTACATTAAAATCGCAGTTTGTTTAGGTTTAACTATGAAATTCACTGTATCACTGTCTAGGATATTGGTACGGACATTTACATCTAAAAACATCTAGAAACTAGATCAGATCTTTCTTACCCTTTGCATTCGTTTGACTTCACTTCTTAGAAGAGAGCTTCGTCTGTAGTTTAACTAGACTCTGCACGCAGGGTAGATCTTTCTGAACCAATAAAAACATTAGTTTGCTCAAATTTCATCACCCTCATGCTGTACCTTATCCCGCGCGCTCAATTGTCACGCTTAATTCGGTACAGCCCTTGTGGATACGTGCAAAACTCAAAACGTGTAAAACCCCAAACCAATCAGCATGTAAAAAATAGATGCTTTGTAAAGGTTATCATACTGAAAATCATCTCATGAAAATAGATTCAAGCAATTTATGTGCACCTGTTTAATGACATAACGTAAATCGTAAGCATTCATTTGGTAATTGAATCTTCCGAATGAATGGATACAGAACAGTCTACGATATTTCGAATCTTCATGCAAGGACGTTTACCCTGCGTGCAGAGTCTAGTTAAACCCGGGAAAACTACGAAGACGAAGTTTGATAATCCATACAAAAGGCTTCTTAGCCAATGGTCAGACCAATTTCTCGAGAAGAAGTTTCGCTATGTACGCTAAACACTTGTAAAACGTGTGCATTTAATTAAGGAAAGTGGGATTGTCTTGTAGGAGCATTGTGGCTAAATTATAATTGAACCGGGAAAATGGTTACATGATGTACCTGCTATTCATTGTTCTCAGCAATTCATTGTCCTAGCAATCGGTTGCCATTGTGTACCCGCATGAAAATGATCAACTCCCGGGTATCAACTCCACGCTTAGTACCATGTCCATTCTCCAAATCGAGGACGCTATCTTGAGTTCCCCTAATTTGAGTTGACTCAGGATCGTGCTAGGAATGAATCGCGGTAGTCACAGACATACGCAATGTACAAATGGTCCGGAAATCGTTCCACTAGATTCACCTTAAATTAGATCTAGATTCTGATGAAGCATTAGTTGACTTAGTGTAATTAGAGAGCAAACGTTAATCACGAAATATGAGTCTGAGTGGATAATGTTAGTTGAATAAGACCTTTTAGTTGACTGAATTTCACCTCGGGCTTGTATCGACATTGCTTGTTCTATAAAAACAAGTCATATTCCGAAATTAAAATGGCTCAAAGCGTCTGTAACATCAGGCCCGCAGCCAGAATTTTCCAAGGGGGGGGGGTCACCTTTTCAAAAATATCTATGGGGGGTTCACTTTGGTAAATTTGGCCAAAAATCACTCGAAAAATAGATAGAATGGTGAAAAACATCATGGCTACGGGCCTGAACATTATTATCTCTATAGAAAGGAAAATAAAACCCTCAAATAGCAAATACTAAAAACGTCAGTTGATTATCAATTTGTGATGTAAATTAAAAGAAATCAAATCCTTAAAGTATTATGTGTGTGTTTAGATTCAGAGCCAGAGCCGTGGAGAGATGCTAGTATCGCTGTGTTACCAGCCCGCCGCTAATAGGCTCACTGTGGTAGTTCTGAAGGCGAGAAACCTGCCCAAGATGGACGTCGCTGGACTATCAGGTACAAAGAATAGTCTGTACAGTCACCAGACTTGATTTCTTTTTTGATACTTATTCTTATATTTGCAAGCGAAATGATGCAAATGTCAATATGAAGAAAGGGGTAAGCTGAATTACTATATTTTCGTGTTTCTACGCGGGAATGGGTTCCAGAGAACCGTTGCAGTTCAATCTTTGAAGATTACTATTATTACAGTTTCTTTCAGCTTAATAACCATGTTTCTACATTTAATTAACTTTATGTCCGGAATGTTATGAATTTTGACAACAAATGTCTTTCCTGCTATATTGGTAAATCAATGCTTTGCATTTGATTATTCGAAACTCAACTCCCACATCTTAACATCCTTAGCATTAATGTTTCTCCCCTCCTCACTCTCTCCATTTCTCTCTTCCTATTAGTTGTTAAAGGATGAGATATCTCCCGGGATATCTCGCCTATTTGGATTTTTGAGCGTACACGGGTACAATGACTGTAGATTGCCATTTAATCAATGTGTGCGGTTTAATCAATATGGAGGTAATGTCCTCTTCAGAAATATTGTAATTAATAATTATACCGAAGTCTCACTTACGTGCATCTTGGATAACCAAGGTATGAAAAGCGAGTATGATTTACTTAAAGTGAATTTTCCTAATTTCAGATCCGTATGTCAAGATTTATCTGTTGTTCAACGGGCAAAGGATCGCCAAGAAAAAGACACACGTAAAGAAGCGTACCCTTAACCCGGTGTTCAACGAATCGTTCCTTTTCGACGTCCCCTGTAACGAAGGTTTGCAGAACATAAGCCTGGAATTTAGCCTGCTTGACTGGGATAGGATGACCAAGAATGAGGTCATAGGTCGATTGGAGGTAGGATCTAAAGGTCAAGGACAGGAGAGTCATCATTGGAACGAGGTGATGAATTGTCCCCGAAAACAGATAGCAGAATGGCATAAATTGAAAGAATAGCGAACTCTTGATTACACACAAAGTAACTTTTTAAAAAGAAGTGCTACTCTACGGCAGATTCCCAGTGTAGCAGAATTTCTTATTGGCCATGGCACAATACATCGAACGATTTTCTGTCAAGACAATTTACGACCCAACGGACTTTGTAAGATTAGGCTAACCCAATTCAATGAGCCAATTATGAATCAATTTTATTTCCAAATGGCATAGATATTCACTACATGGTAAAAAGTAAAAAATGTCGAAAACATGGTGAAAAACACGCTGAAAAGACACGTTAGTACAAAACATCTGTGTCACATGTGACGATAATGGGCGCCAAATTAGCGTCAATCAAGGACGTCACACGTGGATCCCACTCAAGGTTATAAAAGTTACGTCTGACAATATCTTAGAACAATCGTTACATATTGATCCTATCCAATAACTTATTGTTTAAAAGACTTCTCGTGTAACTTTCGTGATTTCATATACGTAAGTAAGTAAGGAAAATTATGATTCATTGAGTTGACTCCATACGCATTCGATCATTTTTAGAGTTTAATATGAGACATCGAGAGAGGTATATAATTATTTGTTCACTTAAATAACTGGATCAAATATTTGTGACCTTTGGGTATATTTTAGAAAATGGCGCATAGAAGCATCGATGCACCTGGGACAAGACTGCAGACGTAAATGGTGATAAATATGGAAGAGAAGGTACTGCGATTCATCATTAGACAAAACATGTTCCTGGCCAGTGCATTCCTTAAACAACCAGTGCATATATGGAATAAATTATTGCCTAAGAAAATACATTTTTATTCTCTCCTTTGTAAACTATTTTATTAAATTCATTAAATAGGAAGCTCTTATTTTCTTATTGGCACTTGTATTTGTACACGGATTCTGGAAGGACTATTTTACCGTTTGCAATATTCCATTTTCTTATCTTTTCCAATTTCATTTTCACAGCAAATCATTATACAAAGTCTACACTTGGATTATTTTGGGAGGAAATTGTGTTCGCCCTTCATGGTAACAGTCATTAGCGTTTGACTACTTATGTAACTATGCGGATGCCTCTCCATGATACTCGTGGTCGATTGAACTCCGTTATTCATTCTTGGTCCTTCAATTTTTAGCCAGTAAGAAACGTCATCTGCAGTCGTTTTTAAAGAATTGACACTTGGCAAGCTGTCCAGTGTTGCAAAAACGACGATTTACTGTCACATGTAGTGCACTAAACCGATCTAATTACATCCCAATTCACTCATTCAATTGTTGAATAGTAAACAAAAAAGAAATCAATTTTTAAACTGTGCATGGCCCGTTACATACAATGTCGTGAAGCTGAACTAGTTATATCCACTAACCCACTTACATGTATCAAACCACTTACCCCTTCTTAAACAATTAATACAAAAGAAATCAAAATTTCCAGCTTAGATCACTGACCATTTACCTTTCATAAGAGTCTGTGGGATTTAGGTTAGATAGAGCATTCGTACTGGGTTTTAGGATAAATAACAGTCTTGGGCCTAACAAGCCTCGGCTATTATTCTTCATAGGACTCAATACTCATACTTTATTCATAAAAGAAAGCAGTCAGGATCCAAGAATTCTGCAGCAATAGGCTGTGGTGATAAACTAAACCGCCATTTTCGTTTTGGCTTCAGAGTGTACAATTATTTAAGAAATGCTTCATTGTCGGCATGTCCGCACAATTACTTCATTGCAATTGAATAAACAATTAAGAATTAACCTGTAGTAGCCCATTATATGTATGATAATTATATATTTATATATATTATAATTATTATTATAAACGTGTACATAGTTATAGATATTTATAATATATCTAAAAAATGTTAAAAAAGATGCAATAAACTTTAGTTTGATAACATGATGCCTAATTGGGTGAACATGAATTTAAAGCATTTTCATTAAAGTATTTCGTACAACTCTGCTCGGAAAAATTGTAGCGTATTTGCAAAAATATTTACTGCGTTTCCTCAATTAAATTCAGTTGAAAAATCATTTTAGTAAAAAATGCTCGAGTATTTTAACAGTAGTATTTTAAGCTCTGAATATATATATATGTACATACAACACACTTTAAACATAGTGCAGTGTAACAACATACAATGATCATAGTGTAATAATGCAAAATAACCATAGTGAAACAACACACGGTGATCATAGTGTAACAACAGACAGTGATCATATATTAAGAATACTGTTATCATATCGTGTAAAAACAAATTGTGAACATAGTGTAACACCTCAGTGATGATAGTGTAACGACACACTGTGATCACAGTCCAAATAGAATATTTCAATAACGGAATGTACGTGTTTACCATAAACAATTTTGTAAATCACTTCCATAACTGAATTTCTTACATTCGAAAGTCCATACACAGATAACGATCAATTGAAATATAACATTATTGTCATCAATTTTATAAATATCAGTTCTGCAAAGGGCACAACGGAAACCATGTAGATACAATTCTTTTCAGCGAATGCCTGCGAGAAATACACTATTTGAACGATACGATATACACAATTATTCAAGTTTTCTATTAATAATCAAAATATAATTCTGGAGGCTGGCTTTTCTTCGATCCTTTAGGACAAAAGGCGTATACGTGGTGTAGTATAACTATATATCAAACAATGAATCATTTGGTACGCCGTAAGTCAACACTGTTGCATTTGTTTGTATTTCTAAATAACACACTTATATATTGGATATCGCAGAAAAGAAATATTGTAATCAATGGATGGGATTGATAAAACATCAAGATGTAAGTGTTCCTGCATAAAACTGTAATTAATCATCGATAATTGCTATACACTATCACTATGTTCAAGACCAAATTTGTTGAATGTTGATAATCAGATTCTTTGAGGATCCCCAAAAAATTCCCATCACAGTGCGTGAATGACCCGCCTCAAAACCCAATAATGGTATTCAGTACAAATACAAACGATAAAAACATGCTAAACTCATCGATCCAAGGACTTGTACAAATAGATATAGTCTTGTGCAGTATATTTACTGTTTAAAATTGTTATAAATATCTCAATGGCTAATTTCTTAAAACGTAACTTCATCCGTTTGGAAAACCGGTGTGAAAGAAATGATGGTCTCCGGGATTATGGTCCCCTTTCTTAACGGCCCTTACTGGCCCTGATTGCGTATAAGATAATGAGGGAAAGAGTTGTATTTAGGTCACCATATAAATCAATGGAGAGTAGGACCATAATTTGATAGGACCTCATACCCTTATACACCGGACAGTACAATTACAACTATTAAAGTTGCCTTGAGGCCTGTTTGCATTTATGCCACACGAGTGTCACCATCGATTACTAAAGTAACTCGATACTGTATTTTCTCTGATCCATAACAGCAGTTTACTTTGTTGATCTAACCTTCACATATATTGTATTTAAATAGGTATAAGTATATATGATGTATAGATTTATTATTACTTACATAATCATAGATATTCTTTGTTTCTGTTCAACATTATTATGTAATACAAGTTATTGTGAAGTCCCACGACTCCCTATATTTATTTGACCTTTTGTGAGAAGTTCATTAAACATGATTGGGAGAAATACTTATAAATGAGCCAGGCACCGGAAGAGGGATCTTATCACAAATTTTTTCAATATTTTGATTTTTGTTTATCTAAAAAGCACAATGAGGGCTCTCAAATGAGCCATGGCTTATGTCTTAATAATTTTTCCTTGCAGATATAGAGCAAAAAGACGGATTTGAATTTGGCACATTTTCCTTTTAATCTTGGGCACATTTTTTGGCTCTGCAGCACAGTTTTTATTTTTGTGATAAGACCTGTTCTCCTGTGTTGAGGCTCAAATGATTAATTTTGTTCAGAAAGTTTGTTAAGTTATAATGAATCACAAAAGTGAAATAAATTGATTTATTTTCTGAATACATTGTTGTTATTATAGTAGATCAGTTTGTTGAACATTTACCTTACGCCACGAATCTATTCATCTGCCCATCATATAGGCCCAATTTCCAATGTCTTAAAAATAAATCAGTCCAGATAAACTGAACTTTATAGAATCATTTTGAAAGTTATTCTCTGCATATTTACTGTCGTGGTTCCTGTATTTTTCCCCTGGTTATTAATGGTTGGATGTTTCTTTTCCTTGGATATCTATAAACTTGCAGAGATCAGAAAACATTTCAAAATCAAGACACCATAGGTCAATGAACATAATACGCATAAACATTTATTCCCTTAAATATCAACTCGAATGTCACGTGTATATAGATTCGAAATCACTAAGACAGAAATTGCTTTTTTCCGTGTAGCGTATACCCTAAATCCAAGATTTGTAAAGCATTCCCATGATTGCGAATTCAAGTCAGGTTTATTCATCATTTATTGTATCGTGTAGCCTTCCAAAGCAGCTTTGTTAGGCAGACTCCAGACAGAAATAACTGGATCTCAGGCCTAATGTTATATACGAGAGATGAGCCTTCTAGTTCTTTGGGGAATATACACGTAAATCACTATTATACTCAATTAGTCTTATTAGAATCATAGTCCCTGAAAAGTACATTTCGGAAAGAGGGAAACAACATTTTTCATTATCATAATTGTAGAGATAATTTAAAAAGTATTTGGTATTTAAATAACCTACCAGATATTCCAGAGACTGACAATTCCAAAATTACTCATACTTGAATTTCCATCAATTGAAGCTCATCAAATAGTAAATTACAGTAGATTGAATTTTCAGCCATTCATGAGTTAATAATGAAATTGAGTGTTGCACAATGGGGATGGATCACTTGCTACTAGCGGTATACATACAGTAATCCACACAGTAAAACATCACTATAGCTAGAAGTATGAAAACCAGAAACATGATCCCGAAAGGCGACATCTTTATAACATGAATTTTACTCGTTTGCTTTCCCATGGTATGAAAACGGTGGAATTTTCAGGGCGTAATAATGATGAATCGATGAAATATACTAATGTAAAGAACTACTGAGAACTTCCAATAATCACAATGGAGACCATTGACTTTTGGCTTGAAGACATGCGACAAAATTCGTTTATTATTAATAGCTGTATTTATATAAATTGAGGCTTCTTAACATCAGTTCAAAATATGAATTTTAACGTACACATACAAGAAAAGTCCTTTAAAAAAAATCGACACTGGTATGAAACTGGTATGAAACTGCCAAACGATATATCAATTAATAATACGATTACGAAATAGCGATAAATGATTGGTATCAATGCTTTAAATAGGCTTCTTGGCAATCCATTGAGGTTTCAGGCTGATGTTAGGCGATGTCAAGTGCGTCATACTACGAGACATGTCCATGTTGGTGTATGGTCCCTGGCTCCTAGGTGGTGTCTTTTTCAACTGGAAGTAAGGGGTTTTAGTGTTAAACATCAATGGGCATTGGTTCCAAATACAGGCAACTTATTTCCAATGGTACCCTATGCAAATTGATTAGAATAACCATTTGAGGTATCAACCTTTCTTAGAAAGTAGGTCAAATAAGGTAAAAACCTGGCAATCGAAAAATAGCATATTTTGTTTTCGTTTAGTATACTAATCAGTAATCTATATACTCATGGAACACAAAACTGATTGAGAGTATGGAACATCTTACCCACATTTATGTTATCCTTATTCGATTTGTCATCTTTACACTTTCTGTTGGGGGACTCACCGGGTAATGCGTCGTCATTACTTGGCTTAGATGTAGGCTTAGGTGCAACTTCAGGAGGTTCTTGTTTCGACATTTTAGGAAGTACCTAAAAGGATTTATAGTTGTTATTAGTATGGTACCATTAGTATGAGTAAGAAAGAATGAAAATCTCAAGTCATGAGCACACACGCAAAGAAACAGGGTGAACTGGAAGACACCCACACCTTACACGATCACATAACAATTGTCATGATAAAAACTATTAAGGAATAATCTAACCGAAAGGTTGAACATTTAATAAATAAATCTATTAACTCCCTATTAATTAATTTTGACTTGAACTGAGAGACGGATATAGGCCTGTGCAATAATGACTATTGGGATTTAACGAGATGTTGTCTGGGTTCATTATATCAAGCAAAGTTGGGACCAATATTCCCTAGGTGACAATGTTCTCTTTTTTACTATTGGTATCATAAACGCTAAACACAAACACGTGCATAAGTACCCACCTCATCCTGACCGCCTGTTGGGTCTTCCTGAAGTTCAGCTAGTAATTCATCTTCTGAGGCACTCGCCACAAACTCTAAACTTTCATCAGACTCGGTCTCACTACACGGCTATAAAACAGACAGTAATAGTTAATAATAGAAATTCGGATTCAAGGTAAGAACACAAAAATACGAAAAACAATTGTTTATTTTACATTTATTATGGTTCAATAATATCTTATGGGTTCAATGTGTGTTTATATCGTCATTTACTTCATAATCTGGGTCATCATCCGAGATGTAGTTATCAAGGTCAAATGTTGCCAGATCAATGTCACTGACGTCACTACTATCACTGCTGACGTCTGAGAATTTACGTTTACGTTCATGGTCACCATCATCAGGAGTTTCTCCAACAGCTGTTTCATCAACAGCAGCAGCCGCACATAGGAAGAAAACATGAATATTAAGATGCTTAAGTTTATTTTTAGTTTATATTTTCAAACAGGTAGCATTCAATATATATTTGCTTTTGTGGACAAAAAAAACATATTTTCGACTGTAAAAATGGCTGTCATAGTGAAACGGGAACACCTTTTCACATCTATGGACTAAATTAAGAACCTATAGAGAGATTTTGAAATGAGTTTAAAGATCTTGTCAACAATTACAGGGTCGTAGCTTTGATCCTTAATTAAGCAACGCAGATATGTGGTAATGTATGCTAGACTCACCTTCATTATTTAGATTGATCAGATATTTTCTGATGTCACCAGACGATTGCTTTTCCGGGGTTTTCCCAAAAAGTGCCAACACCCATGTTCCGAGTTGCTCAATCTTAGAGGATTCTTTTGCTGGCTTGTGTGGAGCAACCTGCAAGAAACGTGGATATGGATTAATAAATTGCTGTCAGTTGATGGATGTGTTTGTTTGTGCAAAATAACTGCAAGTGCTCTCTGTGCTATCAGAGCATCTTGCGTTTGCAAGATATAAAAATGTGATGGGAATCAATATGGCTTTTGTGCGGTGTACTTATACTGGAATCATTCATTCATTGTTGCTTATTTTCAGTTTAGTTCGGTTGACTTTGTGGTTACACTAAGTACCATATTTTAGTTTAGTGACCCGAGAGCTGTACATTTTTAATAGAACGGGTAGGGGATTTAGAATGGGGAAAAAGAAACCAAGCTCCGTTTTTAGACTATACTCCATGATTGCTCATCGCTATGGGTGACTGTGGTCTGTGCCACTATAGAATACAGGCATTGAATATGTTACCTTCTTGATCCTACGTGCTTCCATGGCCTGTGCTCTACTTGGGGAGAGCTTCGAGGTCTTTATTCTTGCGCTCTTACGGTACTGACCCGTGTACAAACGCCGCAGATATCGTCTCACTGACTTTAACGTCTGCACCTGAAGAAAAATTGCATTCATTGAATTTAGGTAAAATTGTGTGTGCACTGTTAATTTGCGACTTGTTTGCTTTGACGTCAACAGGTTCCCCATGCGTCTTATCTCACCAGAACGCCAATAGCTTACACAAGTGCCAATATGTTGAATGCTTGTAAAATTCGTACTTGTGCCAATTGCATACAGTATCAAAGTCCGTGTCAATATAGCTTACCCACATGTCAAGACTCCAGACAACAGTGAAGCAGTAGAGAGTTTTAGTAAGAGCTGCCACATCAAATCCCTAAAAGTAACATCAATATAACGTTTTAAAAATAATGACTTTTTGTGGGTCGGAGTACAAGTGCAAACATACACTAAGTTTGATTTGATATTGTTGGGCATAACATGACAAAAATAAGTGTGTTTTATTCGACATCATGTGTCTGTTATTTAAGATTGTCTGATCTTTTCTCTAATAAAATGGATTTGAGCTAACAATTGTGAGAATAAAATAACTACTAGTATGGATTTTTGTAGATTCACGACTCCAAATATCACAAATAAAGCCTCTTCTGTATGGGAGTAGGAATAAACGGTACCGAATAAACTTGTGAGGATTTTTGGGGCGCTCGGAAATTACTTGAATATCTGAATTCACATTACTACGTACTTCTGTAGCGAGTGCAAGAAGTGGTTGCTTTGGCTCACGCTGATTGTTTTTAGAAGCCATTTGGTTCACTGATTCTGTATCTACGTCTACTCCTTCGTCAGTGGAACTTGGCTTATCTGTCTCGTCGACACTTGGTTTAGTGTCTGGCTCTATAGGGCTCTCTGATGGTACCTGGAAGAATAAGCTGATCAATTTCATAATTGAGTAAAAATCTATAAATGGTATCATAGGGAATAACAAGTCAAGTGCTTATACTGGTCAAATGGAAATATTGAATGGTTGACTTTTAGCAGTATTCATATAAAGAGGTGCTCGGATATAGATATTTTACTGTACACAGAACAGATATACCGGGAGATATACATACCCTACATTCTTCCATTGGTTTAACAAAGTCGAGTGCAGTCTCAGATACACCGATTATGAGATCCAGACCTTTCAGGAACTGTCTGCCAGGAAAACTGCGGAGTGCCTTCCTTCCAATCCTCTCGCTAGCCTATACAAGAAACAATATGCACTTTCTAATCTTCATATTGAACTCAAATTAAGTAATTTCATTATCACCACAGTCTAACTAGATATATATTGTCAAGTGGATGGTTTGCACTAACGAGCATACCTGAACAGGGTACTCCGTTACAATAGGAAACTGTCTCTCCAAGGTTTTTAGAGTGCCGTTGGCAGCAAGATCTAGCTTCTGGACTGAAATAATTTGTGTGCGTCAATAAAACCCAAAAATTAGCAATCAAACCACCATGCATAGTACAATATTTTATGGAAATATATATATTTTGCATACTTCGATGCAAAACATTTGTATGTTACAGATGATCATGTTTAGTTGTGTTCAGTAAACGTGAGTGTGACCTCTCGTTATTTATGGAGTTTTAGCCATCCGAATACAAGAGGTCAGACATCTGTTGGCAAAACCACAAGCAATATTGTAAGGTAGAAAGTGCAGTTTGACCGGCGATATTGAAACGGAATGATCAACGTCATGCGATTTTGTGGAAATGAGATGAGAAACCAGTAAAAATGTAGCCTTGTAGAAGCCTTTAGCATTTGTTGATTTTTAAAATTTGGATATTTGTTTGAACGATCTATCATTAGAAATGCAAATCTAGAGTCCATTTCACTGTTTTATTGCGTCAGTGGAACCCCAAGAATAAGAAATCGGAAGACCATTGTGCAATAATATATGGAAAAGTATATTCATATTGTACATGAATGACATTTGTTTATTTCATATTTTTTAGTTTTTTGTGCAATAATTTGATTTCTTATTTTTTAGGTTTTACTGACGCAATTAAACAGTGAAATGGACTCTACAACAGCTAGGATCTTTGTACTTACCGAATTCATGTTCGATAGGGATGGCGGCCTTCACAGGTTGGCTCAAAGCCTCCATTCTTTTCTCTGCAAATTCTAAACCACATTTTAGTACTTCAACCGTTTTTGTAGTTTCGTAAAACGATTTTGTAAGTTGAACGGCTGGAAGTTTGGATAATCTGTGTAGGAATTTGCTGCGGTAACCAGTCATGGTCTCTGTGTCAGTTTTTGAAACCGTCATCCTAGTTCAACAGTTTGTTGAAGACCTGACTTGACCAAGTGATAGTTTGTCGAAGAACAAATGCGGCAAAGTGACCTCTCCAACGGATTTCTAGTTCAAACGACTGCGCTACGTGGAATGCGCACTAATCCTTTTAGCATACAAATAAAACGTTGTGGAAATCGAACGCCTTAAATCAGGCTTTTATTTCTGGCTGCTTTCTGTGCAATGTAGCGGAACGCTCTCTTGCATTCTGGTCAAGGGAGATTGGCTCCCAGGGTCCCATTTCGATATTTTCCCATATATGGAGTCATGTTGTGATTACAAAATTCGAAATCAAACAGCCGGCATGTCCGAGCACACGCAACATTGCACGGAGTCCAGAATTAAAATTAAAATTCACACTAATAGCAAGGCAAGGTGTGTCAGATTCCAGCCATTCCGAATAGAGTATTCACATAATGAACAGTGTGTGAAATATAAATAACGCATTTGCTGTGTACATTTGCTAAGTGATTGAGATTGAAATTGAGTTTTCCAATACTTGCAAAAGGTTTCATTAAATATGTTCTTTTAAAGTGATCTTGTATCTTTTAGGTGATTTTATCGAAAATATTTTGCAATGTGTGAAAAGAATTTAAGCCCAAGACTCATTTCATTCCACTCAGATGTTGTTTCCTAAAATTTGCATTCCCGCTGCGAGGCCATGCGAAGATTTGGAAACAAATCCATCTTCGTGGAATGGTTAAATCTTAAATAACGATATTGTCAATGTTGATATCGGTTAAGGTCGCTAGAACATCTGCCATTCTTCTTGCAGTTCATTCGAGCGAACTTTGCTGTAGAAATCAGCACCAATGCCTTAATCACATGTGCTCCGATTGTCACTGCAGCGCCCGACCGATTGAGTATTATGTTCAGAAATGTATTTAATTTTGAACAAAATACTCAATCAGTCGATGAATCGCAGCAAATGTGACCCAGGAAATACTTGGGATTCAAAATATCGAGTCGGAACCCTGGGAGCCAACCTTTTTGATTGTGGTGGAACTCGATGAAGCGAAAACGAAAACAGATCCCGGTTGGTAACAAAATGGCGCAGCCTTGGAGGTGGTGAAAGTTCGGTACGCCTGAATTTTTTTTTCCATATTTTCACAAAATTTAGGCAGCTTCCTCAGAACCTTTTGAGCACAAATGTGTGAAAGAATTATCTGTTAAGTAGAAATTCTCAGCGTTTCCGAATGACTCATCAATATATGCCGCGAGTATTCTGTTCAAAACTGAATACAATTAAATTGTGAACAGGATACTCAATCGGCCAGGCGCCGGCCGATGAATCGGAGCAAATGTGACCAAGGCATTAGGTAAAGCATTTATAACAGGTCGTGTATACCCGCGTTGCTCGATTCAAAACAAAAAAACTGACTTTTACACACTGGTGACGTTGCGCCTTTTAAAATAAATCTAATAATTTAGAAGCGCATCCCTTAAGAAATCATAGGAGACAAAAGGTTTACCATACCGTGCACCTATTCATTTAGCGATGAAATTTCTCATACAAGATAAAATCTTGCAGTTTTAGTGAATTTTCTAGCAGAAATCGCCTCTTGTATTTTTCGCAGATCCACTTATTTTTTGTTATTGCTTTTTCCGTGTTATCTTTCAATATGTGTTTTCCAAATCCTCGTCCTTCTAGTTTCTTATGTAGATTGATTACTCTTTGTGTAGCGTCTTCTATGTGGCTGCATACTCTTGATAATCTTATGATTTGTGAAATGTATCCATGTGATTATCTCCTAGAAATGTTCCAGGATAAATCAGAGTATGACACTATATTAAAGTTGAGGGACGGACGGAGGCATTCTCTATATCCCTCCAAACCTCGTTTGATGGGATAATAAGAATATGGGGTTCTTAATTAAAGCTTATGACTAACAGACTAAGGCCTTTTTGAAATTTTGGGTTATAACTAATTATTCAAGGTTCATGATGAAAATGAGTGAAGTTGGGAGAAGGCAATATCTGCTAGAAAATTGAATAAAACTGCAAGATTTACTTTTTCATGAGGAAGGCCTATCAATAAATCGCTAAATGCATAGGCGCGAGTTATGGTCGAATCTGTAATGTCTTCTTCTTTGAAGTGATGCGCTACTTTAGTTTTTAAAAATCCCAACGTCACCTGCATGCAAAGCTCAAAGCTATAAATCAAACAATAGAGGCTTACATGACCTGTAATAAATACTAGTACTTATCACAAAATGTGTCATTGCTGGTTTTTTAAAATGAGCTACAAAAAATTATCAAAAATAATCAAATAATAGAACTAGAAAAGGGTTGTATGAAAGCCATTGAACCTGTGCAGCAAGATGATATGCCTTTCGATTTCAAATTGTGGGTTGATATTTTGGGTCAATGGGACGTTATTAATGAACAAAATATGAGAACAACTGGAACATTTTTGGAGTTCATAAAAGAAGGTTACCCCTTTAAACACATTGCAATTTTTAAACCTTTGAAAATAACAACATAGAAAATTATGCATTTTACAAGTCATGTATTTATATTCATATAATCGTTTAAGCTGTACATTTTATTCCAGTGATTTTGTATCATTTTCCCTTTTCAGAACTAAAACAAATTAAATGCATGATTTCTTAATAATAACATTTCAATGGAAACACTGTCAAATTAAGGTAAGATGCACAGACCAATGAGATTTATTCAAATCAAATGAAATCCCATCCCTTTAACTGGACATTTATGCGGAACAGTCCATACCTGTTCCATAAATAGACTGTCCTTCACAGCTATGATATTTTAATGAGTATGTGCACTGTAAAAATGTATATAGACAATATTTACAATAAGTCAATGTCTTCTTCACTCAGAGTCAGAGATTTCCCTCGGACTATGTTGAGAGGTATGATTATAATCTCCCTTATCTTATGACAGATGTAAATGTTAGAAAATCAAAACCAACATTTGCATTGACATCAGACCTCTTGATCATCTAAATAAATTCCAAAAGAGAATAAAAGTTGATCATTAGACCTCTCAACCAAACATTGGAAAATAAAATTAAGATCATCTTGAAATATGATTTAGATCATCTTGAAATATGATTTAGATCCTCTTACAACTGTATAGAAAATTGGGATGTATGATTTTAATAATCATAATTCTCAAACAAATATATGGAATGAGATGCTGATCTCCTTAGCTCTCTGAGGTTGGAAGGTATGAGTTGAATGTTCTAATGTTATCTTATGTTATCTAATGTTATCTTATGTTATCTTTTCCTCCTGTCTCCATCAGAATCTCTCCTGGATCTTCTCCTTGAACTGAAAGTACAATAAGTTGACAATGACAGATTTAATAAAGTCTAGACCTACACACCACCCTAAGCAGACATTATAATGGTCCAACTTTGTTTCTTTTAAAAATTTTGATATATGAGGGGAAGATGACTTTGTTTCTTTTAAAAAGATCAATATATGAGGGGAAATGGCAAATTCAAGGTATTAACATGCAAAATGTCACCACGTGCCATTTGTTACAGATGCTGACCACCATACACTGACAACCATCCACAAAAATTGGAGACTATATCAATAAGTCTGACATGTATTTCTGGTGGTGACATAAAAAATTGGGAAACAAAATACCATAACCACCATTTCTCCACCTTTTGTGTTTTTTCTATGTGGCAAGATCCATTCTAAATAAAAAATCAAAAGTACTGTTGATGGTAGTTTTACCTTTTCTTGCCAGCTGGTCCTCTAACGAAACACCAATCTACATTGACCTGTTGACCAAGTATATCTGTACCATTCAAGCTCTCAATAGCTGCCTGTGCTTCACGGAACGTTTCATACTCTACCAAGGCATAACCCTGTAATAAGAAAGTTGCATTTTAATATTCATTTTTTTAAATGTACAGTTAAATGTTATATTTTTCCTGGCTTTCAAAAGTGGAAAAAGTTGAGCATTTTTTATCTTAAAGTTTTTTATTGCATGTCATTCCACTTCTGTCAACATAATAAAGTAACGGAATCAAGTAATGGATGTCAAAAAGGTAAGTTTACATTTCACTCATTCGTTAACAGATTAAACAAAACACCTGGAGAAATCATATTATCAATGGGCTATCTTACTTTCATGAATTTGTCAATGCTAAAAAATGAGAAATAGTTTGATGTATAATAAATACGTAGAAAATGCATGCATTCAGACCTTTAGAAAACCTGTTCGTCTGTCTAGATTGAGATGTGTATTTTTTATTTCCCCATGTTCAGCAAACTTGTCATAGATGTCATCTTCTTGTGCCTCCTCATGTACATTGGTGATGAACAGAATCCATCCCTCAACGGCTAAAACATACAAAAAAAAGATACAAAATATGTTGTGATGCAAATGAGAGTTATGAAATGAGAAATTTTCAGACAAGGAATATACTGGAATGTTTGAGATAAGACATCATATTTCACAAGCGACTAACTGAATATCCAAAACCATGCATCACATAACTAATGAATTTTAGGTATGATAAGTTACTCTTCTGTTAGTTTTAAGCAGGGACTTTGAACATGTTATTTAATCATGTTCCTCTTTATTATCCTGTTATGAATTTCTTGACAACATTTAGCACTATTTTGGTACTAATAGCGTCACTATTAATCTATTATTTAGTGATTAATTAATTATTTCACTAATTAATTAATTTCTGTAGTGTACTTACATCTCTGTGGCCCTGGACCCCCCTCAGCATCAACCTCCATACCCTCATACTCCTGTACATCATTCTTTGTTTCTGTCCTATCACCACCGAACCCTCGCCCTTTCCTCTTCTTCACCTTTTCTTTCAGCTTGAGTAGACCCTCTGGAAATAAAAAACATGAACTATTGAAAAAGACACAATAAGTTCAGAAAAATTGGAAAGCAATTTTCACCAATGTGAATTGAAGTTTTGAAACTTTGGATTTTTTACTCGTGAGAGTTGAAAGAGGTACGAGTTCTGGAGGCGTGTTCAGAGGATGGAATAATCATATGTTTAAAAGTATATGAGAGACCTTCTGCTGTGCTTTCATTAACGCCGTCCCATAATGGAGAGGACCCGGTTTTTACTATAGGGACCCTAGACTATATCCTATTTAGTCTGAATTATATTCAGACTATAAGGCACCTATGTTAAAGATTGGTAATTTTTAATATTTGTTTACATAGGAAGTGCTATTCAAAATGGCCGATTTGGTAAAATAAATTTGCACATTTTTACTTCAACTAGCCTTATTTCCACTTGACAATAGGCTGTGTTACTTTTTATTGCATTTAATTGTACCTTACTACTTAATTGAAATTTTGTAATGCTTATTTTATTGAAGAAATGGTTCCTCTAATTGATAATTTTGTGCAAAAAATTCCACTGCAATTTCCACAGGAAAGTAGTACATCATAACAGACTGACTTCTGTCAGTCTGTTGGATACATACTAATAGGGACCCCAAACAATGAAAATGAGGGGTCACTTGGACGCAGTGCAGGTCATATAAAAAAATTAACTCTGGATGAATGTATTGATAAAGATCTTACCTTCAGTCTTTTATTTGTTCAAAATCCGCTAAATAAACGAAGGATATTCTATTTCTAAAAGAAATAGAATTTTCTTTCGGAGTTTCTTTCCCGGAAGTTGATTTCCGATCAAAATAGGATGAGGTACGTGATTGGACAATCACTAGTAGCTGATTTCCGAGTGGTAATCGGTACGAGTCCTATGATTGGCCGAGATTATTAATCGCGCATGCGTCTTAATAATTTTAACTGATCAAATTGCTGGATTTGCTGCCCATGCACAAAAAACTGAACCAAAAAATGGAACCTCACGGAGATTGCTCCTAGTGAAAATCTGAGCGATCAAAATCAATAGCAAATTGCTTTGAAATACACGAAGAAAAGTTGTATTTAATGGTTGAAAATTAGTTATCTCTTTCTAATGAAGGTATCTGCATCATTTAATGACCTACTAGATGTGTGTAGTACACTGATCTGGGCCAACAAATAACAAAACTGATGCAAACTTTTCATCAATCTTTTTCGTTCAGTGCAAAAATGTGACTTTGAATTCCCAGGAACCTTTTTTCATGGGGACACACTTTTTTGAGGGGGGACACGATTTTGTAAAATCAATCCGTCCCAGGGAAGCACTTTTGGACAAGCCTACTGAAAGCACTGTTCTGTCACTGAATTTTTTTGTTTTTCATACATTTTACAAAACAAATCTTCTCACCAGTCTTTACTATTGGTCTGCATGTTCGGAATTTTGCTGCAATCCTCAATGGGGTCATACATGACTTTGTATGTTAGTTTTCAAATCTGAATCACTCCTTCTCTGTCCACAATGTCTACATCTCAATTTTGTACGAGTGCACTAATGTATCTAGAAAATGATGTATAGAAGAATGTTTTGATAAAATGTATAAAAACAAAAATAATTCAAAAAATTTTCAGAACATTTTTTTCACTGAATTTTCTCATTTTTATACATTTTACAAAACAAATCTTCTCACCAGTCTTTTCTAGGCACATAAGTGCACTCTTTGTGCAAAACTAGAAGATGTAGACAATGTGGGGAAGGAGTGATTCCTGTTCAAAAAATAACAAGTGACTCAATTGAGAAATGCAGCAAAATTCCGAACATGCACCATGTCCTAGAGGTTACAAGCATATGGTTACACGCAGGAAAATTTTCAGTACAATGCGCTTACTATATTTGCACATAGCCATCTTTTAGATAGATGGCTATGCAAAACTGGATATTCCCAGCCCATGTTAAAGGTCTTTTGCAGAAATGTAAGAAATCGTTGGAACACTTACACTACTTCAATCGATGTATAACATCATATGATATCAGTTTTATATTCATAGAACGCAAACTGGAGTCGGGAGACAGTGTAATTGGCGAAAAATGTTGAAGAGATGACAATTTTCAAGATGGCTTCTCAGGAAGTTGGGTAATGGGCATGTGCCTCAATGCCATGAGATTTCCGCTTGCACGCATGCGCTTTGGCAAGACCTGGTCAGACGACATGGAAAATAACAAGTTCCAAATACATTTTTTCGTCAATTACACTGTCTTCCGACTCCAGATAGCTCGATATGGTTAGAAAAACGATACTTTAGAATGTTATACATCGATTGAAGTAGTGTAAGTGTTCCCACTATTTCTTACATGTACATTTCTGCAAAAGACCCTTTATCAAGAGATAGCTTTGTGCATTTACTAAGTAACAATGCGCGTCGGTGTTATGCCATTCGGTATAATGCCTTTCTGTACAATGCGCCTCAGCAGAATGGGTTTCAGAATAATGCACATTGGTATAGATCTAATGCGCGTCTGTGACTCGGTATAATGCGCTTCGGAATGCGCGGACACCTTGCGACCAATGGGACGATCCCGAAGATGCTTTCTAGGTCAAATGAAACTAGAATTACATTTTCGGGTGTTGCAAACTCCTATCTTACCTATGAAAAGTGAAAAACAATCAGAAACAATAAATACATGTATTTGAATTAACGTGGGCGATAATAGAGAATACATAAAGTGATCGTCGTTTGCAAATTCAGCCAATAATTCAAACATAGATTTAGATACCGAAACTGAGAAATGTGGTAAATAAAATGCATCCGCTGTGTGCCCTGGAAAATGGAACATATAAACAAAGTAAATATCTTACGATCCCCTTCGGCATCCTCGTCAAAATCCAATTCTTCTTCTCCCTCGTTGTGAAGATCGAGAACGTCCGCCATTTTTTTAATTTATCTAGGTCAACTAAGAACCAATCAGTAATATGATTGAAGCGTAATTTTTAGGAGCGAAATACAAAAATATTTTCTCCGTGTAAATGTTTGATTTTGAGCGTAATTTCACACTGCATCCACTTCGGTGTATCAAAGGTGTATATATCTACATTTATTACAAACAGATTAATGTGTGTAGGACTCATAGACGTCAGATTTTGCTTGTAGATAGATTTTTATCATATCATTTTTGTTACCGGAAGTATTTTTTCATGTTCATTTTTGCTTATTTTGGAAGATCTCAAATTTTTACAAATTCAAAGTCCTATCATCCTAAGCACCTGTCATCTCAATGCAGTTAGCATCATTTCAGATCTAGGAAGGTCATCGCAGTCTATGAGCAGAGTAGGAGTAGTCATATCAGTCTCTTGTAAGGCCTGTCAAACATAGTGATATAAATTCGACCGATGTATACTGTTCTTCTATGTTACTTGTTCTTATTTGGATATTTATTTTTTATCATTTTCTTTACATAAAATACCAATGAAGTACATCATTAGATAGATAATTGGTATAGAAATACAAAAAAATGTGCTGATGTGATTAGAGTCATTCAAGCTTAGGGTTGGAGAAAGACATATTTTCCCGCAACATTCATAAAGAACTCTATCCAGTGAATGAAAAATATATTAACTTATGTTTTAGGATGTTTACTTACTTACATTTATGAAATGTGTAGATGCATATATGTTTTATATCGTGTGACATTATAATATGTAGATATACATGTATATTTAGAGAGAGGAATGTTCCTCCTCTTAATCATTCCTAGACTACCCTGAATTGAGATGATAGCCATTTTCCCACACCCCAAACTTAATCTGTTAATAGACTACATATACAGTATACATAACTGGTGTTCCTTTTCTTTCAGAAGAAATAAATGAGAAAATGTCTCACAGACACAGTCAGTCAGATCATAAACACTCAAAAGACCACAGGAAACATCACAAGCATAAGAAACACAAACATCGATACAGCGAGGAAGAAAGTGACAAATATGGAAAAAAATCAAAAGATAGAAAGCATCATGAAGGTGAAGACAATCATGCTTCTAAACACTCATCAAGATCATTCCCTGAGCATAGCTCTAGAAACAGTAGACCATCTTCATATGATGAGTCTCCTTCACTAGGGATAAGAGATGATCCATATGCTAATCACAATAAGGCCAAACATATAGACTACAATGAAGAGCATTATGATCATATGGGAAATCCCATTATGACAAGACCTAAGGATACTGATGATAAATATGTTAACTCTAATAGGCTCAAAATTGATAGTGATACAACAAAAAGTGAATCTAATGAGATTGATGTTGATTTCATGTGGGCACACCATAGACAAGACCTAAATCAAATATTTTTCCGAAATGAAAAATTCATTCGCCGGGGATCATCAAGGTACCATGACCTCTGGAGTTTTGTTACTAAATATCAGACTGTTCAGAGGAAGAAGGTACATGGTGGACAAAAACCAAAATTTCCTCCTAATGACCCAGATATTGATGAGAAGAAACTGGATATAAAGATCTCTGAAGTCAAGCTAGATCTGGAATACTATATTAAGAATGCTAAGGATGACCCAAAAGGAAAAATGAAAGGTGCTTTATTTGAAATCATCACTTATCTTGTACCAAATATTTGAAAATTAACATCTGTCTAATGTATACATCATTTTTGATTTGATTTGATTATTTTGTACACTAGCCAAGAGTACCCTTTCACATACTTCTGAGGGACATATATCAGTCACTTTATGTATCGAGAAAACCTGAAATTACAGAAAAATAGATATAATTCAATTGGTGTTATTTTAGGAGAACTTACAAAGCAGAGATTGAGGGAATTCTGGAGAATCATATTGCTGTTTTTTGACTTTGAACAAAAACAAGAGGTAAAGTGTATTAGAGAACTGCTTAATATCCCACCGAACGAAGTTCGAGGGGGATATAGAAAAGCTGTCCGTCTGTTTGTCTGTTCGTCCAGGCAATAACTCAAATATTTGATTCAAATTTTATTCGCTTATGCCTCATGGGTGTAGGACCTCTGCTCGTGAAGGAACTTTCAATATGGCTGCTCAATTCAAAATGGCCTCCACTCCTAAAAAATGTAATCTATGATAACTCAATTACTAATGGACAGATTTGGTTCCAATTTTATATGCCGATGCCTGAGGCAAAGGAGTTTTTATTTAAAAAGATATTTTCAAGATGGCTGCTGATTTTTAAAATGGCCGCCATTTTTGCAAAAAACATAATCTTTGATAACTCAAATATAGGTGAACATATTTCATCCAAATTTTGTATGCTGATGCCTAGGGACAAAGTTGCTCTGTTTGAGAAAGAATTTTCAAGATGTCAGGTGAATTTCAACTTTTTAAAAAAAAACTTAATCTTCGATAATTCAAATACCAGTGTACAGATTTGGTTTAAATTTTAGAAACTGATATGCTCGTTTTAGATGAAATTTCCAAGATGGCCACTAATTTTCAAAATGTGTTTTGTTCGGCGGGATTTGCAAATCCATGGAGTTACCGGTTTTTTCTGGTTGACAATGTTGCAAACACAAGCTTGTATTGACAGCAATTAAGAATAAGTCATTCATATTCATTGAATAAAAGTTTATGCATGCGACCACAATGAACAGTAGTATTTGAACGTCTCTCTAAGATGAACACCTGTAAAACATGAACAATTTATTCCATTGGCTCACATGTTTTGATATCCACCTCTCTAGGATGATCCAAAACTTGAACACTGCTTGGTCCTAAGGGTTTCACAATCTGTTTTATGTCAGCTCTCATCCCAGTTTAACATTCTTGACAATATGACATGAAAGCTTAATGCCTTTGTTATTTCAGGCAAGCAGAATATCAAAGATCAAGAAAGACAAGGAGAACCTCCCTATATTCCAATACAGACAGAAGATTATTGATGCAGTAAAAGAGACTCAACTTATTCTGGTTGCTGGCGATACAGGATGTGGAAAATCAACACAGGTAACAGACGATTATCACAGCCATGTAACATTACATTAGCTTTCGAGTTTCCTCCTCAAATACCCCATAGTCCAAATTACAGAACTCTTATTTATGGATGTTATTTGTTTTTGCAATATTTCAGGTGCCCCAATATCTGATGGAAGCGGGGTATGAGAAAGTGGCATGTACCCAACCACGAAGAATTGCATGCATCTCTCTAGCCAAGAGAGTTGGTTATGAAACACTCAATGCCTATGGGGATAAAGTTGGATATCAGGTAAAGGAAGAATTGCATGTATTTCTCTAGCCAAGAGAGTTGGTTATGAAACGCTCAATGCCTATGGGGATAAAGTTGGATATCAGGTAAAGGAAGAATTGCATGTATTTCTCTAGCCAAGAGAGTTGGTTATGAAACGCTCAATGCCTATGGGGATAAAGTTGGATATCAGGTAAAGGAAGAATTGCATGTATTTCTCTAGCCAAGAGAGTTGGTTATGAAATACTCAATGCCTATGTGGATAAAGTTGGATATCAGGTAAAGGAAGAATTGCATGCATCTCTCTAGCCAAGAGAGTCGGTTATGAAACACTCAATGCCTATGGGGATAAAGTTGGATATCAGGTAAAGGAAGAATTGCATGCATCTCTCTAGCCAAGAGAGTTGGTTATGAAACACTCAATGCCTATGGGGATAAAGTTGGCTATCAGGTAAAGGAAGAATTGCATGCATCTCTCTAGCCAAGAGAGTTGGTTATGAAACACTCAATGCCTATGGGGATAAAGTTGGATATCAGGTAAAGGAAGAATTGCATGTATTTCTCTAGCCAAGAGAGTTGGTTATGAAACGCTCAATGCCTATGGGGATAAAGTTGGATATCAGGTAAAGGAAGAATTGCATGTATTTCTCTAGCCAAGAGAGTTGGTTATGAAACGCTCAATGCCTATGGGGATAAAGTTGGATATCAGGTAAAGGAAGAATTGCATGTATTTCTCTAGCCAAGAGAGTTGGTTATGAAACACTCAATGCCTATGGGGATAAAGTTGGCTATCAGGTCAAGGAAGAATTGCATGCATCTCTCTAGCCAAGAGAGTTGGTTATGAAACACTCAATGCCTATGGGGATAAAGTTGGCTATCAGGTAAAGGAAGAATTGCATGCATCTCTCTAGCCAAGAGAGTTGGTTATGAAACACTCAATGCCTATGGGGATAAAGTTGGATATCAGGTAAAGGAAGAATTGCATGTATTTCTCTAGCCAAGAGAGTTGGTTATGAAACGCTCATTGCCTATGGGGATAAAGTTGGATATCAGGTAAAGGAAGAATTGCATGCATCTCTCTAGCCAAGAGAGTTGGTTATGAAACACTCAATGCCTATGGGGATAAAGTTGGCTATCAGGTCAAGGAAGAATTGCATGCATCTCTCTAGCCAAGAGAATTGGTTATGAAACACTCAATGCCTATGGGGATAAAGTTGGATATCAGGTAAAGTAAGAATTGCATGTATTTCTCTAGCCAAGAGAGTTGGTTATGAAACGCTCAATGCCTATGGGGATAAAGTTGGATATCAGGTAAAGGAAGAATTGCATGCATCTCTCTAGCCAAGAGAGTTGGTTATGAAACACTTAATGCCTATGGAGATAAAGTTGGATATCAGGTACAGGAAGAATTGAATGCATCTCTCTAGCCAAGAGAGCTGGTTATGAAACACTCAATGCCTATGGGGATAAAGTTGGCTATCAGGTAAAGAAAGATTTACATGCATCTCTCTAGCCAAGAGAGCTGGTTATGAAACACTCAATGCCTATGGGGATAAAGTTGGATATCAGGTAAAGGAAGAATTGCATGCATCTCTCTAGCCAAGAGAGTTGGTTATGAAACACTCAATGCCTATGGGGATAAAGTTGGCTATCAGGTAAAGTAAGATTTACATGCATCTCTCTAGCCAAGAGAGTTGGTTATGAAACACTCAATGCCTATGGGGATAAAGTTGGATATCAGGTAAAGGAAGAATTGCATGTATTTCTCTAGCCAAGAGAGCTGGTTATGAAACACTCAATGCCTATGGGGATAAAGTTGGATATCAGGTAAAGGAAGAATTGCATGTATTTCTCTAGCCAAGAGAATTGGTTATGAAACACTCAATGCCTATGGGGATAAAGTTGGATATCAGGTAAAGTAAGATTTACATGCATCTCTCTAGCCAAGAGAGCTGGTTATGAAACACTCAATGCCTATGGGGATAAAGTTGGCTATCAGGTCAAGGAAGAATTGCATGCATCTCTCTAGCCAAGAGAATTGGTTATGAAACACTTAATGCCTATGGAGATAAAGTTGGATATCAGGTACAGGAAGAATTGAATGCATCTCTCTAGCCAAGAGAGCTGGTTATGAAACACTCAATGCCTATGGGGATAAAGTTGGATATCAGGTAAAGGAAGAATTGCATGTATCTCTCTAGCCAAGAGAGTTGGTTATGAAACTCTCAATGCCTATGGGGATAAAGTTGGATATCAGGTAATGGAAGAATTGCAAGTATTTCTCTAGCCAAGAGAGTTGGTTATGAAACTCTCAATGCCTATGGAGATAAAGTTGGATATCAGGTAATGGAAGAATTGCAAGTATTTCTCTAGCCAAGAGAGTTGGTTATGAAACTCTCAATGCCTATGGAGATAAAGTTGGATATCAGGTAAAGGAAGAATTGAATGCATCTCTCTAGCCAAGAGAGTTGGTTATGAAACTCTCAATGCATATGGGGATAAAGTTGGCTATCAGGTCAAGGAAGAATTGCATGCATCTCTCTAGCCAAGAGAATTGGTTATGAAACACTTAATGCCTATGGGGATAAAGTTGGATATCAGGTAAAGGAAGAATTGAATGCATCTCTCTAGCCAAGAGAGTTGGTTATGAAACTCTCAATGCATATGGGGATAAAGTTGGCTATCAGGTCAAGGAAGAATTGCATGCATCTCTCTAGCCAAGAGAATTGGTTATGAAACACTTAATGCCTATGGGGATAAAGTTGGCTATCAGGTCAAGGAAGAATTGCATGCATCTCTCTAGCCAAGAGAATTGGTTATGAAACACTTAATGCCTATGGGGATAAAGTTGGATATCAGGTAAAGGAAGAATTGAATGCATCTCTCTAGCCAAGAGAGTTGGTTATGAAACACTCAATGCCTATGGAGATAAAGTTGGATATCAGGTAAAGGAAGATTTACATGCATCTCTCTAGCCAAGAGAGCTGGTTATGAAACACTCAATGCCTATGGGGATAAAGTTGGCTATCAGGTCAAGGAAGAATTGCATGCATCTCTCTAGCCAAGAGAATTGGTTATGAAACACTTAATGCCTATGGGGATAAAGTTGGATATCAGGTAAAGGAAGAATTGCATGCATCTCTCTAGCCAAGAGAATTGGTTATGAAACACTTAATGCCTATGGAGATAAAGTTGGATATCAGGTAAAGGAAGAATTGCATGCACCTCTCTAGCCAAGAGAATTGGTTATGAAACACTCAATGCCTATGGGGATAAAGTTGGCTATCAGGTAAAGTAAGATTTACATGTATCTCTCTAGCCAAGAGAGTTGGTTATGAAACTCTCAATGCCTATGGGGATAAAGTTGGATATCAGGTAATGGAAGAATTGCAAGTATTTCTCTAGCCAAGAGAGTTGGTTATGAAACTCTCAATGCCTATGGAGATAAAGTTGGATATCAGGTAAAGGAAGAATTGAATGCAAAATAAAACTATATCATGTGATTAGGTCTATATTCACTAGAAGTTGTGACATATTATTATAGTCTTCAACTTTTTTGTGGACAGCGTTTGGCTTTTGGCATTCGGCGGTGGGTGTTGGCATCTGTAACAAATAGCAAGTGATGACATTTTGCAAGTTTATTCCTTGTTTTATATGTTTCTAGGTGAGGTTTGAAAAAAGCAAGACAGCTGCAACAAGAATACTGTTCCTCACAGAAGGTTTGTTTGTTTGTTTTAAACAATGGCATTTTGGAAAATAAGACCATGAAATGTGATAGTTTATCATAACATTAATTTCAAAAATTAACTAGAAAGGAAGTAGAAGTAGAAAAAACTGAAATAGTTTAAATGAAATAATTAATAAGTAATTAATTAAATTATTGTTTTAATGATCATATGAATAATCATTAATTAATTGTCTGTTTTATTTGTTTGTATTGTTTACACTGAATTTATTTCACAAATATTTAAGGTCTCCTACTTAGACAACTACAGACAGACGCAACACTGGATGCCTACAAAGTGATCATTATAGATGAGGTCCATGAGAGACACATCCACACAGACTACCTCCTAGGAGTCATACGTGCACTGCTCCTACAGAGGGATGACTTGAAGGTGGTTCTCATGTCTGCCACCATCAACATAAGCTTGTTCAGCAACTACTTTGATGATGCTCCAGTTATAAAGGTAAGAGAGACAATTTTTTATTTAATGCATCTGCAGTATATCAAAGGTGTGACGTCACATCCGGTTACCGTAGTTACCATGAAATGAACCAATCAAATAGTGGAAGCTTTATTCTTGAGAAATTAACTCAATAATGTTTGGGGCACATCTGTACCAAGTTTCAAGAAGATTAGTCCACTAGTGGTACTGATATTGCGATATCTTTGACGTTACATTAAATATTGCAGTAAAACCTTTCTCATCCATATGTTAATTGACCATCCAAAAGAGTTTAGAATAGCAAGGTTTCTATGACAAGGCACTCAATGAGAGGCAACAAAAAATTGGACTGAGAGAAAGTGTTCCTGTTGGGAGGTGTTCGGATCACAGAGTGTTCACATATACAGGTTTTCTACACACAGTAAGGCCAGTTTTTGTTTAAACCTTAGAATAAATAATTGCATACATATTAGTAAACTAGACTGAAGGTAGCTTCAGAAAATGCTATGGGATAACTCTATTCATGTACATAATGTTTGGTTATTAAGGTACCTGGTAGATTGTTCCCTATCCAGTTAGAGTACCACCCTGTGACAGCAGAGGACACATCGGAGACATCCAGACTTGACCCTAGTCCCTATCTACGGATCATGCAAGCAATAGAGAAAAAGGTAGTGAACTGTCAGTTGTTACCTCATACAGAATGGAGGAGCTTTCAGCACTGAAGAAATTAATGACCGCATTTACAAGGCTAAAAGACATCTTTTTCAAAACATGGTTCTTGTGCTAAATTGCTCACCTACAGTGTAGTCACAATGTGAAATATATCCTCACCGGTCCATGAGAGATTTAGCAAGTATATATGAGATTGTGAGCATCACACACCTGTCAAAATGTTTCGTATTAAATTTACAGAACCCCTGTAAAGACCTTTTGTGCCAATGTTCGGAATTCTTCTGTAAAAATTGCTTTATTTTATATTCAATTTTGTGTTTCTTTTTTTATTCATATGAAAATAGAATCAAATGATATTAAAACATTCCTTAACATGTTCTCTGTATTTTATAGTACTAAAAACAATTCATAATCTTTGCTTATTTATATTCGAGAATGTAATTCTTTTTAAACTGACCTAAAGTGCTACATTACAAAAGAATCACATTTTGAAATATATATTGCGTCATCCTAATTGATCACACTTGATCAGATTTGAAAGAATATTATCTGGACAAGTATTATATTGAACTATATAACATTTAGCTATATCATCTTGTATATGTATATATTTCTTTCTCTTCTGTTACTTTTCTATCTTTTAAAAGCAGTTTTATATCTTGTCATCTTTATTAATAATATGTAATATAATCATGTGTAACTATATACACCTGTATTGACTGCCAGTTGCCTGTACAATGAACACATAATTGATGAATAAACAACTATGCGAAACTGTAAAACTGTAATTATCTTATAAAATTATCCCAAAGTCCCACCAATTCATAATTCCCTTAATCCTATTCTTATGTAGCCCTTTAGTTCAGTTTTGTTTTTATGACATCAAAACAATTCATATTTTAAATGTATTTCAGTACCCTGTAACAGAGAGAGGAGACCTGTTGATATTCCTAAGTGGTATGTCAGACATTAAAGCAGTTAGTGAAGCTGCCAGGGAATTGGCCACTAAAACCAAACACTGGATTGTTCTACAGTTACACAGTGCTTTGTCCATTCAGGAACAAGATAGGGTAACTATTAGTATTCTGATATGGTATGATATAAAATGATATGTTATTTTGATAAAAATCTAGTCAACAAACTTGCAACTCATTGCAAATACTAGAATGATGAAGACAAGATGTATTTATTGTCATTTTTTAAAATCTGTTTGATATGCCAAAACCAAATATGAATGTGTCATTTTTTGCAAAACAGATTGCAGTTTGGCAATTTCATCCACTTTAATTGGTTGGGAAAATTTTGAATAAAAAGGAGTTCAAGCTATCATCATATTATTTCTATTTTATTTCGAAACAGGTATTTGACATTGCCCCTGAGGGAGTGAGAAAATGTATTGTCTCAACAAACATTGCAGAAACATCTGTGACAATAGATGGCGTAAGATTCATTGTTGATTCTGGGAAGGTTAAAGAAATGAGTTATGATGCAAAGTACAAAATGCAGAAATTAAAAGAATTCTGGATAAGTAGGGCTAGCGCTGAACAAAGAAAAGGTCGTGCAGGTTAGTATTTGTGAAATAATCTATGTTTGATAGGCATATGTTCGCCTTGGAGTCTCATTTTTATGTCACCACCAAAAATGGTGACATATTGTTATGGTCTCCAACTTTTTTGTGACAGTGTTTGGTAGCTGGAACAAATGGCAGGTAGTTAAATTTAAAAAAATTGACACCTGTAAGAATAAAAGCAAGTAGTGATTTTATAGGTTTTAGAATTCAGTTGCTTCTTTTGCAATAGCCATCAGATTTTTGAATCAAACAAACTTTCCAATGGTTTATCAGTCCACCCGTGTAGCTCAGCGGTAGCGCAGGTACCTCTTACGCAATAGGTCCCGGATTCGATCCCCGGTTCAGGCAAGACTAAATTTGCTTGTTTGCGTGAAGTACTTCAGGGTGTTTGACTGAGTGGTCCGCAACTCGTACAAAAAGGCTGTGGTGTGTATTTATATGTCTATGTATAAGTGCACATAAAAGAACACAGGGCTCCTTCAAGGAGGGGTTTCTGGGTCTATCTTCCATGTTAATTACGTAAATTACGACCGTATATATACGGGACATACCCAAGAGGTATTGCTCACCTTCATTGGTGGTAAACAAAATACAACAATACAACAATCATATGCTAAATCTTTTCTAATTGAATGCAAAAGATGATGACTTGGAGGAATCAATACATTCTACCCAATATTGAAATCTCAGAGCCATCCTAAGCTCATTTATGAGACATGTATCATTGGATTAGTTTGTTCAAAAGCAGAGAATCTGTTGATTTATGAACTCTCAAGTTTTTTGACACTTGAATTTCTTGTTGTTTTAACTGCAACCAGGCAGGACAGGTCCAGGGGTGTGTTACCGATTGTATTCTGAGGCGGATTACAATGAATTGCAGGCTTATTCTACCCCTGAGATACAACGCGTCCCCCTGGAAGGCCTCATTCTGCAGATGGCCAACATGGGGCTCCCCGATGCAAGAAAGTAAGGGCACAGACTATGACATAGTGTATTAAGCAAATATTTAATTCTATGGAGGGCAATAACTGTTATCTTTCAATGATTTTTGCAGTATGTATTGCCCGCAGCTCGTAGAACGACGGAAATACATGTTGCAAAAATCATTGAAAGTGCAGCAGGTATTGCCCAAAGATAAAATGAAATATTTAATTTATTATATCATTGCTAGAAATTTGCTACGATCAATAAATGCATTTCAAATAAATAAATAATATTTGTAATATTTCTCATAGCAACATAAGCTGATGTTATTTATATCATTGCGTAGACTTTGTATGTGCCTATTGAGTCCATGACGAATACTTTGCAGACTGGCACTCTTGTAATATTCCCCATCCTTCGTTTGCAGTTCAAGAAAAAAATCCTCTAAAATTCCATCCAAAACGATTTTATCGATAGATTTAACATGTATTTTGATATCTTTTTCGTCCACATAACACTTGAAAACCTTTACGTTGATTTAATGGTGTTTTTAGAATGCACATCCCTCAAGATGTTGTTCTTTTCATCGGAATTCAGACTTTTAAATCTTTTTCCGTCTGCCATTTTAATGCACATCACAACTGTACTGGACAAAATGGGACGATTCAGAATTCCTGGGCGGGCAATACGCTGGTGGTATTTTTGATCACATGGTACTGAATCAGCCAATCAAAGGACACAAATTCTAGCAATTATATAATAATCTCAGATATCCCCTTAGGACCAAGTGAAATAGAAATGTGTTATTATTTTGTAAAGTGATTGTCAGGGGTCGAATGCAGTTTTTCTTTATGCTATGAAACATTTGCAGTGAATTCAAATTGGCTAGTCCCATATATTTTTTACAAGAGGGGAATGAGAAAATTTCTAAATTGATCTTGGGGTTTTCAGAGAGACAAGATGTGTCATTCTGGAAACCTGGTAATGTACTATAGCAAAATCCATCTGTGTATGACATTTTTCTAGTTTAAAACCAGTATTAAAAATGCTGCAGAAACTATGTGGTGTCTCAAAAATTAGTAAATATTCAGTATGTCCCTAATTGAATAACATCAACACAATTAGCTTCGCTATTACATTCATGAAGTCAAACCACAAACTATTTACATGTTCTGTATTTAAATGTAGAGTTCAATTCCAATTGTTTTCTCTGTAGATTCCCATTCATAGAGAAGCCAGACATATCCAACATAGAGACATCTATCATAGTCCTACAGGAACAGGTAAACCATATTGTAATATTATATTGTAATTGTAAAGTAACTATTACAGGAACAGGTAAACCATATTGTAGTATTATATTGTAATTGTAAAGTAACTATTACAAGAACAGGTAAACCATATTGTAGTATTATGTTGTGATGTAAAGTAACTATTACAGGAACAGGTAAACCATATCGCAGTATAAGTACAAATATAATAGCTTCCTTAAAACTAAAAAGAAGTTAACTTGAAGATTTACATAACAGGAGTCATAGCATTATAAATTGAGGATGGTGTGAGCAGATTATCCAAAAAACAACAAACAAATACAATCACAAGTGTTTAACTTTTATATCAATATTTGATTTATATTTAGAAAATATATTATAGTATATCACATTCTGCAGGTGTGCTATTGTACATGTAACAATCAGTACTATATAATATTGTGTATCTTTATTGTACATGTATACAGTATATCACAATGTGTAGAGGGATTGTACATGTATACAGTATACCGCATGGTAGATACATGTAATCTCTTTATGTACAGTTTGTCCATGGTTCAGATCATGCTTACGATATGTACATCTTTTGAAATATACAACTAAATAACTCTTAACTTATTTTATCTCCCAGGGGGCTTTGACAGAGGAAGAAGTGCTGACACCTATAGGCAAGATGCTCGCTCAACTACCAGTAGATGTTGTCATTGGTAAGATGCTAATCATGGGATCCATATTTCACGTAAGTAAATTAAAGATTTTAATTAGTCGATTAGTTGATTCAGCAGATTTAGTCAGTTTAATTTTCTCAAGCTTTTCTCAAGCTTGAATCAAACTTCTGGTCTATTATGGTTAAATTAATCCTTCATAAAATCAATCTTGATTCAAGCCTGATTCACTAAGGGGAGGCATCAAAAGTTCGATGTCGGATAGAAAACTAAATAAATCTAGTTAGGGGGGAGGGAGTTCAAACCCATTTCAGTTTGCTATCCGACAAAGGATGTGTCCGGGTATATGCCCTTTTGGTCCCTCAGTCAAATGTATGTTAAATATGTTTTTTATTACTGTCCTAGTTATATTTGATAAGTATATTTACTTTTTCACGAGTTTTGATGCATAATTAACCCCCTGCTAAGAGTCAGAATAAGTATCTTAACAAACAAAAAAATAGTCATTATCATAGAAAAAAACATCAATGGCAACATGTATGACTTACAAAGAAGAAATAACTTAAGACCCATGAAGATTTTAAAAGGAAATCATATTTTTGAAATATATTTAAGGATTAAATTTTTTTTCAAATTTTTGAATTTCCCGCCAGTTTAATTTGAAGGGGGAAAAACAAGATGGCTGCCATTTGATGTAAGAAATATCAGAAAAAAAGTTGCTTCACTTTTAGTTTTCACAATGAGCACAGTTTTCCGGTTTAGGTTTTTTGACTGATTCTGACTCTTCATCACCAGGGTCATGTATAGAGATTATAAAATTGAAACCGGAATGTTGTGCTCAGCATTAATTTGACTGAAATATGTGTAACTTCACCAACACAATTGAAGTCTCAAAACTGGATGCTCAGTAACTTTGAGTGACTATAATCCCTTGATTACCCAGATAAACACCAATTCATTTATCCAGAAATGCCATTCAATGTCTATACAAAGAAAGTAAGCAATGTTTTGGAGGATATGTTTCAAACCTTTTGCATAAATAATTCATTTAATATTTGCCATTGATTTTTTTTCTATTTCTGACAAAGTGATATGCACTGTCTTTGATGCCAATATTCTTCATTAATTGTGATACAAATCGATATCTTTGTACTCTCAGAAGAAGGATAAGATATTGAAGTTTAATAATATGTGTGATTGAGTTGGGTTTTCAGACATTACAATTTTCAATATTTTCTAAGTTGATACCCAGACTCATTCCCAGACTCATCCTTTCAACATTTCAAATCTTCGGCAATTTCGACTCAGAATGCCTTGGAATCGTTTTTTAAAAAAAAGATTTTAGCTGCTGCTTTCTTCGTCAAGATCATTCCAATGGATTCTATTCTATCAATAGTTGTTAAAAGCCATAAATTACAATAGGAATTAACAAAAACTAGATTGTGTTTAGCAATAATTTTTCAAATTCTCAAACCGGAAGTCAGTGATCAACTTTCATGGTATTTAGTTTTGGGGGGAGGGGGGGGGGTCAGAGTCAAATCTAGATTTATTTAGTTTCCGATCTGACATCGAACTTTTGATGCCTCCCTAAGTGATATATCAAGTTTGGGAGAGTTTTGTTGTGTATTATTTTATCACTGCATATCTAGTAGTTTGTAGGATTTTTACAAAAATATAAAAAATGGAAATAAAAATATTCCATGTTCTCTCTATAACTTAACTGAGATAAGTTCTTTAGTTTTAGCTATACCACTGTTAATCTAAAAATCTTTATCTGTTTGATCAAACATTAGTTTTTTGAAATCTAATGTATTGTTTATGAAAATTCCACAAACAATCAGTTATTTCACATGTAGTAGACCATTTTGTGGAATACAACCATCAAATAATTTCATTAGATTTTGAAATGGTTAAATATAAATAGTTTAGATAAATCCTAATTGAGGGGACATTTATTTTATTAAATATAAAAAAATATTCTGTATATAGAAAAATCTACGAAAAGTAGATGGAAAGGAATTTAGAGTATTTTAGTAAAATATAGTAACATTTATCAATACATGTAGTATATATGATTCAAATGCAAAGAGGTCACAGACATTGATTTGTACCCTGGATGCCTCAGAAAATATAAAGATGATGATCGATGAAATTGATTACTAACCAATACTCTCTAGTAAATATTATGTCTCCAACACAAGTGTCTTCAATTTTTTAGGGTAATCGACAGTTGATGTTTGCTGTTGAGTTTGTGTCTATAACAAATGGCAGGTGGTGGTGGTATTTTGCATGTTAATGCCATGCATTTTAAACTGCTGTTGATCTACATGTTAACATTGTACTCTTGACATTATTATACATACGATAAAGATCCTCTCCAATTTTTGGCACGTCAGTAATAATTATAAATAATAAAAAACCCAATACAATGAGCAAAGCTGAGGAACCTATAGCTATTGCCCCCTCTGCTTCTTCTACTTCAGGTATAAATTTCTTCAAACTTTGGTACACTGCGGGTGTTGTTGATTGAGCTTTTAATAATGTAAACACTTTATATTTTCTTGTGGTTGTAGTTGAATCAGTAGATACTGCTTGGACAGTTGTGGTAGAGTCACTACTTGAATCCAATACAGTTGATGTTGGAGTTGTGGTCATAGATGGTGATGTGGTATCTCTTAAAGTAGCAGGTGAAGCAGAAGATTGTGTTTGAGTGATTACTGTTGAAGTTGAAGTGGTTGGAACTGTTGAGATTGGAATAGTTAAATCTGTTGTGATTGAAGTAGTTTGATCTGTTGTGCTTGAAGTAGTTGGATCTGTTGTGATTGAAGTAGTCTGATCTGTTGTGATTGAAGTAGTTGGATTTGTTGTGATTGAAGTAGTCTGATCTGTTGTGATTGAAGTAGTTTGATCTGTTGTGCTTGAAGTAGTCTGATCTGTTGTGATTGAAGTAGTTGGATTTGTTGTGATTGAAGTAGTCTGATCTGTTGTGATTGAAGTAGTCCAATCTGTTGTGCTTGAAGTAGTTGGATCTGTTGTGATTGAAGTAGTCTGATCTGTTGTGATTGAAGTAGTTGGATCTGTTGTGATTGAAGTAGTCTGATCTGTTGTGATTGAAGTAGTCTGATCTGTTGTGATTATAGTAGTCGGATCTGTTGTGATTGAAGTAGTCTGATATGCTGGGGTAGTAGTTTGAACTGTTGATTCTGTAGTTGGAACTGTTGTGATTGCAGCACCATCACAAGATTCTGATGCCGATCCTTCTATAAAAGAAGTCATTGTAAACATTTTACAAAACAAGAAATTGTTATTTGTAAGTATACAGGACACTAGCAAATTGAAACATAAATTAGATCGATGTTGAGATTATGTGATTACAATATATTGCAGTTGTCTTGTGCTGATGGTTATGTATCTGTCCATGCATCTCTGCAGTTAGGTGGTACAAAAAGCTTGTCAGCAAAATTACAGGAAAACTGCCTATTCTTTCAACTTGGAAGTTTTACAGATTTAAGAGCAGACTGGTACTGCCAAGATCTGAATAGGTTTTGGGCATGTTAGGTAAATAACGTGATGGCCATTTTGAATTTTATCAGAAATTAACACATAATTGGTTGCAATTTTATCATCTTAAATATCTCTGTTAATGCATTGTTTGAATAATAAAATAAGAAATACCTTCACATATTACTGCCCTTGCTTGATCGCAGGTGTCTACCGTCCAATAAAAGTTAGAATCTGTGTTTAACACCCATATGCAGTTTTTGTCGTCAGGTAAATCATCTGAAATACAGTTTCATAAACCCGAAATTATTTAAATCTGTGTAGGTGTGAAACATGTGTGCAGTGTATGGTTTACTTGTCTGTGTTAATCCATCCATACATTATGCATCTACATGATCTTACACTATGTCCATCTGTCTGTCTGTCTGTCTGTGAACAATTTGATGGCAAGATGATTACACTTCTAAATGTGATATTTGATGACAAAAGTCGTGAAATTTGAAATTTATTTCATCATTTTATCATTATAATAAGCTGTTGTAATTAATTGTTATAATATATATAATTATAATGAAACATGAAATATCACTATTCACCTGGTATAGTAGCTGATGGGTCTGGATTAGAATAGGTAATCGTACAACCATCTATAAAATCTGCTGCACTGAAGCCATTCGGATTCCAGCTTAATGTGTCCTTCTTTTTGCCACCAAGCCAGATTTTACTAGAACATAAATTACTCTATTATGAATCTGTTATTGCACTGATTTCTGTTATGTTATGTTTCTATTGAATCACTTGACTCCTCAGGGGAGTGCGGTTTCACAAGTTTTTACTAGAAGTGGTTGTATGACGTCAGAGATACTCTTATTTCAGTTCTGTTATGATCACTTAATTTATAATAACACCATTCCTGAAAATGTACGTTAAGTACAGGTATGAAGATCATTGTCCACTATTAAAGAATTATAATGAGATTATTTTCCCAGAGATTAAAATACTGTATACATGTATATCTAGGCAAACTGATTATTAATAGTTTGCTTTCCAATTCTCAAGGCCGTTTTATGGATAAGTATGATGATAAGTGATCAGCTATTAAAGTAATGGATTTAAATTATGTGTTCCCATGTTATGTCAATGGGGCAGTAGAAAATTATGAATTGTAAATATACGAGATACTGACTGAGTACAAATACAATTAATGGAAGACTACCATAGAATGGGTCATCAAAAGCTACCTTAATTCAAAATTTAAAAAAATAAAAAGTTCTCCTTTAATGTGTGAGTCATGAAATAAGGGTAGAATTTTCTCAGGAGTCTAAATCTGAAATCAAAAGTGACATCTGACTCCCAGTTTAGATGATTCTATGACGTTTTGAAATCTTGAAAAAGCAATATGATGATATCCCAATGTTAAGTCAACAGAGTCAAAGAGAACTTATCTAAGAATTGTCTAAATGTCTATATTCTGGTTGACTCATCTTATTTTGGATGACTCAGCTTATTTTGGATAACTCAGCTTAAAAAAAGTTTGAAATCTGGAGTCCTAAATTGAACTTGTTCAATTTACCATTCTACATAGTTACTAAGTATAGTCATATTTTCAAAATCCTTCTTGATATTTTACTCGAGGAAACAATATTGTTTACCATGGGACTTGTTAATTTTATTCCATGGTGTCCTAGCGATATTTGATAAAATTTCTTTTAATTTGAATGACCTTTTCCAAAAGGTAATTGAATTTATAACTTTAAGATTATATATAGGCATACATGTAAAGGGTGAGCCAAAAGAGGTAACCCAAACAAATATAAATAATTCAGTCATCCAGCATGGGTTTAATGTCATATTTAGCTTAATTGAACCTTGTTCAATGTTCTGACATTCCAGTAAGTTTCATTGGTCAATTCCAAATGGTCACAATTTTATGGCCATTATTAAAAACATACTCCAATATGAACTCAAAGAATTTCATCTTTGGGGTTGTTTCAAAGATAATGTTACTCTAACAACTCTTGATGCATCAAAGAGTTGAATCAAGCGACAGAAGGAATACTAGAGCAAATATACAAGGTATATGTGACTGTGTAGTCAGAACGGCTTACGGACAACTCATCCCCTAGACAACTCATCCCTGGACAACTCATCCCCTGGACATATCATCCCCTGGACAACTCATCTGACATCTCATCCCCTTGACAACTCATCCCCTGGACAACTCATCCCCTGGACAACTCATCTCCAAGACAACTCATCCCATAGACAACTCATCCTTTATCACATGAAGCCAATTTGTTAAAGTCCCCATATAAAGTTTAAACCACTTTGGCTTATATTGTAGTCTTAACCAATGTTATCAAAGTGTGATATGTGAAACTTTTTTTTAAATTTCAAAAAGTGGTTTTTGATAGACTTTTTGTTCCAAAATGTGTGTATTTATTTAAAACTAACTTTTAGAGGTCACACATATCTTTTAATTAGCCTCAATTCATACCAATGTATAACATTCATCCTCGCATGTTTTTTGCCGAAAAAATTAAGAAAATCGGTTCATAAAGAAGCGAGAAATGAACTCATCAGTGCATGAAAATGGTTTTGAGAAAAATGCATTTCAAAATTTTAGTTCTCATAGACACCAATGGTACAATGATATCTAAAATATAATATATTCTTCCTTTTAACCTGGTTAGACCAAGGGCGTTACAATACCCGGGAATTTATCGGTTCGTCCAGTACTTGTTTGTGATAGCGCCCTCTGTAGGTCACTGTGCTTATAGCCTACAGTAATACGGGGTAGGATATCGGGAATTCGGTCAGTTTCTATCCGTCGATTTCGCTATGAATTGAAGCAAGTGTGACCACTTTATCCACTTAAACAATTTGATAATTGATTAAATCTTTAAACAAAATCGATAAACACGTTATACATTTCCTATCTCCTTAGAAATTAGCATGTATTTATGGATTGTGTTTTCGAACAAGGCTCGACCCACCCCAATAGGGAAATCCTTATGCTAATTAGTATGACGTCATATTTTCCTGGGGAATCCTAGATTTCAAAGCCTCAGTCTGTTATTGTGTCAAATGTAAACGCTCTTGGGACGCTCTTTTGCAGACAGAAAATTGACAGATTAGCTTTTAACTTTCAGCTTTGATGTTTAAATATTCTGTATTTCTACCGGACTTCTTGCTGAATATCATATAATGTTATAACTTGATTTGGACCATTGCCTGATTGATCATTCTGAAATTTTGATTGTGATTCAAGATTGATTGGCAAGAAAAATAATTCCTATTGTTTTCCAGCGAAGTCAAAATGTTACAGCATGAGTTATAATGTCGAGTTTGCATCATGTTAAATTCTGCTAGTGATTAGAAGTCCATGCACAAGCATACACATACTAAGACAAACACACCCAGGCTCCAGGCCGTGGATGGAAATATAAAACTATTTAAGGCACAAACTGGTATTAATAGACCGATATGTAGTGTCTGCCATGTATTGAAGGTAAACCAATCTGCATTATTAATGTTTCTTCTATCAATACATGGATTGTGCAATGGAAAAGCAATGGCACAATCAAAAATGTGCATATCAATCGTGAATATCTCTCGGTTCAAAGCTTATTTCCAACAGAATCGTGTCAAAATATCTGTCTGAGTAACAGTTATACATTATAAGATCGCAAACTCTTACCAATTATCAGCCGAATGGCTCATTTTCAACGAAATGTCCTTAAGACAACAGCCCTGGGTCGCGCCTGAGACCAAAAACTACTTCAAATAGCCCTCCCCTAATTATATTGGATAATCACATTTATGCGTGCGCGCGCAGCTCATCCAATGAACGAAACGCCACTTCCCGCTGAAATCACCGGGTATTGATCTTTCCCTTGGTTAGACAATCAACATTGGTTTATTATTGAAGTCTAGCATATTTAGAAAAGATTGACATCAAATAATATTTATTTTTTCAAAAAGTTTTTGCCACCTTAGTGACATCACTAATGTTGCAAAATATTTTTGATATGCTAAAACATTGAAGTGGCCCATTAAATATGGCATTTTATTATTGAAATAGTGTGTCCTATTTGATGATTAAAAATGTCAACTTTTTTTGAAAAATGGCGGGAAATTTGAATAATCGAGAAATGAAATGCTCACAACTTTTTTTTCAAAAATCTCTAAAATAACTTTTTAAGTCATGACAAATAGTAAATGAATGATAAAATAATATTTCCAAACTTAAGACAGGGACTTTAAGTTTTTTTGGAAAATAAATATTTATTAAATACACCTTGAATCATTCTAAATATTATTTTTCACTTTATTGACACAAATAAAATGGTCGAACGGTGCCATTTAAACTTTAATATTTTGTCCTTATATTACATGACTTCATATTTCATGATGGATTAAAGAATATTTGAACTATGAACACACATATAATGACATTAAAAGAGCTTATGACATCAAAGGAGCTTCTTCAATTAATGTTAACATTATATTGAAATTGTATATTAAAAGTAAAATTAAAGGTAATTACTTACAAAACAAATTACAGATTAATTGGTTGATAATCTCCTTGACAATACTATGGTATATCATAGTTTTTTAAACAATATTCCAGATTTCCCCTCAAGAAAATCTTTGTTCACTTGTCAGTCAGAAGACAACAGAATTGTGGCTTTAATACCTTACTATTGTTATGTAAATGGAAAGAGTTAGAAGTGCAGATCT